CACGTGATTTGCTCGTCCCCAAAATTGACCATATTGATCATTATTTACTCTACATATTTACATCATAATCATCATCAGATAAAAAACCCTGATTAATGTAGCCTAAACTCAAAATAATTGGTACCTAAGATTAACATGTATCTAAATTAATCAATTTTTATTATAAGATCCAAAATTATCATTGTACTTAAAATGATGAATTAAATTTATTATATTTTTATAATAATATGTAATTTTATGGTTATATTTTTTAATTTAAATAAAAACATCAAAAATTAAAAACATTTTGTAAGATATTTTTTATAGTTAATTTTTTATTATTTTTAAATTAAATTGAAAATCGTGATGTGAAGTGTGGGTATTTGTCACAAAAACTCCAATATTCCAACACTCGATAAAGATTCAATTATTCAAAGCATACCGACATGAGATCCAACGAGCTCAATTCCTCCTCGGGTCCGAAAAAATTAGGTGATCAGTCCTTGATCAGGACTTGAGTCCTGGCTGGTAGCAGTAGTAGAAGCGGTCAATTAGCCATCACATTCTAGGCACGTGGTGGGAATGGGCCACAACTTTACATGCCATGCCTTCCTCTCACCTCCACACATTTCTTTGTCCCCCAATTTCTTGTGTATTACCTAGGAATTAGGATGCTGGGATTTTTTTTTAGATCTAGTGATTCATATTATTTAGGCATATAAAGTTTTATATTTATATCATATTTGTATAAAAATTATATATTATAATTTATGTTGATAAAAATATAAAATATAATTTTTTAATTTTATTAAATTTATTAAATTTATTTAAAATTTAAAATTATATTATTTATATATTATTTATTTATATTTTATCAAATTTAAACTTTTTTACACTAATTTTTAAAAATCCATAATAAATATATTATTCGATTTTTTAAATTAAAAAAATATTTTATATTCAATAATTTAAGATATGTAATTAAAGATTATATTTTTTATTATCCCAATAAACAATTACCAGTTATACTCTTAAACCGAAAAAATTGATCTAGTCAATCATTTATTGATTGCACCCGTGATCTTTGTTCACATCAACAAGTATACGTTATTTACACGCCTAAACTTGAAAATCGAGAAAATCGATTTTTTTTTTCGATAATAAAGATCTGAAAGTAAATAAATTATTTAATTTTTTAAATTAAAATAAAATATATCATATCTAATAATTTAAAATAAATAATTATAAATTATATATTTAAAATAATTTTAATAAATAATTATTTACATAATTCAAAATTTTTCATAAAAAAAAATAAATTTAATTGATTGAATAAAAAAATTGATTTCAATTTGTTAAATATATATGTTTCACGTATGCATGCATTCGCAATTAACGTTACATCCATGGTTTTAGGTAAGGTCAAGTCGCCCTTTTTGCATTTTTTTTTCTTCTAGGGTAGCCTACCCTATATCCAATTTGCAAGATTTAGATGATTATATTTTATGAATTCTTGTTCTACATTTTTTTTTTCTCCTGTCACTGGCCAAATGGGAAGTAATTAAAGATCCTAATTATTGAGATTTTGCATGATTTGGTAACAAAAAACAATGAGATTGCATGATTGAGTACCGAGATTTGGATTCGTGAAAAATTGCATGAAAGATGGAAATTGACTAGAAAAAATAGATAAATACATTAAAGTTGAACCTTGCTTGGCTCAAATGCAAATGCAACAAGTAGCAAAGTTGATTTTCATAAACAAATGAAGGAAAAATCCAATCAAGTTGTTTTTTTTTTTAATCAATTGATATTTAAAGATTATAAATTTAAAAAAATTTATATACGTAATATTTTTTTAATTTGATAAGTAATAAAATAAAATAATTTATTAATAGATTAAAAAAAAAATCCAACCAAGCTTTTTAGTAGTAGCCAATGGGGCATGCTTAACCATGTCAACACGTCTTTATGTCAAAGGTTTTCTCAATAAATGCCTGATTTTGACCTTTGAGTTCAATAAGTATATAATGTCATTGATTTTGTCATACGTTTAGGAAAATTTGAGACATGCTGCAGATGTGCGTAGACATTTCAAAGTACAAATAGACCCATTTTTCTTACCAAAAATAATTATATACTAGTTTTCTCTTAAATGTAACTTTTCCTTCAAGAAATTCAATGCCATTTGCCACACAGCCACCACCTGTTTCATAAGTTTAATTAACTATGTCACCCTGAAATTCAATTCAATCCAATGAAAGTCTTATCCTTCCTGTTTAGCTTACTTTTCCATGATCAATCCGATCCTACAAATGAACTAAATAAGAAAAATACATGCATGACTAGAAGTGTTTGACCAGAAAAATTCTAAAATAAAAAAAAATGAGAGAGTTGTTATTAATTTTTTTATTAAGTATGATTGATCATTTAAAAGCTTTATTTTTTAATAAAATAATAAAATCAGGTTTTAAATTTATCAAAAAATTTATTTTTGATCCATAAAAAATAATATTGAGTTCAAAAATCAATTACGTGTCAAAAAAATTAACACCACTATAATATTCATAAATTGATATAAATTAATCATACATTATTTTTCATATTTTATTTTAATAAATTTAAATAAAATTAAGTATCTACTGTCATTAGATTTAATTTTTTTTCAAACGATCTTAAAAGCATGTTTTTCACATCAATTGATGGAATTATTTTAAAGATATATTTTCTGCATTAATCGATTTGATCATATGCATTTCGATGTTTCATTTTTATTTCATATTATGTCAGTGATGATTTGAATACTTAATGTCTCCTTTTACCTTAGGAAAAGCAGAGAAAGTTTTGACAAATTCTTTGATTCAATATTAATTTCAGAGATGTAATCATTAAAATTAGAAGTATATAATTAATTATTTATGGAGCAATCACAAACATGGCTAAAACCAGCCTGGCAGCTACAAAGCCTATATTGAGCAGCCTTTTTACGGGTCCTCGTCTTTACCTTTGTTATTGTGCTACTTTTTTATTAATTATGTAAATATTATATTAATATTTATAAATTATTTAGATTTGATTTAAATAAAATTTAAATTTAATTCAATCATTATTAAATTAAATTTAAGTTTATATAATTTAATTTATTGATCAAATCGAATTTGAATATTTTTATATTCAATTTGAAGAATTCATGAGCCAATTTGAATTTTTATATTTTAATATATTTAAATTATTTTAATTAATAAAATATTTTAAATTTAAATTTAAATTCAAACATAAATAATTAAGTTTTTATCAAATATAAAAATTAAATTTATTTTTACATATTAATTGAGTCTAATCAAATGTATTTAAATAACTCAAATTTTATCTCAAATTAAATTTGAATTAAAAAAAATAAAATTTTGAATATAAAATTTTAAGTCAAACTTAATATTATATTAATTAGAACTTGATTAATTATACCTTTACTCGTATCCCTCTATGAATATCAAAGTTCATGGTGAAAAAAAAACTAAATTTTAATAAAATACTGCCACAAATTATTAAATGTATTTGGTCAATTATTATAAAAATATTAATTTTACTCAAATTCAATCGAAAATTAGATTTTTTATTTTAATAAGTACGAAAATATATATTAAAATTTGAAAATGAAGTTAAAGATAGTTATGATTTTATTTTATTTTTACTTGGTACAGTTAGAATAGAGTAATATAAAACTTGCACTGTTTTCATACTTTATATATATATATATGTAATAAATTAATTTTTTATTTAATAATATAAATTTTATTTTAAATTTATTAAAACTAATATATTCATATTTAACAAATATAAATTTATAAAAAATTATTATACAAGATAAAAATAAAAAATTTAAAAAATAAAAATTTAATTTTTAAAAATAATTACACGTACAAAAATTATTCATATCTATTAAATATTATAAAAATAAAAATAAATATGAAAATTAATTATAATATTCATTAAATATAAAATATATAAATAAAAAATAAAAAATATTTTATTCATCTCATATTCTACTCATAGATATTTCAATTTATAATCTTAAATAAAATTTAGGCAACAATGTACTTTTTGCCAAAATATCTAGGTAGATTTTTTTTAATCTATGTATCACAATAATTGAATGACGCAATCTCAAAAAAACTAAATTATCTACTTATTTTTGGACTAAATTTGAATTGTTTCAGGAATATATTGTTTAATCAAATGCTGTAGGGACAATAAAAAAAATTTATATGAAATTAATAATTTAAAATATGATACAATAATATAATATAAATATGATATAAAAATAAAATAAAAAATATAATTTAAAATTTTAATAATTATTATATATAAATTTAATAAAATTAAAATAATATATTTTATATTATTGCATTAATATAAATTTTGTATAAAATATTATATAAATATATAAATTTTAATATATTATATTATATAAATATACGAATGATTAGATATAATTTCATGTATATATATTTTAACTATGGAACTGTTCAAAAAATAATAATAAATATCATATTTATCTGTTTATGAGAAATTATTATTTAATTTAGGGCAAGAACCAAAATTTTATTTTATGTCAATTATAAAAAATATTTGGATGTTACCCTTAATTCGGATTTGAAAAATATCTTAAAATTTGTTTAGTGGCATGGTAGGAAAATATTTTATCATGTCAAAATTAATTTATAACTGAAATTTATATTATCAATTGAATTTTTAATTATATTTTAGATTAATATATTCAATTATAAAATACCATGCATATCACGATAAAAAATTTTCACGACGCATGTGAAAATAAATTTTTATTTTCTTAAATTTATACTTGCATTGCATGTGAATAACGTACAACAAATCATGAACTGTATTTATATATAAAACAAATTCAAACCTTATTTTGCAAAAAATTCATAAAATTAACTAATTTGTTTATACATATAGTAAAAGAAAGGAAAAACCCTTATAAGTTTAACAAAAAAGGCCAAAATAAAAAGTTCTTTTAGTTCTAATTAAGTATAAAGGAAAAGAAACTGTTGTAGGTTTGTTTTGCGGTTTGCATGCTGGTACATGTATAAGACTTGCTTCTTTATTTGTCTTTGTTTTCTTCTCCACAGATAAAACGAGCTTAAAAAGCCAGAACCCAACAAACAAAACAAGGAAAATTCTCTTTTCACTATGGGTTGTTTTTCTGATCCATCTCCTTCTTCTTTCTCTCGGTTTCTCAGCTCTTCTTTTAAGGATCACGTCATCATATTCCGGCTGCTTGCTTCAGCTTCCCGGCAAACCATTTACTTTTGAGGTCTAGTTGCAACATTTTTTTTTTTTTTGGGTTTGTCTTGTTGGGTTTTTTTTTTGGTTGGAGTTGGTCCTGTTTGGTTGCTGAGAAAGTGGAAGAAAAGAGAGTGGAAGACAAGAAAGATTGGTTTTTGGGTTTTTGTTTTAGTTTGGTTAGGAGTAGATTTGTAAATAAAGTGAGCTGTCTTGTTTTTCTTTTAGAAATATTTTGAAAAGTGAATAAGAAAAAAAATCAAATCTTTGTTAAAAATTTGGATTTTTTCCCCTTCAAGATCAAGTTTTGATTCATCTTAATGGATAATTTATAATTTTTTTATAAAAATATATTTCTGGCATTTTCTTTTGATTTCTTGGAAAAGCAAACAGAGCGTCCTGACTGAATGGAAGAAAAGATCATTAGCTTAGGAAAACCGAAGACTCCATTTCATTTTAGTTTTTTTGCCTTTACCATAAAGGGAAATTTCAACTAACTTGAAGTTCTAGTTAACTCTAGATTTCCTTTTTTAATTTTCCAGTTGCCACTTGCCAGTCCTTCAGCATGCCAAAAGATTGAAATTACTTCCCGTTTTCCTGTTATCCTTTCTCAGCTACCAAACAGACCATTTGATGGGGTAGCCAGCCAAGTCTAAAGTGTTGAGGGCTTTTATCTATTTAATTGCTAGTACTTGTTTAGCTCCTTCAAAATTCTAGATGGGGGGTTATTGGAATTCCATGTCATAATGAATAATGTCTTTCAGATTCACAGGTTTTTGTTTTTACTGTTATTAAATTGTTGGATTCCTACCTTTCTGAGTCAGATCATATCTTTTATTGGCTAACAGTATCACTCAAATTCAATTAACCTTGTACTATTTCTGAAGCAGGAATTTGAACAAACAAACAAAAAAAAAAATGTACAATGCTTCCTTGCTTGACAATTTTATACTATTTCTTTAACTTGTCAGTCTTTCACAATAGGAAGTTTATGTGACCATTTATTTGTTTTCCACAGGCAGGTTTTGGATCTACACAAAGGAAATATCAATTTTTTATTTTTTGGTAGTGGGTGTAGAATTCTGGAGGCAATGAGGCATTTTTCCTCCATGTTCAATGGAATAGCAAGGTCGTTTTATATAAGAAGAGGGAAAAATTCTGGGAATGGTGATGGAAGAGAAGCTGCTGAGGCAATGGCAAAGGATGCAAAGAAGAATGACTTAATTTTGAGGTCTTCTGGTTTTGTAAATGTGGATGGTTCCGACAATTTTGCCTCGGTTTTCTCCAAGAGGGGCAGAAAAGGAGTGAACCAGGATTGTGCTATTGTATGGGAGGTAAGACATTAGTATTTACTAAGCAGATTGATTGCCTTGAAAGTCTAGTTCTTTTTTTAATTTTCGATTTTGATTGATAAATGTGGCTTCTGTTTGCTTGGAATAGGAATTTGGATGTCAAGCAGACATGTTGTTTTGTGGGATATTTGATGGCCATGGTCCATGGGGTCATTTTGTAGCAAAAAAGGTCCAAAAATCAATGCCTTCATCCTTGCTTTGCAATTGGCAAGAGACTCTAGCTCAGACATCACTTGACCCGGATATGGAATCGGATCAGAGATTTCATATATGGAAGCATTCTTATCTAAAGACTTGTGCTGCTGTTGATCAGGAGCTTGAGCAGTATAGGAAGATTGATTCCTTCTACAGTGGAACAACTGCGTTGACAATTGTCAGACAGGTAGCTGAAGCTTTTATATCTTATAATGGCATACTAATTTATAAATGGAAAAAATATCCATTTGTTCTTGTTGGTGGTTTGAAAATGCAGAGTTCATAAAAGGCTATATTATCAGTGAATTACTAAGTCATGTAATTCTCTTCACCTCTTTCTCACCAACTCTGATGAGTACTGAGGATTTTAAAAGATAATTCATGTGAAATTTTCTTTTTTTTTTTACTTATGAAAAATCTTGTAGTGTAATCAATGCGTAGCTAGATGAATTTAATATTACTTGAACACTCCACTGCATTTTCATGTGGACCTTAACAAAGAGGTTCCAGCGTATTGGGATATTTACTTGAACTATGATCTTTGCACTTATGAGAGCTAATGAGAATAATTTTAAATTTATATTGGGCAGGGTGACCTTATGTATGTAGCCAATATTGGTGATTCTCGAGCTGTTTTGGCTACAACTTCAGATGATGGAAACTTGGTTCCTGTTCAGCTTACTGTTGATTTCAAGCCCAACTTACCTCGTGAGTACTCTGCCATACTCTCTAAAAATGTTAAAGAGAAATAGAAACCATTAGGAATTCTTATGTTTTTGGTTGATCTTGCTTGCAGAGGAGGCTGAGCGGATAATCCAGTGCAAAGGGCGGGTGTTCTGTTTGCATGATGAGCCAGGGGTGCACAGGGTTTGGCTGCCTGATGAGGAGTCACCAGGACTGGCAATGTCTAGAGCTTTTGGGGATTACTGCATAAAGGATTATGGACTTATTTCCATTCCTGAAGTCACACAAAGACGTATAACCAGCAGAGATCAATTTGTTGTGCTTGCGACTGATGGGGTATATACGCACGTTTACTACTTCTTTGATGAAAAGTTTAATGAAAATGCTTGATTTGTGATTGAATCTTGTTACTTAATTTGAATTGAAGAAATATAAAGTGCTTAAAATATACACTTAACAATTTTAGATGCTTTTTTCTTGCAGGTATGGGATGTTATTTCCAATCAGGAAGCAATTCAAATAGTATCTTCAACACCAGACAAGGCAAAAGCATCTAAGCATCTGGTTGACTGTGCTGTCCATGCTTGGAAAAAGAAGAGGAAGGGCATTGCAATGGATGATATTTCTGCCATCTGCCTTTTCTTCCACTCATCTCCCTTATCTCAGCATGAAGATCTTGTTACAACTTCAAAATAGTACTTACGCAAATGAGCAAGGTAATTGCTCTTAAAGTATGTTGTCACACATTGTAATCCTTAGTTCAATGTCGTTAATCAGAAAGTGTTTTTGTATTCCTTAGTTCAATGTAGTTGATCATAAAGTGTTCATTTCATGCCCGTATCTTGTTCTATTCACTTAGTCCATAGAATGATTGATGCCATCCATGGTCGAGCTAACTAGTCCAGTCTAATCTAATATCGAAATTAAAAATGAGGGTACTGTTTTCCTGAAATCAGTGCTAGATTTCTAGCTGTATTGGAGTCCCAGGGTGAATTGTTCATAGAGGTCAGGTATTCACGATGAGGCTTCTACTAGCCTTATGAATATAGGATTATCACGAGCCAATGCTAAGGGGCCCAATACCCAGCTGCTGATCGCCGCTGTGCAGCTGCAGCATTCAAGCAATTTTGCTTGCGCTCTTGCAAAACAGATCAATGACCTGACAACCGATTGTGCTTCAACCATGTTCAGCTGCATTAATCTCTATGGGAAGTACACTCCTGGTCTTTTTGCTAGCGAGTGTCGAGATGGGAAGGAAGGGCTTCAATCATCTGCATCTCCGCCGGTGGTGGCCGCTAATACAAATGCTAATTGAATAACCGTTGCAGTTCCTAACACAGGTCGAGTTATCACTAAAATGTTGTTGTAATGTTGCTTCTCAAATTAAGAGATAGATTTTATTTGCTTTGCGTTAGAATTCCATCAACAAAATAATGAGAAGAGTGGATCCTTTTCCTTCTTAGTAAGGTAAAAAGGTTTGTTTCTTTGCTAAATCGATGGGTGGGACTAAATATATTCGTGTTGCAGTTGTTCCATTAAATATTGGTGCATTTTCCAAAATTGACCTGGATTGGGCTTTAGCTCCAGGTTCCTTGGGTCATGCTTAAAATGAAGGTGTCTTTGGTAGGGTCTCACTCTAACATTTATTAACAATGAAAATTGCCTTTGCTTCCGGCCCAAAAAGAAGTACCTTGAGTTGGTCCTCGATAATGGCATCAAAATAAAGGGACATTGGGTTCGGCGTTGTTTGGGTGTCATCCTAAGATGCCCGCTACACCCCAGCATTTCTTTCTTTGACTCATTTCTTGTATTTCTTGTATACTCAATGTAAGGTCATTTTAATAGTATTTTTTTCAGATTCTAGATATCCTTGCCTGTCTTTAGGGTCCAATAGAAAAGGGTAGCGACCCAAGAAGTTGTTAGTGATGCTTAGTTTATTAGTCTACAGAATTGATTGAAATTATTGTAGTATGTAAGGGTAAAACTTTGAGTCTTGTATCCCCTATGCATTATATAGCAGTTTCTAGCTTGAGTTGAGTGGATTCATTTATTTTGTTTCGTTTGGGGTTGTGAATGGAATGTAAACTGAAACATGTTTTGATTGCTTATTTTGAAGTATCATTGGATATGACTATAAGAATAAGTTGAGCAACTTTGACTGTAATTAAACTTGGGATGGATTGATCTATGGATGTTCTCTGGACACAAAGTGTAAAATTGGGCTAAAGTGGTGTACAGGAACTTGGTGTGAAAATAGCATAGGACTTCCTAGTTGAAAATAGTATTTTTTTCCAGGCATAACTGATTTTATTCTATAGGTTGTTTATTGGGGAAAGAGTTGATGAAATTTTTTAAGTGAAGTTTATAAAATTTAATGATTAAATAAATTAAAATCGAAAATCAAAATCGATAAATTAAAAATTTTCGTTATATAAATCAAACGTGTACAAAATAATAATAACCTTCATCTGTAAGAAGTGCAAGGCTGCCATCTGAAAGGTGACTTGTATCCCAAACGAGGCTTAAACGATGAAGAAATTAACTAGCAATCATGAGGAAGATCCAAGATGTTTTTGTGGGTTATTGTCAATGTGGGGGACGTTCATTTTTCTTGACCTTTCAAAACGAAATATGAAACAATGCCTAATTAACCTATTTTTATATGAGACAATTTCCATTTGAATCATTAGTTTACATGTCTAAATAGATTACATTAAACAAGTTTGTTGAGTTATGGTCGTAAATTTTTTGACTTAAATCTTTGATTAAAACGACCGATACATATAATTATCATTGAACTAAAGTATTCAAGTGTGATATGATAGTTTTTAGTTTTTAAATGTAGATGTGAATGTGTTGGATAAGATTAAAAATAAAAAATTAATTAAGTTTATATTTTATACCACAAAAAAACATCTTTTAATAGTTAAAATGCTGGAAAGTATTAATCAGTGCTTTCTAAATTTTTCCTTTTGCTTATAAAACCAAAAGGGTTACCAAAATTTTGGTAGAATGCAAGTTGATTGAACTTTTGCTTGGGATTAATCTGACCACAATTGGAATTTGCCTTCATATCTGGTCGATGGCCTTATCTGTCCCCCCTTTTTGGACCCTGTCAATTACATGGTCTGCGTAGATGGAGTTTAATATTGTTGTTGTTGTTATCCAGGATGCTTTTTCTAGCCTGGCAAAAGCGACAATTGACCAAAAACATCGAATAAATTATTCAGAATGAGCAGTTTTTTTTACCTCTTCTGCATTATTTCACGCAATGACCTCAATGATATATGTTTCCTTCAAACATGACGACTGCATCTTTATAAAAATCAAAGTAGAATTCCCACGAGCTTTATAGCCTTAAACAGATATCTATCTATACATGTTGGCCCTTCACCAGAAATTTTGTTAGCAAAACAGTTTTGAAGTTCATAGATTGAATTGAAGTATTGAACAACTACAACATGTTGCCAGAAGATTGTCTGGCTACTGTTCTTTCCTTCACCTCCCCTGAAAATGCTTTCAGATCATCGTTGGTTTCATCGACTTTTCGATCAGCAATTGATTCGGATATGGTTTGGGAAAGGTTTCTGCCTCGGGATTATCCTGAAATAGTATTGAGTTTGGTCACTCCTCTGAAGTTTTCTTCAAAGAAAGAACTATTTCAGCGTCTTTGTGACCCAGTTCTCATAGATGGTGGTAACAAGGTACCTCATTGTCTTCTTTGTCTATTTTATTGAAAAATCTCGAAAACATTGACCGACTCCGTTTTAAATGCGTTGAGGATAAAACAAAGACAGGGTTCATTAATTTCAGTGTCATGTCAAAAGTATGTCTGTGCAAAATTTATTCCATCATTCCATTTGCTTTTGAAAAGTTGAATTGAATCTCAATAGACTGTATTTGATGCTGAAGGCATTGAATCTGCATCAGAAATAGTAGTTAATTCTATGGGGGCATCCCACCATATCAGATATGCAGAACATTGGAAATACCCTTTTTTTTACCATGAATTTAGCAACCGCTTTATGTTTTTTTTAGCATTGACTTTCTATTTTTACAGATTTTCAAGTTGGAAAAATCATCAGGCAAGAAATCTTACATATTATCTGCAAAAGAACTTTCCATCACATGGAGCTCCAATCCATTGTATTGGAGCTGGATATCTATGGCTGAATCAAGGTTGGTTTCAATTTTGCTTACATCAATAGTCACAAGTTGCTTCAGCCTTCATGAGGATTTTGGGTGAAGTAGAAATTAATTCAACCAAATTCATAACTAGAAATTGGAATCTGTCTGTTTCCAGGTTTTCCAGGGTGGCTGTGTTAAGAACAACTGATTGGTTAGAAATTCGAGGCAATATCAGGACTCAAATGCTGACCCCAAACTCAACATATGGTGCATATCTTATAATGAAAATCTCCGACCGTGCATATGGGCTTGATTCGATGTCATCAGAGATAACTGTGGAAGTGGGAAACCAACAAGTTTCTTGTAGCAGTGTTGTTTTAGAGCATCATCAGGAGAGCAAGAAACAGATGGAAATGTGGAAATCAAGTGAAGGGATTGTGAGTGAAAGGGAAGATGGGTGGATGGAGATTGAACTGGGACAGTTCTTTACTGGGGAAAATGATGAGGAAGTGAAGATGAGTTTGATGGAGGTTAAGGGTTGTCATCTCAAAGGAGGGCTTGTAATTGAAGGTATTGAAGTGAGGCCAAAAAATTAAGGCTAGTAAGACTGGTTTTAGTGAGATTGAAAAAAATAATAAAAGTTATTGTAATTGTGATTGAAAAACAAAAGTTATTATAAGTGTGATTAAAAAAAATTCAACGAAAATTTTATGTTAAATGAATATCACTGGAATTGATGTTTAAATTTAATAGGTAATACAGTAAACTTAATCACTCTGTATCAAAGACGTGGTGAAATTTAAACTTAACCTAATTTGTTATTATCAATGTTCCTAGACATCCATCCTGTAATCGGATTCTATAACAAATTACCATGTAATTATTCATTTGAATTGATAGATCAGCTATTTTGAATTTTTTTGGGGGGCGGGGGGTTAATTTTTACTACATTAAATGAAAGTAATTAAGTAGCAATCATTAATCAACTTAATTTGATTTTGAATCAATTTAAATTTAATCAATATGATAGAAACTTTACAGATGGAAATGATTTCTATATATATTCAAGCTAACAACTCAATTTCTTGAGCATTGAACTTAAAGTGATTTTGCTGATAATTGTGAGAACTTACCATAAATCATGCATATATAACCATAATAATAATAAGAAATAAATAAACAAAAGCTATCTCTTTCTCCGATTTGAGGGGACAAATAAGTAAAGTAAATAAAAAAAATTAAGAGGTAATGTTAGAAAAGGTTTTCTTCGAAAACTTCTTCTCTTAAGTTTCAAGTAGAAGCTTTTCTGGATTAGGGGAAAAAAAACTTTCTCTAGAAGACAGCTAAAAAAATTAAAAAAGAAAAAAAAGGAGGAAAAAAAGAAAGGAAAAGAGAAAAAATAACCTGCATGTTTTTGTTCCTTCCCATTATGATGGCTACCTTCTAGGTTTCTTCCAAAATGCTATTTTTAAGATCCAAAATGATATCTACTCTTTCTCTCGAGCAAGGAAGAGGATGATGAGAGACTTCAAAAGGTTATAGTAGGGTCCACCTGCTGGTATTAGTGGAGCTACTCAAGATAATAATATCATGCTTTGGAACATTATTAATTTTGGGTATTTTTTAATTTTTTTCTTTTTTTTTATCTTTTTGATTTGGTTATTTTTTAATTTTGGGATTTTTTTTTGCAGGCTTGATAATATTCCTTAGGATGAAGGTAAAATTTTGTTTTTTGTTTTCTTTCACTTGAATTTTATAATTTTTTAGTTTTCTTTGTTATGCTATTGGCGTTTTCTTATGGGATTTTTGTTGGAGTTGTGAAATTTAAGCTGTTAATTATGTTACCTTTTTGGGTTTTAGGTGAAAATTAAAGAAATGGTATCATTTTGTTGTTTCAGTTCATGCTAATTTAGTCATTTTGTCTTGAAATTTGAATTGTTATGTATTTTTGAAAATGCATAATTAAATCAATATGCATTGATACAAGTACACATGGTTTTTCTGAGTTGATGAAAAGGGATTGCGGTTGAATTTTTATGCGATCTATTTATTTAATTAATGCGGTTAATTCTATTTTTCAGCTTTTTAGACAGTGAGTTACAGATTTGGGACACGACCCAACATCGCATAGTAATCATTTCCCTTTTTGAATGCTGATTTTGTATTCTACAATTGTATGTATCTCTTAGCATATAGGATTATCAGGTTTTAATTTATTAGGCTTTATAGTCTAAACAAATCATATGCATTTCCTATTTGCAAAACATTATGTAAATATTTTTGCTTTTCGTTTTCATCCTATGGGAAGAGGGTTAAGGGAGGGTTGGTTATGTATTTAAATCATAGAAGGTTGTGAGATTGGGGGAGAGGAAGGGTGCATTACAACATGTTTTGAAATTTCTAAAATTCTAAATACAAAAGCAATTTAAACTGAGTTTGAAGGATGTATAAGGACTAGAGATGTAATTGATAGAGTTCGAACCGATACAGTATTAAGCTTAAGTTCAAGCTCGAGTTTGATTCAAAATTCAGAGTTCAATTCGAAATTCAAGGTTCGAAACTCAGCTCGAACTCGATCGAGTTTTATTTTTTAACTCAAGTTTGACTTGAAATAGAAATCGAACTACTCGAGCTCGTTTGATTAGGCTTGATTAAAAATGTAAAAATAACATCAATTCTTATATTCGACAAAAGCTTGATTATTTGTGCTCGAGCTCGAGCTCGAGCTTGAGTTTGAAATATTTTATTAATTAAAATAATAAAAATATATTTAAATATAAAAGTTCGATTAGGCTCGCGAGATACTTAAGCTGGGTATAAGAATGTTCGAACTCAGCTCAATCGATGAGTCGAGCTGCTTGAGCTTAAGCTCGACTCGATAATAATCGAGTTGAATTCAAGTTTTATTTAAATCAAACCCGAGTAGCTTATGAGTACTAACGTATCATTTACACCCCAAATAGGGACTAAAACAAGTAATTAAGTGCAATGAATTTGTGGGTAAGAGAAATGTGTGTAATGTTGTCTTTTTTCTAATAATAGCTTACTGATAGTTAATTTAAGAAGGAAAAAGATTAGGTGAAAGAAGTATATCCACTCTTATGCTATGATTTATTATGTTCATTTGAAGTAGCTTTTTTCGTTTTAATTAATAGCTTTAATTTGAGTTCTAGGATCTATTTCAATTACATGTGAAACTTTGTCACTTTGCTAGAACCCAATGGCATTATTTGTTAGGAGTTGTTTATGAACAACCTTATTAAAAAGGTTTTTTTAGGTAATTGTTTTATATGTACTTAAAATATTTTGTTAACAGCTTAAAAGTTAGAATGGATTATCCTTTTTTGAGTTCTTTCTTTTTAGTTAATTAGTGAATTATTTATATATCCTCTTTGGCATTGGTAGCAGTAAGACTAAAAATTGGTGGCACTATCCAGCAATGTGCAAAGAGGTATGTAATCATGTCAGTTGGTTGAATTTACATAATAATCTTATCTTCAAATTCTCAAATTCTTTCTTTTTAAAAATATTTTTTTTGTTTTGTCCCTCTTTCATTTCTTGATATGCATATTTTATTAACTCAAAATCATTATTTGACAGTTGGGTCAAATATAAGCATAATTCATTTGATCAGAGAAAATAAGCTGAAGGATTTTAGTTTTGTTATTATTTTTCAAGCAATTTAAAATTTTAAAGCTAGACTGAAGAAAAAGTGAATTTGGAATAATCCATTTTGAAGATTAGGTGCTTTAACTTTTTTATTTGTTCAATTTAAATTGAAATGTTTATTTTGATTGTTTACTATTACTTCTTAAATGTGTTGATTTGGTCCTTTATATTTAAATTTATCAAATTTTTTATTTGTATGTTTTTCCTGTTTGGTTTCCTTAAAATGTTGGTTATATTAGTTGCATCAATGCTTTATTAAGAGTAAGTTTAAATTTTTTATTATTTTTTTTGTTTTTGTTATATGCATATAGCTCTATACACTTTGAACAAGAGCTCTATGCCTTAATATCTAATCAATTGAAAGAAATGAGATTTCAAAAAAAAGATCCATTTGCTCATTTTAGGTTAGCCTTACTATTGGAAATATTACTATTTATTAATTTGATGAGTTGAATATGATGGGGTTTCTTGGATTTGTAAAAGTTTTAATGGGATTATGATTTTAGGGATGAGGATTTTGAATGGTAAAATTATAATTAGTGAAATAGTTTTACTTTTGTTTAAATCTATAATGAATATGAAATTAGAAAATAAAAAATTTCTCCTTTATACTTTTAAATTTTTTTACATAGTGTCAATTTTTCAATCTTCTTATAAATTCTTTCTTAATATGTTTTCTAATTATTCATCCTTTTTTCTTTAGGTTCATAGACGTTGGGTCAGATTATAGGCCTTGACAAGCTCTTTTAGGGTTGTTTGGTTTCTCCGAGATTCGATACTCCTATTAATCTTCTTGGTCGTAAAGATGCAAACGTATGAGTTCAATTTTTTTTAATCTTTTAGCCACTTTTTAGATTTTTTTGGCTAGGTTTAATAGCTTGCATTTCTACTAATGATTCATTGTAGTAGTTTTCTTTTATTCAAGTTTATTTGTTTAGTAGTTTTGATAGTTTTGTCATTTGTAGAATTTCTTTATATTGCTTAATGAATAAGATGTTGAAAACAAGGGAAACACTTGCAGATAATAAGTGGTCTTTTGCTCTGATGGCTTTTTGGTTCCATTTCGAAAAGCTCATGTGATAAGAAGCAAGATTATTCTAATTTAATTTTTTAACTTTGAAGTTTTTGAGTAGTTTGATAATTAGATTAGATGCTTGATTCTTGTATTAAAATCAGTATGATTTGAGTAGTTTCTCTGGGGGGCTTTAGTTTTGTTAAAAATGGTTTGTTTTGGTAGTTTAATGATTGGAGATCAACATTTGTTCTTATCAAGCTGAAAATGCAACAAGACTAACCTTTGGGTCTTGGTTGTTGAAAGAAAAGGAAAATGATGAAAATATAGTTCCTTTCCACTCTTTATTTAATTCATGATAGATATGTAGTTGTCTGTAAAATGCCCTAAAGTTTCAATTTTTTAGCAACCTATTGGAAATTTGTCAACATATATTATTTAAGGATGGTTTTGAAGACTAATGAAAAAAGGTTCAAACTTTTGCAGGTGGTCTTTGATAACATAAAATTTGATGGGTGGTTAATTTCGCATGTTATTGTAAATTGGTAATAACTTATTTGCTTATTTACCTCTCTACTTTGATGTATAATTCAAAGACAATTTGATGGGTGGTTGGGTCGTTGAAGAAGATGACACCACTTATCAAAAGATATTTAATTAATCTAATTCTTATGAATGAATTAATTGTGCATGATTTATTAGCTAATTTGATTTGCTTAAAAAAGATTGATATTTATTCACACTTTGCTGAAATTAAATTTGATGTTCTTTTTTCTCTTCTTCAAAGTTCAAGTTGAGATTTTTTGCTATGATTTATGACAAATTTGTTCTTGCATGCATGTATGATTTATGGTTTTTTTTTTCTTTTTAATTTTAGAAGCATTAAGCATCATTTAAATAAAATGAAATTAAGTTTTGTTAATGGATCTCTGCAAATGACCATAACTTTAGAGGGAATTATGATTTTATCTTCTTACAGATGATACAATTTTCCTAAAAATGGTTGCTTTTAGGTAAAGTACTCTATTCTTGGATTATTTCTAATAAACATTTATAAATAATGGTCTAGTAATAATCATTTTGATATGGTTATGCAATCATTGGCTATGCAAGCATGTTCATTGAGCAAAATGTGACTAATAGGCTTGATCTAGTTTTCATGGGTTGATTTTTAAGTTGTTTACTTTTTATCTTTATGAATCTCTTGGATTAAGTTCATAAGTACTAAGTAGGGTGTTTTAGTGTCTCCAAATGCTCCAATAAGAATAATATTTCTCATGTAAAATTTAAAGTTGCTATGTACTTTCATTGATGTACTATTATATTCAAATTTGAGTGTCTAGGTTTCATTCTTCGTAGTAATACATCCTTCGTATGAGACTTTTTCCTACAAAGATGAAGGTTTTATTATGCATAGTGGTAGGTATTTGGTAAGAAAAAGTATTTATTGAATTGATTGGATTAACCTTATATTTTTCTTCCTATATATTTTAACTTTAATCTTATTTCCCTTTACTTTAATATATAGGCAATTAAACACTTAGGTGCAACCCTTTAATCTCTAGCTTTCTAGATTTAAGTTTTAAATGAAAAGGAATTAAACGGCTCAGATGGTGGTTTTGCTTTTGAGAATTATATTTTTGTATGTTTGATATCTTAAAACCCATTATGATTTGTAAAGAACCCATAATGTTTGCTATAAAAACATTACCAATGTTTCAAATTTCCCTTTATAAGGAATTTCATGGAATTTCACAATGATCAATTTTTTACTGTGAGAAATTTCATGAAAGTGTTGTATGCATATCATGTGCTTACAGCTTTAGAAATGATATGGATAATGAATTTTTTCTTATATAACATGTTAAATCTTTAATCAAAAAAAATTTGAATATTTGTAAAAAACTTTTTATAATGTTTGCAGGATCTAATAATCTAACATCTTCTTCAAGTTTAGAAATTTTGGGTGCCTTGAGCATGGATTACTTGGTATATGTATTATTTGTTATAGGGTAAATTACATGATATGAAAGTAGAAGTATTAAAAGTATGCATTTTTTTATGTGGAAATGCGAATTTGTCACTTTATTTTTTTTGTCACTTCTCTTTTTTTCATTAAAAGAGAATTATTCTTAGAATTTTATGCTATCTAATGTGGAAGAAATTTTGTCATTCACAAAAGAGATAAATTAACAGTAGCTAGCTAGTGGCTTTGCTTTGCTTTGACTGTGTTATACATAACATAACTCATCACATTTTTTTTTCCTTTTTGACTTAATCAAAGATTACATTTTTGCGTGAGAAAGCACCATTGTTTGGGACCCCTCATCCATCATTCATGCATGCCACACATTTCTTTACTATTCCTAATGGCTTTTGCTACTATAACCGCCCCGCCCACGATTTTTCTTTTTTTCTAGACATTTCATTTCGCCTTGAAATAAGAAATTGTATTGATATTAAGTATCACAAAAAACATGTTAACTAAAATAAAGGAGTAAATAAAAATAGATAAATAAATAATATGTTCCATTGTTTCCATGGCTACTTCTTAGACGGTGAGGTCCCCTCTATACACCCGAACTCATTCATTTATTTAACATTTAATTGGTAATTTGTACAATTTATACGCTTCGATTTTATTCATAAATTTTTTAGTAATAGATCTTTCATAACGAGATCTATTTTATACAATAACAATATGTAATTAAGGATATTAATTGGATAATTGATCTTGTTAGTCCGTTCTTTACAAGAGTCTTATATGTATATTATGGGTTAATTAGAATACATATACATATATATATATATATATATATATAATAAAGAACAAGATGCTTTTAATTTCTTTGAAAGCTCACCATCTTTATTGCTTTTTATCTTATTTTTTCACATAAGTTACAATCTCATGAAACTTATTAATGATGGATTTTTTATTTTTTTTAATTTGAAAAAAATTAATTATGGAAAAAAAATAAAAATCAAGGTCTTCATTATTCTATACAAATGAAAAAGAAATCAAGAAAAAATAATGTTAAAAAAAATTCCCAACGAAGTGAGGGCCGAAATTTAGTAAGAATAATAATTATGATAATAATAAAAGAAAAGAGGAATATTGGAAATATGTCTTCGTCAGTCGTTAATATTTATTATATTTTCATTGCTTTAGACACGAAACTGGGCCAAGTCTAATTTTGAGTCGTCAAGACAAATATATGGTCAAGTCATAAAAAAATTAGAGTTCACATCTATATTGAATCAAATTATATTACTAAATCCTATTTTATTTCAACGAATAGAAGTTATGAAAAAAAGGAAAACATCAAAACAAAATAGTCGATTTGAACTTTGTTAAATAATATATATTTAAAAAATTATAATTATAATCAAATGTAACATTTATATAATCAAATTTTTTTTTTCATAGTTAACATAAATAAAAAAAGAAAAAGTTTAAATTTTTTTCAAACCAAGTTCGCTCAAAACCAAATTTTTTTTAAAATTTTATTTGAGAAAGGAAAAAATCTGAATATTGAAATAAATATTCATACAAAAAAACTCAATTTTTTTAAGTAAAGTTTCAATTTTGAATTATATAAATAAAAAAAATAAGCTTAAGAGAATTTATCTCTTTATAAAATTTGATTTGATTCAACTTCGAATTAATTAAAGCTCAAAGAAATTATCGGAGGGGTCTCAGACCAAAAAAAAAAATATTCATGCAAAACTAAGAATTTCCTGCTTTTACTTTTCACACTGTCCACTTCCCATTTTGATCAGGTAAAGCACGCAATTGACATTGATATTAAAATTAAACATCTAGTTAATGTTGATATTATATAGTATCTAATTACAAATTCTGCAAATTATTATATTAATTCCACAAACGTGGTTTCCTTTAACTTTTTTGACTTCAATTCATTGGTCATCAAAAGAACAAGATAGGGAAAATTCTCTGAAAGTTGGGAGACCCTCTCTGTGATTCACCATTTTGGACGTTTATATAACCAGCAAATACTTATTGGAAAAGTCCCAAAATCCATAAATTGGATACATAGCTTTGGTTTTGATTCCTATTCTTCTGTTTCAAGACAGCAAAAAAATGGAATGTTTAGACTTGAACAAGTTGCCAGTGGGCTGTGTTTCTGTGATTCTGTCCCTCACCTCTCCACCAGATGCTTGCAAATCTTCGTTGGTATCAACAACTTTTCAATCAGCAGCAGAATCTGATTTGGTTTGGGAGAGGTTCTTGCCATCTGATTATCGTGAAATTGTTTCCAAGGCTAGTAATACCTTTAAGTTTTCTTCAAAGAAAGAGCTTTATCTACTCCTCTGCAATCCTGTTCTTGTAGCTGATGGCAAAACGGTTAGTTTCCAATGACAAAACTGCTTCACATTTAATGATATTTTACCAGATTTTATTTCTTTAATCTATATATTTTTTATATTTTACTCCATATAATGTAGAGTTTCAAATTAGAGAGATCAACTGGAAGAAAATCCTATATTTTATCCGCAAGGGAGCTTTCTATATCCTGTAGCAATGATCAAATGTTTTGGGTTTGGAAATCCATCCCTGAATCAAGGTCAGTGCTTGCTTTCTATAACCTGGAGCAATGATCAAACTAAGCAGGCAGATTCTGATACAAAGTTTTCTTGTCTTCAGGTTCTCAGAGGTAGCTGAACTCAGAACCATCAGCAGGTTGGAAATTCATGGCAAGATCAGAACTAAAATACTTTCTCCAAACACAACCTATGGAGCTTATCTTTTGCTGAAACTCGCTGACCGTGCCTATGGGCTTGATATACTACCATCAGAAACATCAGTTGAAATTGGCAATCAAGCATTCGTTAACACAGCTTATCTGCGTAGCCAAGACAGCAAGAAACAACAAATGGAAAACTTGTTTTATTCAAACAGGAAGCATATGCTAAAATCAAGGGTGATTGAAGGAGATGATCGGGTTCTGAGCAAAAGAGAAGACGGTTGGATGGAGATTGAGCTTGGAGAATTCTTTAATGGTGAAGATGATGAAGAGGTGAAGATGAGTTTGATGGAAGTTAAGGGTCAGCAGCTCAAAGGAGGTCTTATAATTGAAGGCATTGAAGTAAGGCCAAAAACATAATCCGGCAACAAAGATATTTTCTTATCTTTTTAAGGATCAGGTCGGGATGGGGACATGAATTGTCTTTGATAGATAGAATTACAGGTAGCTATTCGTATAGGGATAAGAGTTTTGTCTTCTCCTTTTGTACGTCAATGGCAAATACAGTTAGATTGAAGAACAAATATACAATATTTTCATTAATTTCTCACGAAAAGTACTACAAGAAATAGAAAAATAATTTTTTCATTTCATTGGGTCATATAGCCAACTTTTTCCAGTTCTGAATGAATAAACGTGCTGACCGGATATAAAGCTGGAGTCATTTCAAATGGCCCCAACGCGTGCATCCGAAGTCTTTATCTTATTTTTAGATTATGATTTCTTTTATAAAAAAAATAAAAATACACGTACATATGTACACATAATTGATTTTTTTTTTTTTTTGCCTTCCCACTTTGGTAAAGTTTAAGGTGTGTGAAGGTTTATATGAAACTTCGTACTAACTCAAAATATTCGATTTTAGAATTAATGATATGTTTTATCTTTGAACAAAAAAGGCAAAACGACCTTAATGTGCTCATATGTGTGGCTTCATTGAGGCATTCTCACGATGTTCGAGCTCACAAAGAATGACTTGTCGAGGCTTCTTAGATAAGTGGGTTTGAACTTTCATCTCACGTGGAGTAGATTTTTTCATATTGAGAAAATTTGAGGTATGTACATTTATATGAGATTTTATGTTAACTCAAAATAATTGATTTTGAAATTAATTATTTATCCTATCCCTGAAAAAAAAAATTTTTAGTCAATTTTTTTTTAATAAATGCCTCTTATCAGCATCATTTAAGGATTTAGTATAAAAAAAATCAAGTAAGAATATTTTTTAAGTTCTCAATCTACGGTTCAACACTCTTACTCTAGTACTTAAGTAACTGAAAAAAAAAATTACACACATGAACACTTTCAATCCCACGACCCTCAAACGTGACATGCCAATTGATCCAAAATTCAATCCAAAATATAAGGAACATCTCTAATACAATATTAAGTTCACAATGTGTAAATGTATGCCGCACAAGCAAGCAATCGAACAAACCCAAAATGATATTGGGCTTTTTGGATCCATGAACTGGCCCAAAATGATATGAGAGTACAATTGTAATTAAAACAAACAACGGAGGGGTATTATGGAAAAACGAAAAACCGATCAACCAATTTAAACTGAACCCTAACCCTATCTCCTCTTTCTGTGCAGCCTCCTTCTACGTTACTCTCAGTTTCCGTCTTTCTCTTCCATCTTCGTTAGCTCTGTCGTTTTTTTTTTTTTTTTTTTTTCAAATTTTCTTAAAAAATTTTCATTTATTTTGATTTAAAAATTTGCCGATGATGATAAATGTTTAATCCCAGCTCATTATGAGACCTTTTTAAAAGGTCTGGGAATTGATTCATAATCCAACATTTATCTGAGCGTAAACCTTTTTTTTTTTTTGTTGTCCTCTCAAATTTTGAAATTTTCTTTAATTTTTTCTTTTTTGCTTATTTTTAATTATTTCTTTTTTTTTTTTTGGAATTTTTGGTTGTGTTGTTGAATGTTCCCAGTGATGGTTGAAATTTTAAAACCATGCTAATTCTGATAATCCAATGATTAAAATATCATTTAATACATTCTGAGGGAACTATTCCTTCCATAAAATGTCTCTTTTTTCCCTACTAATTAAGATCAAGAGTCTTTAAGTGAAACTCGTTAACTTTTTTATTAAAAAATTTACATATTTTATTTAAAAATTAAAAAATTTTGTATATATAAATTTAAATTTTGATTAATATTTGATTAAATTATTTTTTAAAAAAATTTTACCAACTTTATCTAAAAAATTTCAAAACAATTGTCTTCATTTTTCAAATTTGGCCACTTTTGGAGTAGAAACTTTGTTTATTGGTGACTTTTTAATATTCAATTTAAAATCAATCTTAATCATATTATTGAGTGATCAAAACACATACTTTGGATCAAGCAAAAAATTGTTTCTTTTTATAGGAAGGAGGCAACGTATCTAGTCAGGGATCGGAAAATCACATCAAATAAACCACAAACCCACGTTTTGAATTTTAAATATATTGAATATTAATTTATTTTTTAATTTTAATGATACAAATTAATTAAATTAAATTTTGAATTAAATAGCTTTCGGTTAATTTGATGATTTGGTGGGCTGAATTCGATATGGCTTGAATTTTGGATTGGGATTTGGGTTTGTAGTGTTTCCAAACTTGCTTGGGCCTTCAGATGGTTGGTCTTATCTTCTCATTAATTTTTTTTTGTTTGATGAAAGTCTATCATTACGTCTCTGCTTATATATTTGAGAAAACAAAAAGAAAATTGTCATGAAATTTAGAAATTTCTCATTACTCGGTATAAACTGTAGTCTAATTTATTTTTTTCCTAACGATTTATGTATTTAAATTATGTAAATTATTAAAATTTATATATTTATATCATATTTTATATAAAATTTATGTGTTATAATTCGTATAAATATAAAAATATAAATTTTTTTATTTTATTAAATTTATATATAATTATTATTAAATTTAAAATTTAAACGTATTATCTTTATGTTATTTATTTATATGATATTTATATTGTATTATTAAAATTTAATTGGTGCGGGTTATGTATTAAGGGACGTGACATCTAAAACCAAATTCAATGGTTTGTCATGTGTCATTCAAATAATCAATCCTCCCTTCTTTTTTTGGGTTGTATGAAACATACCAGTTAAGAAAGTTTGTCTTTCTTATTTAGAAAGAAAATAGAAATCATGAAAGCAACATGGAACCGATTGACCCACAACACAATTAAATCCTCATATTCATGTGATATTTGTGAACCCTTGATCCTTCATTCATAATTTCCCTTTTTTAAGTTGTGACGAATGGAAAAGATTCTTGTTCACGTGGACTAGCAAGGGTTTTTGCCAAGAAAACAGGGGCTGTCCCCATCAGGCTCTGGGCCGAGTATTTTTAGTGCTTTAGTTAGCTCACCATTGCAGTGGCAAATGGTGGCATCTGGTTGAGCATTATCTCTTAATTTAAAGTACGATTATGATAATATAATATAAAAATAAAATATAAAATTAATATGATTTAAAATTTTAATGATAATTATATAAGAGTTTAATAAAATTAAAAAAATATATTTTATATTTTTATATTAATATGAATTATAATGCGTAATTTTTATATAAAATATAATATAAATATATAAATATTAATATTTTATTAAATACAAATATATGAATTATCAAAATCCTTTGTATGATACCCCTCACCTTAATCACGGACCAACCCAACGCAACCCAACAACCTATGATTTCATGATTCCATGGGTTTAGAGTCCTTTGTTTTTATGATCTCTTTGTAAGTTTCTTTCATAAACTTGTTAGGCACATACCAGATTAGAATTTGATATATATATATATATATATTATCAAATAGATTAAGAAAATAGTGATAGAAAGATAAGGTTTGACGTTGGAACATCAACATTCAATACTAATTATTATTATCACTTTCAAGTATGACTTCAACCACTAGCTTCGGATTCAATATTATATCTAGCTAAGAAAAGAAAAGATCCACTGCATGATCCAAAAACCAAAATTAAGCCCATCTCTTTTGAATATCCTACCAATAAATTTTCCAGTTTTTGACAGTTGAAAATTCAATAAATCAAATATTTTCTTAAAATTTTAATACTAAATTTATATGATTTCTCTTTGTTCTATTTTTAAAATTTTTTTTTGGGATATCTCAAAATTATATATATTTAAATATCTAAACTCTTACTTTTTTATATTTTAAAGTTATTTTTTATAATTTTTTTAAATTTTTTAACATTAAAAATTATGAAACTTTAATTTAATAAAAAAATTTTAAAATTTATTATTAAATACATTAAAATCAAAGTTTTTTTTTTAAATTTTGTGAAAATATTTTAAGATGAAATAACAATTTTAAATTATAATCTTATCACTCTTTAAAAAAATTACCTAAATATAAAAATTACAAAAAATTTAAAACTTATATAATTATTTTTAGAAAATAATATTAAGTAACGATAATATTTTTATACCTTTTATAAAAAAATTACAAATGAAAAAAAACAAAGAGGATTGGTTGAGTAGCTTAGCTATTTTGGTTAAAAAATTGAAATCTTTTTCAAATTGATGCATGTTAAAATATCGAACCAACTTCGTGCTAAGATTAGGATGAAGATATTTCCAACATTATTAATTTTATTATTACAACTAAAAGACAAAAGATAATTATTAAAGGCACCGAATCATGATCATCCAAGTCCTTGTACAGTTCCCCGACACTCACCACCTCAAACCTCACCACAAAGAGCCACGTGGCTAAAAATTTTCCGTGCCACCCTTCCTCCTTCGTACTTTTCTTACACGTTACAAAGGAAACCGAAACTCCCCCATGTTTGAAGTAAGGCACAAAGCATAACTCAGACAAATGTCTAACCAAACCTTAAACGACATGTCGTCGTCGACAATAAGGAGTCTCAGCGAGATATCGGAGTCGGACACGATACATCTCGGTGTCGATCTCGTGTCGGCGGCTAGAAGAAGTATTGGGTTCTTGAGAAGTGTTAATGAGTGCCAGTGGCTTCACCAAAGAGCAACAATTGCTGAAGCAATAAGGAGGTCAGATCTTTTTTTTTTTTTTTTGAAGAGGTTGAATGTGATGAGAATTCTTTTTTTTTTTTTTTTTATCTCTGTTTGTAGGTATGATAAGGTATGGATGCCGTTGATTTCTGATCTGACGGTGGAGGGGTCAACGCCTCCTATGGTTTTGCCACCTTTTGATGTTGAGTGGGTTTGGTTTTGTCACACCTTGAATCCTGTAAGTGTATACTATGCAATGCTTTTGAGTTTTGACTGTTAATTATGTTTGGTTGATGGGAGAGTGTGAGAAAATGACAAAGAAATTTCAAAAAGAAAAGAAAGTTTACATGCTCGTTTCAGTAATTTACTTGAAAGATTGAGAAGGCTAGTCTTTCTTCTGGCTTCTTTCCTTATTTTTTTTCTTGGCAACCAAACAGAATGTTGAATTTTCTTTGACTCCTTTTTGATTAGTCTATAATATAACCATGGTTTTACTCTCATTTTTCACTGTGAATTCTGTTTTCTGGGGTTTCTTTTTCCATTTTACCCAAAAAAGAATGATTTTTTTACAGGATGGTTATAGGAAATACTGTCTTTCAAGGTTCTCAAAGCTAATTGGAAAACCAGCAATTTTCAATGAAGAAAATGAAGAGTATGCATTGATGAGATGTAGAGCAATTTGGGTCCAAAAATATTCATCTGAGCCTTTTGAGAATGAAGTTGAATCAGATTCTCAAGACCCACCATTAATAAATGAAGATATTTTCAATGACGTTCAAAAGCACAAGTTTTTGTATTCAAAACTTTCAGAACCCTATTTGTGTGAGCTAGTGTATTTGATAGCAGCTAGACAAAGATACAGAGGATTTTTGTATATGATGCAAAGATTTGGAGATGGGTGCTTTCGATTTGTGCCTGCTTTCGATATTCTACTAATGCTGCTGACTCATCAGGTAGATTTTTTAACCATTATCATTTTAATAAATAAAGTTTTTTAGATTCATTCTACTTGTTCTTTTATGATAATTAAGGATTAAGGTTTCTGTCATTGTTTTTATCATTCACGATTGTAATTGCAGCCATGTTTTCCATCAAGTAGTTTAGTATTTGTTTCTAAGTAGTGGTTGATAAAGACACTCATTAAGCGTTTGATAAATCCAGAGCTTAGTTCAAATGATTCATGTAGTCGTAAGTGGCATCAAACAGGTAATATTCAAATCCAAGCATTTGCAACCCCTTCCCCTATCCCCAGGCTAAGGCTTCATTTTAACCAAAAGAAATATTTATCTTTTTGCGTTTAAATTACATAAATCTTTATAATTTGGTAGGTATTGGCTTTAATGAAAAAGTATTTTCCCAGCTAAATGCCAAAAAAGTAAGAGGTTTTGGAATTAGGTAAAGTGTGAGATTAGTTCCTCGAATCAGCCATTAAGTTGTAAAAGAGTTATTTTCTTTCTTATATTCTTTCCTTGTTTCCTTTGTGTTGTCTTTTTTTTGTTATTGTTGTCACATATTTCATTTTTTAATGATGAACAATGAACCAGAGCTACCCAACAGTGTATGTAGAGGATTTGAAGGACATGTTGGACAATGTGGGCAAGGTAGTGGGGTTATGGGAGACTGTAAAAGAAAAAGAAGTGGAAGAAACCAAGAAGCTATGGGAGAGAACCTTTGATCAACCTTATGAGAAAGCTGGAGGCATAGCGGTGGCCAAGCCACGAATCTACTGGGAGGTTTCAGATGTAGATGTCAACACCAAATACAAGTCCATGATCCCAAGGTTCCTACTTGGGGTAATTTTAGCATCCTTACCTTCTTTAATTATTGATTTTTTCCCCTTTATTATTTTCTCTCTTACAATTCTTTGATGCTCTAGGACCATGAGGTCCATATAGCTTGAAAACATAATAGTTGGTAGAAGCACCAAGAGTCCAAAACTCTGTGAAACTTCTTTTGTGTAGCTTTTGTGTCTAATTAAGAAAAGCAAAAGGAAAAGAATTTCCTAGTTGATTCCTGACTTCATTATCTAGTTCTTTAGCTTCTTGTTTCCTTGTACTTTTTACTTGTGCTACTCTTGTAGACAGACTTTGGGGAGAAAATGATCTTTTATTAGATATTGTCTCTATATATATTAGGTGATGGAAGAATGACATATTAATTTGGAGTTAGCATGTGTCCGGATCTAATTGGTTTCTTTGTAGTCCCAAACAAAAATTATAGGAAAAAAACAAAACAAAAAAGAAAGTATAACTCAGATGTTTTTAGCCATAGATTTATCTTGAGTGAAATGGTTTCTTGTTTTCTTAAAGGAGATCCATTCAATTTGGACATTCTTAAATTTCATTCTCAGTTTGTGGCATTGGATGAAGTTTTCTAGAAAATTGTAATATAATATAATATAATCATTCCTAAGAGGAGTGATTCATTTTTTTTCTAACTACATCTTAGAAAAATTTCAGCTTCCGCAAGGCATACCAAGTGGTTCTTCAGTCTGGTATTAGCCATAAGGTTACTCTATCAACTTATAAACCTTACATAGGTTGATTTTATCGTGTAACATTGCAGGTATGTGTTTTTGTGAGGACCAATGCTTGGATGAAGGCAACAAATGGAGACACAAAACACAATTTTCTGCGTCTCCGGATGGTAAGATGTCACAGGGAGCTCAAGCTTGATAAATCCATCCCTAACGTTTCATATGATACATGGTGGAAAGCCTGGCATCTGTACTGTGAGTTTGGAACTAGAGGACTTATGGTTGAGCTTCGTGGTCGTGGTGGTCATTGCTTCAAAGGAAGTAAATTGCTGAACTCAATTGCATTTTATTGGAATGATTTGCTAAGGGCACCCTCAATTACTTTGACAAGAGAAAGTGATCAAGTGAGGATTGTTGCTTCTATAACTCCCCCAGTGCAAGCACCATACTTGTTGAAATGTGTGCCAGATAGAGTCACAGATGATTCAGGAGCCATGATATCTGATGTGATTCTGAAATTAAACAATTATCGGCCTCAAAAAGGTCGTTGGCTGTCTCGCACAGTTCTAGACCATGCTGGTAGGGAGTGTTTTGTTGTTAGAATAAGGTATGTTTTTGCCACTTTATCCTGTGTTTCTAAGTAAGGACTGCTTTTTATCTTATCCTGATGAACAGCACATCTATGTATCTACTTGATACAAAATTTTGGATTGCTGTGTGGCAGAGTGGGTGGAGGGATTTGGAGAAGAGGATCTGAAACTCCTTCTGCTGTAAATTGGGAGGATAGGATAATCGAGATACGTGAAGGCTCTTGGTCTTATGTTGCTGGTTCTATTGGTAAAGCTCCTGGTATGTTGCTTTAGCTTATTTGCTTGCTTTTTGTCAATCATTGTTTTATACTTTATTTATAGGTCTTGTGAGTCATTCCCTCATCTTGGCTGGTTAATTTGGAGCACACTTACACAGAGGTTCTGTGTTTCTTATTTCAAAAGCAATAAAAAATCATTGTTCTTTTCCTTTGAGGTCTGTCAAAATTTTGATATAAGGTTGAGAGTAATGATGGGGTTTCCCTTATCTGTCTCATCCATAGCAACCCAAAATTTTCTTTGTCAGTGATGAACCACCTACTAGTTTTCCATTGTCCAAATCTTCCCATAAGCATCTGAACTGTTTTTGTTACATGCTGTGGAATCTAATTTAAACATTGCTGCTGTTATTGTTGCCATCTAGTACAGAGAAAGTGGTAGGAACAGCTACACCAAATGAATCTCCAGAGCCGAGGCAAGCAGTATGGCATTTTTCAACAGGAGATGAATTACTGATAAATTGGGGATCTTCGACATCTAGTTCTGGCCTGAGTTTTTGTCTGAGAAGCCAAGAACCTTCAGATTCATCTGTAAGTTGAAGATTTTAATTTCTATCTACATGTCGAACCTTTGGATAGGAACCACTTACATTATTTTGCAGGTGATGTTATTGAGGGGACGAAAAATGCAATATCAAGAGGAGACAGCCAAGTCAATGGCAGAGTGTAAAGATAAAGCAACCAGAAGCAAACTAGCAGAAGATGAGAAAGAAGTTGATGATGGATTCGTGACTCTTGTAAGGTTCACAGAAGAGAACCCAACGGGAAGAGCAACAGCCCTGTTGAATTGGAAGCTATTGGTGGTAGAATTATTGCCTGAAGAAGATGCTATTTTGGTGCTTCTACTTTGTGTTTCCATACTCAGGACTGTATCAGAGATAAGCAAGGAAGATGTCGGAAGTTTGTTGGTGAGGAGGAGGTTGAAGGAAGCAAAACTCGGTGCTCGAGACTGGGGTTCTGTAGTTCTTCATCCTTCTTCACTATCCTCACCCAGCACTTCACCTTATCTACAACCATGGTATTGGAATGCTAACAAAGTGATGGCACAACATGAAGATGACAGCATCACAAGGCAAACGGCATCTAAACATTCACCTGTCGAGGGTGGCGATATGCTTTACAAGCGAGGGATCATTGCATAAGAAAAGATTTTCTACCATTTTTTTAATCAGAAATGGGAAAAATGCATAATGATGTTACAATTGCATATTTATTAATAAACGCATCTCAGGAAAGCATGTGCTCCCTGCAAACAGAAGCAGCTTTGATGCTGTTACCTTTCATATGCAACATGCAATCTTGGTCTGTAACACAGAAGGATGACCAGCATATATCATGGGAGGTGCTAATGGGATTAACGCGTACAAAAAGAGATTTGGTATTGAAAATGACACCCATACAAATTTTAGTTGCTTCAGAGAAGCTTCTAATGGATGCGGTAAAATGATCCTTATTTTGTTCTGATTTGCAAGATTGTTAAGCACTTAGCACCGATATTTCTAGACTCTGAATCAATTATTTTTTACTTTTTGGCTTGAACTTGAGAAATGGGCATATACCATTTTCAACATTGGGAATAGCTCATAGATTTGGGTTAAGATTTCATTCAACGAATCAGTAAAGGTCACTCACATCAGACATTATCGTTAAGGAACATTCCAACGGTTAAAATCTAAGACTATTTTAAAGATTTAGAGTTGGAATCATGAGATGGACGATGTGGGATTTATGGACAGAGAAAAAGCATAGGAATCAGTTTGCACTATAAAGTTGCCTATCTGTCTGCTGTTTGTAATGAACTGTATAAGCTGTTTTGATTATCAGGAGCCATGACTGACCTTTTTTTTTTTTTTTAAGTTTGAAAAACTGAGGATTATCATCCATGTGCCATGTGATGTACAACATGATTCTAGAATTATTTCACCTTTTACAATTGGCATTTATAATTTTTTTTCTTTTAAAAATCAATATAAAAGTGGATTTTAATTAGAGATGACAGGTTGGATCCACATAAATTTTTGTTTATTTTGAATTTGATATGATTTTATATATTAAATATTTAAATTCGATTTTATATTAAAAATTATTTTTATATTCGAATTTGTAAGTATATAAAATTATAACTGATGTAATTAAAATTAATAATTTATTTTAAATATAAAATATTATTTTTTAAATAAAAATATAAATATAAATTAAATAAATAAAAAATTATATATGTATTGAATCAAATGAGTTTATCTAAAACTCAATTCTAATCCAATATGATCTTTTTTAAAAAGATTCGATCCGAATTAAAAATTTGATTTAAAATTTTTTTTTATAAAATTGAATTGAATCAAAATTAGACAAATTTAAGTTGAATTATCAACCCCAATTTTAATACTTTAATTAGAAAATTTGAGAGCATTAATCTTGAATCAATTGCTCATCTCATAAAAGAAAGACCGTACAACATTCAACCGTTATTGCAGTATTTCTTTAATTGTTTCTCATTAAATTTATCATGTAAATCTTTTATATATACAAAGTATTAAACCTGTTTCCTCCAACTTGGGCTTGGCCACTAAACAAGTTGAAAAATGAAAAATAATTAATCTAAAACAAGAAAAGACCCCACTAGTGAATAATAATCAACTTACCATGATTACAATTAAATTCCTAATTAATTAAAAGAAAAAGGACAAGTCCCCCATCCCCATCATGGCCTAAAATCAAGATTCTATTCTTTCTTGGGTAAAAAAGAAAAAAAAAAATCTCAAGATTCTAGATGCCTAGGTGTGAATTGTGTACTGACTATTTATAAGAGAATTTCAAACATCACACACCATAATAATAATATAAAATTTTAATTAAAATATATATTCTTTTCGTCTTTTTTTGTTATTTTTCTCAAAATTATATTTTCTTTTTTTATATCTAAAATTTTTATTTTTTATATTTTAAAATTATTTTTATTGATAATTTTATAAAAAAATTAAAATTAATTTTTTAAAATTATATAAAAAATAATAATATTCAAATAATTTGAGATGAAAAAAATATAAATTAATGTAAAAAATTTTTATTTAATATTTCAACAAAAATTTTAATTATATAATTTCATATTATATGCTTAGTAATTAACATAAAACAAATCTATCTCTAAATCATAAGTCTTAACTTTGAATTTGTCCTCTTTGATTTATTTATTTATTTTTTGAAATTTCAGAGTCAGAACGTAGACAGATAGGTACGGTCCCTTGCACGTTACAGGAGGGCCCCACAAAAAAATAAAATTAATTTCCACGTCATTAACCGTACAAAACAGTGATCTTTCCGACCCTTTTTTTCGACGAAATTGCGGTACAGCATCTTATAAAAATGAATAATCCAATCCTAATCTATTTACCCACGATTCTCGTACTTTTCAGTACTACTGCCTTACTTTTGTTCCCATCACCTCCTCCTTTCTCCACGTGTCCTTTTCATCTCTGTTCCAACCCTCCTTCTTCTTCGCATCCAACGGCCCAGACGTGCTGTTGATTTCTAGTGTAAAAGTCATTAAACTCATCCAACAATAAGAACTGGCCACGTCATGAAAGTTCAGTTTATGTCCACGTGGCGATTTTCTGTGTGGGAAACTCAGTTTAAAGATGTGATCCGGTTCTCAGTTTAGGCGTTGCGTTGCCTTTCTCTTCATTTCCTTCTCCAACGTGTTCACAATTTTTTCACTTTCTCTGCAACTCTTTCTCCTATCAAAAGAGCTTTGATTTTTGTTTCTTCTCTGAATCTAAGAAAACCCGGAAAAAATGAACCCGACCCGAACGACCAGTTTTAGACTGATTCGGACTCTCTGTAAACCGACCCACCAACCTCTCCTCTACCTCCGAGTCGTCTTCTTGTTTGTTCCAACCTGAAAAAGTCCCCCTAAAGAGAATCCTTAAGTTTTTTTTTTGGCTTTTTAAAATCTTATTTTTTGCTAAAATTTGAAATGCTGTCGTCTCAGTCGAACAAGAACATTCTTAGCTTAACGGAAGATCTACTCGTCCGGGTCCACGAGAAACTCGCCGACGAGTGGGATCGGAAATCGTTCCGGCTAGTTTGCAGAGAGTTTCTCCGAATTGACTCACTGACTCGGAAGCATCTCCGAGTTCTTCGAATCGAGTTCTTGCTGAGTCTTCTCCAGAAGCACCCTCAATTGCAATCTCTTGACCTCTCCGCTTGTCCCCGCATTGACGACGGATTTGTTTCCTTGCTCTTAAATCGGGTTGGTCGGGGTTCGAACTCCCTGAGATGGGCGAATTGGACTCTGGGACTGAAGAGTCTAGCACTGAGTCGAGCGACGGGGTTGAGGTTCTCGGGTTTTGAGATGTTGGCACGTGCATGTCCGTGTTTGGAGAGTGTAGACGTGTCGTATTGTTGTGGGTTTGGAGACAGGGAAGCAGCTGCCTTGTCGTGTGCGGTTGGGTTGAGGGAGTTAAAAATGGATAAGTGTTTGCAACTTAGCGATGTCGGTTTGGCGAAGATCGCTGTCGCGTGTTTGAAGTTGGAGAAGTTGAGTTTGAAGTGGTGTATGGAGATAACTGATCTCGGTGTCGATCTTTTGTGTAAGAAATGCTTGGATATGAAGTATCTTGATGTGTCTTATCTCAAGGTTGGTGTTTTTCTTTTCATGGTTTTCTCTTTCCTATTCCTATTAATACCGAAATAAAGGGTTGATAGAAAAATGTGTGGAAATTGAAGGGTTGTTTAAGTTATGGGGTTTCTGAATTTATCTTTTTTGAAGGATTTGCTTCTTCAATGCCATGTTTGGTTACTGAGAAAAGAGACGGAAAAAATGATAAAAGATAAGCGTTCACTCAGCTTTGGCCAAAGCAAATTCTTTGTATGCTTTGGTTTGTGCTTTTAGGAGGTGAAAGCAGCTCTAGAGTAAACAAGTTGAAAATCTATTAAATTTCTTGTTACCTGTTTTAATGTATTTTTTGGTTAATATTATGCCTTTGATATTTGAGTTTTGGTTTGGTTTAGGTGACAAATGAATCACTTTATTCTATTGCTTCTCTACTGAAGCTGGAAGTTTTGGGTTTGATGGCCTGTCCTTTGATTGATGATGTTGGATTACAGTTTATTGAGCGTGGATGCCCTTTACTAAAGGTAGGAAACTTTGACATGTGCTGACAAATGTTTTGCATGTTGATAGTATTCTTTTAATAATTGAACCAAGTGATTACAAAAGAATTCAAAGTAAAATTTTGAATTATGTTTACTTTTTGTAGGTAATTGATGTATCAAGGTGCGGTGGTGTGAGTTTGTCTGGTTTAATCTCTGTCATTAGAGGCCATGGTAATCTTCTGGAGCTTAATGCAGCTTACTGTCTTTCAGTAAGTAAAATTTCTTGGCTGCCTGCTTTTTGTGTTTTGCCAATGTTATTAACAGCCAAGATCATGTATCTGATTTCTGTTTGTAGTAGACTGTAACTTTACTATTTCAATTAATGGTTGCTGAACCTTTCATGACAGGACCTTTCTACAACCCTTCTGCATTGGATAAAGAACTTAAAGCACCTTGAAATGATCAGAATTGATGGTGCTAAATTTTCTGAGTCTAGTTTCCAAGTCTTTAGCACCAATTGCAAGTCATTGGTAGAAATTGGGCTCACCAAATGCGTGGGGGTGACCGACATGGGCATAATGAGACTTGTATCTGGCTGCTTTAATTTGAGAATCCTAAATCTAACATGCTGCCATTCCATTACTGACGCTGCAATTTCTGCCATAGCTAACTCGTGCAGAAAGCTTTTATGCCTGAAGCTAGAGACTTGTAATATGATTACTGAGATGGGTCTTTGTCAGCTTGGATCCTTTTGTTTCCTACTTCAGGAGATCGATCTAACAGATTGTTGCGGTGTAAATGACAAAGGTTGCATTATTTTAAGTGATTTCATCATAATTCTAGTTTGTTTAACTTTATTGGTTACAGTCTTGAACCATGCTCTATTTTCGTTTTATTTCCCATTGTGCAACTATTATTGCAGCTTTACTCTTGACATCCAATACTTTTGGTGACTTTATCAGGCTTCCAACTTCATCACTATGTTCAATTGATTACTATGTTATCTTATCTGCAGGACTGGAATATTTATCTAGATGTTCTGAACTATCATGCTTGAAATTAGGACTTTGCACAAACATATCAGACCAAGGACTCTTCTACATCAGTTCTAACTGTTCTAAGATTCATGAACTAGACCTATACCGGTAAAAGAAGTTTAAAAATCAATTCGAGAGCAAAGTTATATTTACTTGAATTGTTAATAGAAAGGTAAATATCTGTTCATTTGGACTTGCAGGTGTACAGGTATTGGTGATAATGGCATAGATGCTTTATCTAGAGGTTGCAAGAAGTTGAAGAAACTCAACTTGTCATACTGCAATGAAGTTTCTGATAGAGGGTTAGGATTTATTGGTCGTCTAGAGGAACTTTCTGATCTGGAACTGCGTGGACTTGTTAAAATTACTGGTGTGGGTTTGGAAGCAGTTGCAGCTGGATGTAAGAGACTGGCAGACTTGGATTTGAAGCATTGTGAGAAACTTGGCGACTTGGGATTTTGGGCACTTTCCTATCACTCAAGGAACCTTCGACAGGTACAGTTTGTCTGATTTGAATTGCATGATGTCAGTGGTGTCTTCTTACTATAATACAGGAACATAAATTTATAAGCGTGGATGCGGATATGAAAAGAAAGGATTGGGAGGATGTGGAGATATGAAAAAAGAAGACTGATGAGAAAGGAATTTACCATCCTACTGAACTCACTAGACAGATGTGTACGGTAAAACATGGATAAAACATAAGTTTGGCAAATATGATCCTCTATTGTCACTTCCAGTCTTGAACATAAAACTTAACTAATCTAAAAACCCCACCTTCTTGGGTCTATGCTGCTGCTATTGTGGTGTTATTCTATTTGTCTTTAATGCATCTTTGAACCAAGAGCATTTCTCCAGTTTTGATTCAATTAAGTGTAGTTCCGCCTTCTTGATGGCAAAACCCTCACTTTCTAGTTGGATTAACTGGAGACGACGTTCTATACTTAGTCCCTTTATTCAGTCACCCATATCTATTCTTTCACATACAACATAAACGACATGCATGATGGGAAACCAAATGATGGAATGTATATAGAAACAGATGGAAACTTTATCTTCATGAAAATGGAATTTCTATTGTAAGTCTTTTGGGAATAATATATTTGAAAGTGATACAAGTCCTTTATGTTGGCAGATAAATTTGAGCTACTGTACCATCTCTGATATGGCATTGTGTATGGTGATGGGGAACTTGACACGCCTGCAAGAGGCAAAGCTTGTGCACCTGCGCAATGTCACAGTTGAAGGGTTTGAACTTGCACTCAGAGCCTGCTGTATACGGATCAAAAAGGTCAAGCTACTTGCCCGTTTAAGGTTCTTACTTTCATCAGACATTCTTGAAAACCTGCATGCTAGAGGTTGCATCATAAGGTGGGATTAGATGATTTTGTATTGAAACTACATAAGGAGAATAATGAATAAACCCCTTGTGCCTTGTCCTTGGCTTGGGTTAGGAAAGAGTTTAGCGTCAGCTTTCAGGTGCAGAATGAACTAATTACCTTATTATCTCCCTTTCCATTTAAAGTTGCAACTTATAACCTCTTCCAAACGTTTTCTTCAGAATAAAAGTCATGTTTGAAGTTTCTATTTTGCTTTAGCATAATAGGGTTTACTGTTTAAGTTACTTCAGTTGGGACTTGTTTTGACCATGCTTTACATATTTGTATTTTGACAGTATTATTTTATCTATCCTTCTAAGTATGCTGTTGTGAATTCATGGTATCATGGCCAAAAATAAGTTTGAATGTCCGTTTTTGTCAACATAACAGTCGAAAACTTGGAATTCTAGTATTGAATGAACAAAATCTAAACTTGACTCGGCTTGCTACTATATATGCATGGAAAAAAAAAAAAAAAACAGTTTTCATCTCTGAATGCTTCGAATGGTCAACGTGGCAGATAGGCTTGTAATCATTTGCAATGATAAAGAGGAACAATTATGGGAACAATAAGCTGGTTTTCTCTTATGCTTGGACTTAGTCATCGATTTTACTTCATTCTCTGAGTTTAGAACAATCGCATGGGGAATCCGAACTGGATAGCTTAATATACCAACCTGCGGGCCTAATTCCAGGGCCCAAGCCCTGGCTAGATGCTTCAATGTGAAGTGTGAATCGGCCGGCGCAATGGCTTGACTTTGGTGTTACCTAGCGTGAAAATAACAGCGGCCATCTTGACCAGCTAGCGGCAAATGGTAAAGAACACAAGGGTTGGATCTTAAAAGAAGGTGAAGTCATAACGCAAGAGACAACTCCTTTCTTTCAATGCAAACAATACCTGAATTCATTGCATATAAAATTAAGTTCTTTAAAAACCGCAATCATCGACCTCTGGCTTTCTCCTCCCATTCTAGCCCCTAAAAATATGGATTTCGTCAATTTTCTTCTTATTCTCTTACTAGACCTTCATTCGACGCAATACCTGATATTCCCCTTAAGAGAAAGAACTTAAGCACTCAACCATTGATCGGACAGGCGCAGGCATTAATAACCAGGATTTATGGCTCTCAAATAGACAAGCTGAGCTTCAAAACTTAGGGCCTCAAACCCCATCATCAGTTTTACATGTTGCTCTCAGGGCCACTCTTAATAAAGCAAGACAACCCATTGAATCAAAAACAAAGTTCACTGGTTTGTCTGTTAGTAATCGTGAAGAAATAGCAATCGAAGATTGCAAGGAACTCCATTTTTCTGTCTCGGAGTTGGGCCTGGTCTTTTGCTGAGGTTAAAAAAAAAATCGTGATGGGTATAGAAATGCTCAATACGAAGGGAACCTGAAAGCTTGGTTGAGTGCTGCATTGAGGAACCAAGACACATGCCTTGAAGGATTTGAAGGCACAGACCGCAGCCTTGAGAGCTTCATCAGAGGCAGCCTGAAGCAAGTTGCACAACTTATTAGCAATGTTTTAGCTATGTACACTCAATACATAGCATGCCCTTTCGACCACCTTGCAATAGCACTTTCACAAATACAAGCTCAAATTTTGGTCCTCACTTTCACGTTTCTTGGGTTTAGCCCATTAATTTACGACAGAAATCGAAGATATTTAGAATGTCTTGCTTGGGCAGCAACCTTAAATATGAAGAACAAGAATTAAGGCTTTTGATTTGATGCATGGTAAGGCTTTTTTCCCCCTTTTCCACAAAGATTAAAACAAACCCAGCATGCAAAAAGATTAATAACAAATTAAGGTTTGATTGTTGACCAAATAGATAACCTAAATGTCCAGTGTTGGTATTGTCTAATACAAATCTCGGATGTGCTCAACTGTTTGTGCTTAGTTGATGTTGGACCCCACCAACTCTAAGATTTCATGTGACCTGTTCTAACTACGATTGGTGTTCTCGATTAAAAAGCATCCAGGATTTTATGGTCTTAATTAAAATAAAATATAATATTGGTTGGTGTTCTCAATTAAAAAAATCCAGGATTTTATGATATTAATTAATTAAATTATGATATTAATTAAATTTTATGATATCTCAGATTTATTGAATATCATATTTTAAATATTATTATATGAATCAATTGAAAATAGGAAGATATTTCGATAATTATTATGAATCTGAAATCAAAATAATAACATTTATGTATGATTGGTTGGTAATGAAATCTGCTGCATAAAAATAATGACATGGATGAAAATTTCTTATGATTATTCCATTTTGAGTGTTTCATCATACACCCCTCAACTTCGTTCCTAAGCATGATTCGTGCCCTCCAGGTTGCTAGTGTCTAGCCGAGCTGAACGTAGATTACTTGTCATACACTTTAGACAAAATCAATTCAAAGGACAGTCTTGACAGCTTCCTGGCTGATGATTTGCAAGCTCTTGCTTAGCGCTGCTTTAACTAAGGTACAAACTTGTTTTTAGGGCTTGAAGGGACACCATAAGCTTCAAGCATCATGAATGGCCTATTACCGTCTATATCAAATGGAACAAAGTTCTACAGTGTCGCTCTTGCACTTTTCAGGCATGGTTGGATTCGTGGCTTTACCAATTGCCAACAGGAAGAAACCATACATTTTCTAATTTGGGAAATGGCAGAAATGCTCCTTTACCTTTGATAATGTCAAGCCATGACCAAGCAATTTATGAATCTGCAAGCGGATAAATGCATAGTCAAACAGATGGGGAAGGAGTTTCTGTGAGTCAAGTAGCGGTTGTAAATCCTGATGGAAGTGGCAATTTTACCACCATCAATGATGCAGTGGCCCCAGCACCAAATAATACCGGTGACAGCAACCAACACTTTGTGACTTATGTGGTTGCTGGCGTTTGCAAAGAGTATGTTTCCATACCAAAGATGAAGAAGAATTTGATGATGATCAGTGATGTTTTTAACAAGACCGTAATCACAGGAAATCGCAGCGTTGTTGATGGATCGACCAATTCAATTCTGCAACATTTGGTAACTTAGAATTTAGCTTTTAATCCTGTTGCAATATGCTCTATTCTAAATTTAGTCTTTAACATAATCTTACATTTTTATTAAATCACAAATCTCCTGCAGCTGTTGTTGGGGAGGGATTTGTTGCAGTGAATATAACATTTCGTAACACAGCCGGACCTATCAAGCAACAAGCCGTCGCAGTTCAAAGTGGGGCTGACATGTCCACATTTTACAGCTGCAGTTTTGAAGGATATCAGGACACCTTATCTCTCAGGCAATTTTACACTGCTTGTGATATTTATGGCACCATTGACTTCATATTTGGCAATGCTGCCGTTGCCCTCCAAAACTGTAACATATATCCTCGACTACCGTTACCAAACCAATTCAATACCATCACTCCACAAGGAAGGACTGATCCTACCCAAAACACAGGCATATCAATTAACAATTGTGTCATCAGAGCTGCTGATGACTTGGCCTCAAATACCGGGACGACGAAAACATACCTGGGAAGGCCTTGGACTATTCAAAAACACTTTATATGCAAAGTTTCATGGATAGCTTGATTGAACCTTCAGGTTGGAGTGAATGGTCTGCAAATTTTGCCCTTGATACTCTTTACTATGCAGAATATAGTAACAAGGGTCCAGGATCAAATATTGATTCCAGACTTTCATGGCATGGATACTATAGGAATATAAATGAGATTGATGCAGCTAACTTCACTGTGTCCAACTTCATTCAAGGTGACAGCTGGGAGTTCCTTTTCATGGGGTTTTGTTTTGAATTACAACCAGATTAATTTGATTTTCAGCTTTATTTGTTATTAATCTGTCTCTTGAAATTTATTTATTTTTTCTGTCACAATTTTTGAATTGCACTTAATTGTACCTTTGGATGTTAAATTCTATATATCATCAAGTTTATTTTTATTGTTATTATGTATGATCATTTCAATATCACAATTCCAGAATCAGACAATTTATTCTTACAATCAATCATAAATATTTTTAGCTTCCACCAAATAGGTAAAAAAAAAAAAAGAAAAGATGATGCCCATTTCTACATTTTACAACGTTAAATGGAGTAATTTACTTCTTTTGCTTAAAAAAAATAATTTACTCCTTTAATTAAAATCAAATGCCTTTTAAGGTAATTAACTGAAAAAGTTATTTTAAGTACTAATAGTGTTCCGTAGCCATAGTGCTAAAAAAGAAATCCATGAACATTCATTTATTACTACTCTATGCATTTCCATTTTTCTTCATTTCTCTTCTATTTTTTTTATAAAAAATCTAAAATCCATCTTTTTATTTTATATATATTTGGTTGCAAAGAAAGGCTAATGCCCTTACAAGCGAAGAGGGGATGACGGAATCGAACTTATGTCTACATAACTTTCAACTCATCTCTTGATGGAATCGAATTTATGTCTACATGACTTTCAACTCGTCTTTTAATTATTAGATTAAAAGAGAAAAATCTAAAATCCATCTTTGATTGTATATACGGGAGAGTTTATGAAGTTAAAGCAAAATTATTTTTAAATATAGTTACAATAATGTTTTTATATATTTAAAGTTGAATTTTAATAAATAAAATAAAAATTTTAATACTCTATCGATAAACCACGTAAATTTTGATCTCGTAACTTGATTTCATGAGAATTGCGGTGGAACATATCATATCACTAAACCTTTACATGGCACAACTAATCACAAATTGTTAATTCATAATAAGTAAATATATATTTCTTTAAATACTTCAAATGGGCAAATTCTGATTAAAAATAATAATAATTTAAAAGTTTTCTGCTCCTCATCATACTCTTGAAGAACATGAAACTTGCCCATGAACAAAGAATTTTCTGCGATACTCTCTATTAATTTCTTGAAGAGGTTTTAGTTTTATGTTGATTTGCAAGCAGAGAAGAAAAAAATGATATACATCTTGGAATTAGGTTATAGATTGTAAAATCATTTAGTGTCCCTTAAATTATTAAAAAGAAAGGTCAGATTTATCTATTTGAGGTATTTAAAATAATATTTATTTATTTATAATGAATTAACAAATGGTTATAATTGAGTCATGTTAAAGTTTGTTGATAATTTTTTCAAAACCGAATTCGTGACATTAATAGATTTGATAATTTAAAATAAGACACAAGATATAAATATGATATGAAAAATAAATATAAAAATAATATAATTTAAAATTTTAATAATAATTATATATAAATTTAATAAAAATATATATTTTATATTTTCGTGTCGATACAAATTTTAATATATACTTTTTACGATATAAATAAATAAATTTTTATATTTTACATAATTCAAAAACACTAATTGTCAAATTTAACTAAACATTTGTTTTCTTGTCCCATAAAGGTTGTGGGTGAATGGTGGTAAAGTTGTTTTCCTTAAGCCATATATAGATTTCTTAATTACAGTAATAGGAAGTCAATAAGACCGGTTTAGGAATGATCAATTGGCTAAATTAAGAGGGTAAAAATGTTTGATAATGGTTTGCAACCTCTCATTTTTTGGAAACACTAACAAATTTCTAGCTTCTCATTTGACTCTCCAATGTCCTTTCCAAGCCACATATTTTGTAGCTAAAAATAACCAAAGCCATTTAGCCCTTTTGTTTTTTTCATCTTCCTTATATTACCTGGTAACAGTTCTTATAAGAATCATCAAAAACCACGCTCCGATTGGGGCTCTTTCGATTCGAAGGAGTTGGCCATCGAATTTGGTGTCCCTCTTTCATTAGGGCAGCTCTTGGTGCCTAATACGGGGACTGTGTGATCAAGGATAAAGAAAGTGGTTTTTTTTTTCACTTTCTTTTCACAATTCCCTGGATTGAAAGGTATTGAGAAGCTATATAAATTGAAAATGGCGAGTTCAGATGATGAACAGAAGAAGAAGAGAATCGCCATTATTGCGGTTTGTTCTTTTTTGTTGGTGGCCATGGTGGTGGCTGTGACAGTTGGGGTTAGCATCAATGAAACCAACTCCGATGAAGAAACCAACAAAGGAAGTAAAAATTCTCAGGTATCTTCCTCAATGAAGGCTATCAAATCCATTTGCCAACCAACAGATTACCGGAAAACATGTGAAGAGCAACTCCGTGCCGAGGCTGGAGAAACCTCAGACGTCAAAGAACTTGTCCAAGCTGCATTCAAGGCCGCGATGAAGTATGCATCTCAAGCTGCCAAGAATTCTACTACCTTGAGAGATCTTGAAAAAGATCCAAGGTCGAAGAAGGCTCTAGATGTCTGCAAACAACTAATGAATTATTCAATAAATGAACTCCAAAAATCATTTAACCAGATCGATAAGTTAGATGTTACCAAGTTTGATAAAATGTTGGCTGATTTAAAGATTTGGTTGAGTGCTACTATCACCAACCAACAAACCTGCTTAGATGGATTCAGGAATACGACAACGAATGCTGGAGAGAAAATGAAAAGGCATTGAAAATTTCCATGCAACTCAGCAGAAACGGCCTTGCAATAGCCGCTGAGATGTCTACAGTGCTTAAACAATTACAAATTCAAGGTATCAGTCGTCGGCTACTCCAGGAAAATGAACTTCCAGTTCTTGGGCATGCTGATTGGTCTTCCCTCTTAGAGAATAGTCCCTGGAACCGTCGTCTACTCCAAGAAAGTAAGCTTCCGGTTCTTGGCCATAGCGAATTTGAGATTCAGCCGGGGGTTCGGAGACTCATGGCGGCTCATCCATCCAGAATCAAGGCTGACATTGTTGTAGCCAAGGACGGAAGTGGAAACTTCAAGACCATTAAGGCTGCAATGAGTGCTATCCCCCTGAATGCAGCCAAGCCTTTTGTCATATATATCAAGGAAGGTGTTTATGAGGAGAATCTCGAATTCGGTTACAGTATGATAAAAGTGGCGCTAATTGGAGATGGTAAAGAGAAAACCCGAATTACCGGTCGCCTCAACAACGCTGAGGGTGTTCCCACCTTCAGGACAGCCACAGTTGGTATGAATTAAGCCTTGATTAACAAGAGAAATGCTTTTCTTTCTTTCTATCTTTATTTTCTTCTTTTGTTTTAAAAAATTGATATGTCCAACGAATGCAGCTGTAAATGGAGACTACTTCTTTGCCAAAAACATAGGGTTCGAGAACTCTGCTGGGGCTGCCAAATTCCAAGCTGTGGCCTTGATGGTTATATCCGATTTTGCAGTCTTCTACAACTGCTCGATGGATGGCTACCAGGACACACTTTACGTTCACAGCAAACGCCAATTCTACCGCGATTGCACCGTCAGTGGAACAATTGATTTCGTTTTCGGTGATGCAGCTGCAGTTTTCCAGAACTGCATATTCCTGGTCCGCAAGCCACTAGATAAACAGCAAAACATTGTTACCGCCCAAGGCAGAATCGACGTTCGTCAACCAACAGCAATCGTCATTCAAAACTCCTCATTCATCGCTGCTCCTGAATTGGTTCCTGTCAAGGACGAGTTCCCAACGTACCTTGGCCGTCCATGGGGGAATTTCTCAAGGACAATCATCATGGAGTCTTACCTTGATAACTTGATCAAACCCGAAGGGTGGACAATTTGGGATGGTCCGTGGGGCCTAAAAACTTGCTTCTACTCTGAATTCAACAACCATGGCCCTGGTTCTATCAAGAGAGCCCGTGCTACATGGCCTGGGATTAAGAAAATTACACGGAGGGCCGCCCTTGGATACACCCCAGGAAAGTTCTTCGATGGTGACTCCTGGATAAAGCTTAGAAGAGTGCCTTACACGTCAGGTTTTTTCAAGAGCAAAAGAACAAATGTGCATTTGAAAGCGTGATCAAATTCGATGGTAGCCAATTGACAAGACAATAAGTAGATCATGATCATCATTTTCTTTTGTTTCACAACTTCATTTTTCTCTACTTAATTTCTTTATGTACCAAATGCTTAATTATTAAAAGAATTCATTTAAGAGGACTAAAATTTTTTCACTCTCTCCATTATCTTTAGAAGCTTGCAAATTCAATCAATCAAAGGTTACTCCATTAATTTATATTTTAAAAAATCAATAAATTAATGGCTGGGATTCCTAACTAATTTAAACCAATAAATAAAAAAAAAATTAATTTCTAAACTCGTAAAAGGAATCCCACAATTTCAACTATCATTTTAACCTTCATTTTATCATGATATATGATATAAATTTTCTTATGTATATAATAATATTTATTTTATCAATAATCGCATGATGTGTTAATATATTAAATTTTTAATTTTAAAAATTGAAATTTAAAATTTGATATTTTTGAATTAAAAAATAATATTACTTTAAAAAGAAAAAACACTAAAAACAATCCAATTTCTTTTTTTCCTTTTTTTTTACTTCTTAAAAATTGATATGAAATTAGGCACTTAATTTAGTTTTTTCTTTTTTTTTTTTTTTTTTTTCATTTTTGCTCTTTAAGAATGCCACAGAAAAAGACATTAGCTATATTTATTTAAGTATTTTTTTATTTAAAAAAGAAATTAGTGAAAAAAAGAAGATTTGCCCTCTTCCCAAGCGCTTCCCAAATCTCAGACCCTAAAAATCTCTGTTCTTGTGCGTCAATGGCGGCCTTGTCATCCTCATCAACCTCCTACTCTTCCTCGGATTCCTCGTCCGACTTGTCTTCCTCACACGCCAAACGACGTCATCATCGCAGCAACCGTCGCGACAGAGACAGAGAGTCTCTCAAGATCCGGAATAAGAGTCATTCGCTAGGTAAACGACGTTGGAGAAAGCGTCGCCGCCGTTCCTCCGATTCTAACTCTTCCTCCGACTCCGATTCCTCCGGGTAAAAAAGAAAAAAAAATCATTTTTTTGTTATTTGTTAATTGCTGCTTAAGGTTAATAATTAAACAATTCCATTAAGATTTTATTAATTTTTTAATCTGTGATTTAAGTTAAAAATCATGTTAACATTCTAATGAATTGTTTAACCTAGTTTCTAACATTAATTTTTTGATGGTTAAAGTAAGATTAGAGTAGTAAAGATTTATATTGTCAGTAAATTTACATTTTTTAACAGTATTATGGGACTGGAGACTTGAAAATTAATCTGAGTTATGGCCTATGCCTTATATCTAATGCGTTTTTTGTGTGGTCATCAATGAAGGATAGTATTACCTATGCTTGTTGCCATCAAATGAAACAATGGTTTGATTTTGATTACCATAGATTTTATAGGATGGGAATTTGAAAGTGTGTAGTAAAGCTGAATGCATGATTATATCTCTTGTTTCTAAAACCAAGTGAAGCACCTTTTATAACTAACAATTTTCGGCAATTCTGAACCAGAGCAAAAGTTGCCTTCACAATTTTTTTACCTGGATTTTCTTTTAATGACTTCATGTTGTACGTGGATGTTCGAGAAGCTGTATGCAACTATCTGGCTATTTAGTAGTTTGTTCACTAATAACCTTCACGGAGTTACTTGGTTGATGAGTTTTCTAACATTTTACAACTGCTGAATTATTGCAGAAGTGACAGTTCTTCGGATATTGAGCATGAGTTCAATCATTCAAAGGTTATTAGTTGAAGAAGGTGACAGGCCAAAGAAGGTGGTTGTTTGGTGCTCCATTTTTTCTTTTCATTTTAATGCAGTGTCTCACTTTTATTACCATTTTGCCTTTTAGTTGAAGGAAAAAGAACAGAGCACGAGTCATCAATATAAATGTCACAAGCATAAAGTTAAAGAGGTAAGCATTAATCACAATGTTTGCATCCATCCCTCCATATGAGTGTATATGTTTGTATGTATTTATGTATTATAGGTGATTTGATTTGTTTTTCTTGCTTATCCATCTGCTGTACAGTGACAAAAGTTTTAAGATTAGGTTCATTATTTATAAATTATATCTTATGGATATCTAGCAAAATTTCGAGCATTCATTACGTTTAAAAATTCTGTTAAGATGACATTTCTGCGGTGCTTATAATACTTTCTGCCTGTTTTATGGATTGGCTCTTTGAATTTTGAGCTAGGGTCTATGACATGATGACTGAGTGCAATTGACTTGGACTATTTTTCTGGGTTGGGTTTGCCCTGGCAATCAGAGCTATATAGAAGCAGCAGGATAAGGGAAGTAGCAGCCCCGTGCAGCTTTCTAAGTTACTTCATTGCACTCTTGTGGTTCATGATATGCTATCCCCCTTCCTCTCGTCTGTTTCTTTCTCTCTCTCTCTCTCTCTCTCTTCTATACTAATGTTAATCTGCTTTATTCAGTTTCTTGGGCGTGACAAGGATAGTGGCGTATGCAGTAGTACTGTATCTGGTAAAAAGGCAACGCTATCTTCTATTTCTTTTTGTTTATGTTGGGGACATGGGGTCTCGACCTATTGTTCAAAAATAGTGGTATAGGTACTTGTGATAATTCTTACTCTGTTATTGACATTGTTTTTGTTGTATTGCTTCTAGATTCTATTAAAACTTGATAAGTCAAAGGAGGATAAAGAGGCTGAGAGCAAAAGAAATGAATTATTGAAGTTCTTAAATGCTAGTTTTGGTTAACTTGGTGGGGCAGAAGTTCAAATTGTATTACGAAGGTAAGATTGATGGGGTGCGGTATACCTTCTCAGCATAAAAATTCAAGTATCTTTCCGAAGATCAGGTTAATCATTGCTTTACATCACATTTATAAATCATGTTTTCATTAGTCCTTACAGAATGTAGAATATCATTAATTTAAGCCTTTGAGATTTTGTGAGAATTATGGTGAATTGCTCAGATCTCAGTGTTGTATTTCATGGATTTGGTGCTTTCCTTCATATATTGACTTTATGTGATCAATCCTACAAATTGATGAGTATTTGACACATCTGTTTAACATGCGAAAAGGACGAGATATAAAAAGTTCACATTGAGGGTATTACCGTCATTACGCATGTCCTGGCTCTACTCTATATAAACGAGGTCTTTTGGACAGAACGGAACCATCAGTTCGGTAGATTTATGAGTTAGGGTTTTTTTTTTAAAATCTGTGGAATATCTATGTAGCCGCCACCCAAAAAGTTCGTACAACATTTGAAAACATCGTTTTTTTTTCATTTTTCTCTCTCCAAGGTTTGGATGATGTTTTTTCGCACATAGTTCTTCTTGGGAATCCACTGCCTCAGTGAATGGTTCCTAGGATTTTATCTGTGCGTATAGCAAATTATTTTGATTCTTTCTGCTTGAGCCTTCTCCCTCTATTTTCATGGAGATGTGCTCCAATGTTATTGGATTACATTTCTCATTGAAAAGAAGTGTTTCTTTTTCTGGGTTTTTGAAAATATAGCGTTTTTCAGGGGTTTTTCTTATACCATACTAATATGCTTGAAAAACGAAGAAATTATGAAACAGAGCAAATAAAGAGGTGATTGACCTTTAAAAGCTTATTAGGTATAAAAGGAAAGCAAATCAAGGTAGAAGGAAAACTGAGTTTGGACTCTTTGATTCTTTGTTATCTCTTAAGCGCCAAAATTGTGATCTTGTTAGATATTTGATTTTGTCCCATATTTGAGGGAAATGAACAGAGTTTGGATTTCTGAAACTGTTAAAATCTCTGCTACATTTTGAAGAAAACGACGGATGAAAACCATTCAGTCCCGCGCTCTCAACAACGAAACTTAGTCCCTCCTGGAGGCCATGACAACATAGCATATGGCCCCGACTTCTTTTTCGTATTTCTAACCAACTCTCGATGATAAAACTAACTCCCCGTTAACAATGAATTATGAAGCTCATACCTTGTCTTTTTTATGGTATTTCTAACGAAATCATGTCTTTTTTTCGTGGCAAAAAATTCAAGAAGATCTTCTGTCTTTGAAGATGCATGGATAATTCATCCGTTTACAGCAGAAATCGGTTTCTTACACATTGCATATGCCAACTTCTCCAAAATGCAAAACTCACAATATCCTGGCTTTGATATTGATATATTTTGGTATCATTTTTAGTCCGAGCATATGTAAATAGGTTTTCCAACCGAAAATACCAACTTACCTTGGTTCAGGTAAAAGTGTAATTGAAAACTCAAGCTCCACTCATGACTCATAATTTACTGTTTAAAATTTAATCTCTTGATTAAATTTTAATTTTTAAATTTAAATTCAAATCAAAATAAAAATTAAATTATTTAAATTCATTTGATTAAATTCGTTTAATAAAAATAAATTTAATTTTTATATTCGATTTTTAAATACAATTATGTATTTGAATTCAAATTTGAATTAATATATAAATATATATTTATATATAAATATATATAATAATATTTTAATTAAAATAATAAAAATATATTATAATTTAAAACAATATTAGAGTTATAAATTATTCAAAAAAAGCATTAAGCTACTCAATTTCATTGATCTGATATTTGATAAATCAAATTACTTTGATCTCGGCTTAACAATCATCGATCTAAATTCAAATTTTATCAAATCAAGCTCAAATAATTAGTTAATAATGTATCATTTACATTTCCTTAATTGAGAATAACTCCTGTATAAAAACCTTACAGATAATTTTACAGTCATGGGTTTAGCTTGACAATTACCAGCGCCAATATCAACCAGAAGATTATTCCATAGTTTGGTAGTACATAATTCAATTAAAATTCTTAACCACGCTCCACTTTGTAGCATAAGAAAGAATGATTCTCAAACCAGTAATTAAAAAAACCATGAGCATTATGTAAACCATAAGCAAGTAAACAACTGCCAGAGAAACCTTTTAAGTCTAGCAAAATTTGGTTTGCAGTAATAAATAGCAGACAGGTCTCAGAATCAAATACTTGAGTCATCTTAAACCCTAAATCCCTTGCTGTTCCTCCTTCCTCTAGCTCTTTCAAACTTCCTTCCCTTCGAGCGCACATATGGCTTAGTGTGGCTGTGAGGGACACCGGGAGCCGGACCAAAGTGTTTAACTGCTTCCCGTGCATTCTTTGGACCTCTGAGGAGAACCTGCAATTCCACCCAAATTAGTTCTTAAGAAATCCAGATGGCATTTTTCTACTTTAAGACAAAAAATAGTAAAATATGGCAGACAGATTTGCTGCAAGGCATGCAAGACTAGTGTTTGATAAGGAGAAACACACAAGATGGAGAAAAGTTGAACTGAGTTGGATCATCAAGAAGGAATAAAAACATATAAGTAGAATCGAACAACGAATTATAATAGATAAATCAACAGAATCATGTTAATCAACAGGGCATCAATATCCTCATAAAGTAACTCACACACACTAATTGACATCGCAATGACATCATCTTCAGCATATTATCTGCTCTAAGAAAAATTAATGTCATGTGTTAAATGGTGCATGAAAATAACATCAGCATTGGATTGCAAAAAGTTTCAATAAAATTAACAAAGTAGAAATAAAAAATTGAAAAAAACATAACTCAAATGCCAACAGAAATCAATAACAAATCAACATACATATATTTGAACAAAAAAAGTACCAAAAAAATGCAACAGAAGAATCCCATACCGTGTTCTGACCCAAAGGAGCCCTCAAAGCAAGTTGGTCAAAGGTCAAGCATTCTCCACCAGCCTTCTCAATCCTAGCTCTAGCAGTCTCAGTAAACCTAAGAGCAGTAACCTTCAAAGCTGGAACTTCATAAACCCTTATATCATCTGTCACTGTGCCCACTACCACAGCAATCTTATCCTCCTACAATTTATTTACATGTATAAAAAATGAATTAAACCCAACACCATTAACAATATAATGATCCCAAAAAAACCCAGAAATATAATAAATATAAATAAAATAAATACCTTTCCATTCATGAACTGAATAAGCCTAGAGAGAGATAGTGGAGGCTTGTTAACTTTGCTCATAAACAAGCGTTTCAGTATCACAGCATTGAATTTGCTCCCAGTTCTTCGTACAAGGAATCGGTAAAGCTATAACCCAAAACAAAAATCAGATCATTTATTCGAAAGAAAGAAAAAGAAGACATTTTTATGAACAGAGTGGAGGTAAAAGTAAGACCTTGACGAGAAGTTTGAGGTAAATATCATCGGATTTAGGAGCTGTTCTCTTGGACTTCTTGCTCTTACCTCCTGCAACTAAATCGATCCCCTGTTAATGCAAGACAAAACAAACAAGAAAACAAGAAATATTACAACTGTTTTTGTTGCTTTTAAGACAAAGAAGAATTGGGGAGGTCCTGGGAAAGAGGGAGAGAGACCATTACTAAATCTTTGTTGGTGGATGCGATGTTGAATAGGCGCCGCTGCTAGTGACAGATAAGATGAACAAAATGAAAAGATGGGTTAGGGTTTTTTATTTTGAGGTTGGGGTTTGTTCAGGTGGGGTTGGGTTATTGGTTTGGATGATGGTCCTTCTTTGTGAACCCTACAGGTGTAATTGAACGAGTTGATTAAGAAATGGGCTGAGGGATCCAAATAAATAATATTTTTAAAAAATTAAAATATATTTAACTATTAATAGAGATAACGATTTAAATTTTATTTGTTTTTAATAATGTATAAAATTATAAATTTTTAAAATAAGATTTTAATTCGAAATTATATGATTTGTTTTGAATTGAATTTTATCGATTCTGTTCGATTTATTAATTTTTTAAATTTAAATTTAAATTTTTTATTTTTTTATATATTATTTTAATATAAATTTTAATATAATTAAATAAATTTAAGTATAAAATAATTATTTTTATTTTAAAAAAATTTAAAATATATATATAAATTGATAAAAATATAATTCAATTCATTTTGATTTTTTTTATTTTTTACTTTTAATCTAAAATTCATCCAAATTTAGTATATATTTAATATCTGAATTGAATAAAAAAATCAATACGATCCGAACTAAACACTACAATTTGAATCTACAATTTCGAATAGGTTTTCATTTTTGTCATTTTTTTTCCTTTCTCTCACCCCTATATGTGATCATGCTTATAAGGAAGGGAGAGAATGGTAAAGGTTGCATGTTCTTTAGTAGTTATTGCTTTTGTGACTTTAATCCAAGTTCTGGTTTGCATCAAAGCATATAAAGAGCAGAGAAAAGCATTGCCTTTTGTTCAATCCAGATTGTTGCGAGTGGAGCACATGAAACAGACTATGGTTTAATCAGCATTCATTCCAAAATTCTGCTCTAATATTTGCTGAAACGCCCACAAATGGGAAACTTAAGGGAAAAGATATAGAGAACAATATTTCTCTACAGCATACATCAACACAAGGGAAAAGATTCATAGATTCATGTAATTGCTTCAGCTGGATACAAACATCTAAAAATAGAGAAAAACAAAGTATATATATGACTCCTTTCTTCAACTCTGTCCAACGATTGCATCGCTGGCACAGCAGTTGTTCCCAGAAGATGTTCAGTCTAGCCGCTCCATCTGGGCAATGACAGAATGCATAAATTGATTTACTTCAACTTGGAAACCTCCTAATGTTTTACAAACCTCAACCAGGTGTAGCAAGCTGTCAGCCAGAAATGGCTAGTAAAACTTATGGCCAAATTACCAGCATATGATCAATCATACACAACAATGGGGATATAATAAGTGATATAATAAACAAAGATGAAAAATGCAAGACGCAGGATCTGAATCTCTACTTTAGACATATTGCAACAAAGTAGCACCAAAGAAGAAAAACATTTTGACACTCTGCGATAAACATGTTGGTTTGTATTCAATTGAAGAACATATAATTAAACAAGACATTCCATCCAATGATCACATTGTTAAGCACAAATACCTTCCATAGACCATCATTGAGATAATGCATGTTGTCTACCCCAATTCCCTTGTTGATTTCCCTTCTGCAAACGAACCAAAAACGTAACTCGTTGTTAATCAGAGTAAAACATAATGAAGACAGTTACTGTAGTTTAACAATAGAAGAAGAATATTTATAATTAAGAAGCAAGGGATGAAACAACAGACTCTGCCTTGCACACAATGTCATGTTCTCTGCTATATTACTCTCCTTTGGGCAGGAGGTAGAAGCCACTTGGCTTTTCAGGTTCAAGTTTGGCAATCCATTTAATTGAAATGCTAAGAAACACTAGAAAACAACTCGCATGTCTTTAGCTGACATTTTGGTAAAGCCAATAGCAAGAGCATGTTGTTTTCCTCCAGCCATTATTGCCTGAAAGGATTAGTTTGACAAATCAGATATTGGGAAAATGTAAAACAGAAACATATGAACTTTGACAGAGAAGGTGATTCATACCACAGGAGTTTCTGCTTCCACTTCATCATCTAAAGCACCACCAAGGGATGTAAGACCAGGACACATTATGTTTGCACCAGCAAGGACAAATTTTACCGCACCGCGATCTACTTGCAACTATTTCATTATGTTTGGATCTGCAAAGCCAAAATAAAGAATCATTATATTTGCATTTCCGTGACAAAAGGTTTCACTTAAAAGGCATAACAAAGTTAAAGATGTCTATACATAAGTAACGCACAAAGCATTATAGAAGAAAGTGGAGCTTATCATGGTTAAGAAAACCAAAGATCTTTTCAGTTGGCAAGAACTAAAAACCAATCAGATAATCAGATGCAAAGTCATCCTATAATCTACTCTGAATATCACTCAAATAAATAAGGATCCAAAATAGAACAAAAACCAAGTATGAAGTAGCGAAGCTACAATTAAAAAGGTACAATGATGAAAAACTTACATTGGTGGAAGGAGCTGGAGGGTAGGCATGTATGGTCCATCACGAATATTTAAGAATAGTGCAACACTATTCAACAAAACCAGATTTAAATGGTTTTGACTGCAAACAATGAAACCATTAGCATCATGCCTAAGTTATGCATGCTACGAAACAAACATTTGAGTGAGATCTAACTTGCGGAAGCAATAGTAGAAGAGCAACAAACAATTTTGCAACAATTAATGGCGCCTTCTTTGGTACAAATCATCCAACACAGGCTCAAGTCCTGGATAGTGCATGAATGCATCAATATTAAACAAAACAAAAAATATAAGTAATTTCAGAATTCAATTGTTATCACAATTTGTGAAACCTAAATAATCAAAAATTAGTTTTAAACCTCCTCTGCAATGCTTTGCCTAATTTGTCGTTGCACAGATGCTTTTACTTGGTTTTGTGAAGACACATCTTCAGATGAAAACCTACCAAAAAGCAAAAATTTATGGAATATGGATAGATTGTCATGCTTACTAAAGTAACTCTTTTTTATTTTCTTGTTAAGCCAGTACTAAAGTAACTCAAATATCAAATTAACACATTGATAGTATTCTAAGCATAAAATATGAATCAAAGGATCTTACTCATCAGTAATTCAACATACTTCTTGAATGGTCATAAACTTGTTAGTTTTTGTATTAAAAAACAAAAGAGCTTGCTTGCAAAACCTGAGCTCAATCACTCACCATCAATCACCTATTGCATACCATGATTAACCATAAGCAACTTGCAAGGTTTAGTTCCCTTAAAATGGAAGACTAACGTTCTATATACCAGAAAACCAAAATCTTTAAAATCTTAATCCAGCTTAACATAACATATACAAGGACATCCAAAGCATTCTCATTTTAGCAAAGCTCATCCACAATAGCAAAGCATTAGCCAACAAGAAAATTCAATATGAGGTACTTCCTTATTCAGTTATCTTTCCCTAAAGCCAAAAAAACAATTGTTGCCAAGCGCTATACAGCATAACAATTATTGCCCAATGCTCTACCTATCCCCTAAAGCATTAAAATGCTCTCATGGGTACACCCACAAAATACATTCTAAAACCCAATTACAGCTTCATTGCTTAGTATCACCTACAAGCTGTAGTTATAAAAACCAATTAGACCAATCCCAGTGTTCCCCAATACATCCAAGTGTCAAACCAAACAAATTCCAGTTCATGATCATGCAAAGACAAAGAAAGTGATTCCTTTTGTCTTAGCACTTTTGCTGTTCTAAAGTTCAAAATTCTTTTCATAAAAAAAAAAAAAAAACCGAAAAGACAAGTAGAGATAAGCAACGACCAGTATCACATGTAACATGAAAAGCAAAACCCAGAAGCTTAAAAATAACGAAGAATAAGAAAAATGCTTACTTTTTGAACATCTTGGTGAGAAGTGTAAATGCAAAGGTTTTGAACGGGATCTAAGTTGGGATCTCTAAACCACTGCCGCTGCCTGTAGCGCTTCAGCTATTTGGGGCATGTAATGTAAGCAACACTTCTTCAAACTGGCATCAAGGCAATCTTTGCCTTTCAACGATGCCTGATAACTGGTAACATAACAGACCCAAAACAAGAGGCGAAGAAAGGCACTTGGGTTGAGCTGGGCTTTGTATAATTGGGTCTTTAATGGACCTTCTATAGGACTTGACAATCTGCAAAACTTTTTCTCTGGGCCTCTTATTGGGTTATAATCTTGCTCCATATTGGTTTTTGCTGTCTTTAACTTTGTTCCAAAGTTAAGCTGTTAAACTTTGTGAAAAAAAGTTAGCTTATTAATCTCACCAATCTGACTACCCAATGTTCTCAGGAAAAATATTTAAATATGAATATTTAGCTTCTACTTGAATTGAGGATTTAAGAATGGATTGTAAACGTTGAAATTTTAAATTTTAAATTTATAGAATTTTTTTAAAGATATGTTAATTTAATTAAGTTCTGAATTAGAAAAACAAAAAAAAAGCATTATCCACTTTATAGCCTTTAATGAATGCTAGACTAGACTAGATTCCAGAGAGGTTGCTGTTGAAGGAAACACTTGGACAATTTCCTCCCTGCTTGTCTTCAAACTACCATTCCCTGTTCCAAGAGAACACTCTTAGCAGAAAGAGCATCAAAAAGGGAACAAGAAAGAGAAGAAGAGAGATGGGTTCTTTCTTAATCCAAAGATTCTTCCTTTTTCTCCTCATTTCACAATCTGTTGCCCCAGAAACAATCTTTCTTGAAAACAAGAAGCCAACAGCCTATGAAGTTCTCAAAGACTTCAACTTTCCCATTGGTCTTCTCCCAAAAGGTGTTCTTGACTATGATCTTGATTCTTCCTCAGGAAAATTCTCAGCTTTCTTGAATGGTAGTTGTAGCTTCTCTCTTGAAGGGTCTTACCAATTGAAATACAAGAATATCATTAAAGGGTACATATCAAAAGGCAAACTTGCTAGCTTGGAAGGTGTTAGTGTGAAGCTTCTCTTCATGTGGGTTAATATTGTTGAGGTCTCAAGGAGAGGAGATGATCTTGAATTTTCTGTAGGGATTGCTGGTGCCTTTTTTCCTATTGATAATTTTGAAGAGTGTCCTCAATGTGGGTGTGGAGTGAATTGCAATAATCAGCTAGTGAGAAAGATCAAGAAAAACCCTTTTGTTTCTTCTTATTAGAAGAAGTTTGAATGAGAGAATTGTAGTGTTGAAGTCTTGAATTTTATGGGTTCTTGTTGATATTTGATCCATATCAATGGAATGAGTTGTAGTTATCTTGGTAAATTGGTAATTTTTTTTAATTGTAGAATTATTTGCGGAATACATTGTTTTCTGATGGTTGCTTATTGCTTGAAAATTGAAACTGTCTTTTGATGATGAAGGGATATGGGGGATTGATAGCTATTTCATAGAATCTTGTAACAGTGTCTCAAAATATTTGTGCTTGAAGTTTGTTACTGTATGGCTCTAGGATGGCAATGACACGTGGATGGTTCAATTTTTTTTTTTTTTTTTGGATTCTGTTTGGGATGCATGTCAAGTGCCATTTGCTTCCAATGAAGCTGTTAGAATATGGCACTGAAAATACTTACCACGGTTGATAATGGAGGCATTGTGCCAGAGTATGAACTACCTGTTTATGGTTTTAATTGAGATTGCCAATGTCTTTTGCATTAGTTAAGAGCTTGAGATAGACACAATTTCTGCATGTTCTTGATCTTAAGCCTTCTTCTTTGCGTTGCTTTCAACATTAGGATAATTTATTTTATTCTGCAAACAGATTAAGTTGGAGCTATCTGGGAAAGGTAAACAGAAAATGTTATCTCTTCATCAGTTGCTACCTTTGGGAGTTCATAAGGCAGTCTTTTGCTCATTTGCATCTGTATGTCTGATTCTGTGCGGAGTGAGAATGACAGTATAACATGGGATTCAACTTTCTTGAGGAATGAGAATGATGGAATTCAATTGGCCTTGATTATGTGATGCGACTGTGTTAGTTACATCTGGAAACAATGCATGGCAACGAATTTGTACTGCTTCAGCCAGCCTGAATCCGGGAATATATCAGATGTGAGGGAGAGTAGATATTGTTAATGCAGGCCTGGCTAATAGTTTCGTTAAAATCCTTCCAGTTTCAGAGTTGAGCTTCTCCAGTAACCCTCTGGCTTTTGCACCGGATTCCTTCAGAACTCCAGTGAGATCAGGATTGGAGGTTCAGCCAAAGTAACTCCTCAGCCAGCTCAATGCTAATCATTTTCATGCAACTACATTTTTTTCCGAGATTGAAAGTGACTTCCTTATACTTCACTGATAATTTAAAATATAATATAATGATATGACATAAATATAATATAAAAAATATAATATGATATAATTTAAATATTTAATAATATAATTTAACAAAATCAATAAAATATTTTTTCATATTTTTATATTAACATAAATTATGATAAATTTTAATATTTTATATGATATAAATATACGAATCAAATCAGTAAACCATAGTTCCGGTCCTGCTGCAAAGGGAAGGCTTTCCGGATGAAATTGACTGCTAGTATTTATGCGCCTCTCTGACTATATTATATCTTATTGAATTCTATACACACCGCTATTTCAATCCTGCTACCTTCCATCAATTCAACATCAAATGTTTATATGGAATTTGGTCCTTGAATAGACAAATAAGCTTTTCTGGATTCAGATTGCCCCCGATGTCCTGAGGTCCAATGATATCAGCTTTCATTAAAATGCTCAAATCCACCAGTGAAGGAAATGCTTATCCTTCTTTCTTTGTCTGGATAAACCTTGGATGATCTATGATAGCGTGCCTTTACGTCATTTTATCAATGAACCCTTATCAATTAACCCTCAAAAAAAGTTAAAAAGAAAATGAAATGCATCGCCACAAAGTACAAAAAACATAGCTATCTCAACGATTATTAATTGGCCAGCAAAGAACATATTTTCAATAGCTCTGTGACTTGTTAAAAGGATTAATCATTAGGAAAACCGAAGAAAGACTCGTACTTACCTTGCTTGATTCATAACAAAATTTTATTTTTCTAAACAAAAAAAATTTTCTGACACCTTATCTATTTAATTCTTTAAAATTATGAAAAATTATTATGAAAACAGCTTAGTTGGAGCCATTTCCATTTCTGTTGACATGACATAACTCCGCTGGCTACCAACAGCAAATTTGGGTTTCTTTGGGTTGGTCAGCCAATTTGGGTTCCATTTCCGATGACCCCATCTAAAAGTATTCGTTTCCTCTCTGATATTATCACATACAATACCCAATTTCATTTCTTTATAATTCCAAAAGGTTTCCAAGTGTGTCTTTTACCTTATTTAGTAGTAGTATTCTTTTATTTACATCTGCTAACCTGCGCTGCTCAGATTTGTGCCATGTAGCAATCCCAAAGGCCTTGCCTTTGAAGGTTTCAAACTATTGGTGTTGGTCATGTCGAATCTTTTCTTGGCAGTTGGCATAGATAAAAAGCTTATACTTAAGAGAGAGAAAATTTACAAATTTACAAAAAATATATAAAAATATAAATATAGAGAGAGAAAAGATTCATAAAGAAAATGACAACAACCAATATCCATGAATTACTCTAAATATCTCTGTCTTCTTTGATCCACTTCTTTCCGTATTGTAGAGGTTGGTTCTCTTTCATCTAAAAGGTTTGGCTTGATTTTTCTCATTTCAAACATAGCCTTTGTTCTCTGTCTCTCTATCTGAATAGTTTGAGTCTTTTTATTCATTTCTCTTTCTAGCTATACCCTTTGTTTCTTGTCTGTTGTTTGTCTCTCCCTCATTAAAGGGTTGAACAGAGTTGAGTTGGATTATCTATATTTTGCAAAGAATTTTTGGTGGTGAATTTGAAGGTGAAAATGATGATGATGACAATGGAAGGAATGATGGATAAGGGAGTATTGGATGATATAATAAGAAGGTTGTTGGAAGGGAGAGGAGGCAAGCAGGTTCAGCTTTCTGAAGGAGAGATCCGTCAGCTTTGTGTTAATGCTCGTCAAATCTTCCTCTCACAGCCTATTCTGCTTCAGATTCATGCTCCCATCAGAATCTGTGGTCAGCTTTCTCTCTCCTTTCCTCTCTCTTTTCTATTGAATTATGACATTACAAGGTCGTTATTTTGTATTTCTGGTTGTTGGTAATTAATGTATTGATGGTTTTCCTTGGTAAGATTTTGATAGCATCAATTTTTGAAGCGAAATTTGGGAATTGTTTTGGTTTCTCATTTAAATTGTATAATTTGTGGAAATTGCAGAAGAATTCCTATGTTGGGGGAGATAAATTTGTGATAATTTCTATGCCAGGTTCATTTGGATATGGCTTTTTTCCTGTTTTTGGATTAGTCCTGCAATTCATTTCCTTTCTGTGTTAAACTGCCTGTTAATAATTGAATTAAAGCATATAGGTTGATTGAAAGAAACGGTTTTTGTGTACAATTTTGCATTTTCTTTGGTAATTGGGAAACAAATCTATCTCCAAGTCAGTTGAGCAGCATATATATATATATATATATATATATATTTTGTCTCCAATGTTTATGTTGATGTTGTTATAATGTGCATTTGAGATCCATTATCCCCTTAACCTAACCCATAATTCTGATTTGGGGGTCTTTTACAGGTGATATACATGGACAATACCAAGATCTCTTGAGGCTCTTTGAGTATGGTGGCTATCCTCCTGCCGCAAACTACCTGTTCCTTGGGGATTATGTTGACAGGGGCAAGCAAAGTTTGGAGACAATATGTTTGCTTTTGGCCTATAAAATAAGATATCCTGACAGAATTTCTCTCTTAAGGGGAAACCATGAAGATGCAAAGATCAATCGGGTTTATGGGTTTTATGATGAGTGTAAAAGGAGATTTAATGTTAGGCTTTGGAAAATATTTACCGACTGCTTTAACTGTTTACCCGTAGCTGCACTCATTGATGAGAAGATACTTTGTATGCATGGAGGGTTGTCTCCAGAGTTGGAAAATTTGGATCAAATAAAGGAAATTCAAAGGCCAACTGAAGTTCCTGATAATGGTCTTCTCTGCGATCTACTTTGGTCTGATCCTGATCCAAAGGTTGAGGGCTGGGCAGATAGTGATCGAGGAATTTCATGTACCTTTGGAGCTGATATAGTTGCTGAATTTTTGGATAAGAATGACCTTGATCTCATTTGCCGAGGTCATCAGGTAAGCGAGTTTCTTTGAGCAAAGATGAACAGTGATTACGAATGTATGATTATAGTTTTACATGTGTAATGGAGCTTTTATCACCTTTTCGCACTTACTGAATTCAGCATCATATAGGTTTAAGTTAGGATACAAACCAGTTTAGTTTAGACCTTACAATTGTTCAAAAACACCAATCTTGTTTTTAAAGCATCTCTTGTCTCTGTTTGCATGAAAATGCAATCAACATAACAATGCTTAGGAATGGTATTACCTAACATGTCATGAATATTTTTATAATTGTATGAGTTATCCGGTTGGTAGTATAATTTCAAATTATTTCAAAATAGTAATTGGAAAAGAGATGATAGCATGCATTTTGATAACCATTAACCACCCCAAACCAGCAAACTAGTGTGACAGTTATCTTTTTGCGATTATGATTGGTGGTTGTTGGTACCACTGTTCATCATTTTGCAACGCAATGCATACATCTGGACTAGCCTTTGAAAGTATCACCAATTGGGATATTATAATTATTTCATCCAATTTGTATGGATTGAGATTTTTCTATGTTTTGATTTGCAGGTTGTGGAGGATGGCTATGAGTTTTTTGCTAATAGGAGATTAGTAACAATATTTTCAGCTCCAAACTATGGCGGAGAGTTTGACAATGCTGGTGCTCTATTGAGTGTTGACGAAGCGCTTGTGTGCTCTTTTGATATATTGAAACCAGCTGATAATAAAGCATCACCAAGTAGTTCTAACAAAGTGACACTGAAAAAGGTATGTACACTCAAGCAAAAGTATTATATCCTGGTTTTAATAGTGAACAACTAACTTCAGAAAACATTCAGTCTTGCCTATGCATGGTTAAATCTGTTGTGTTTCTGTTCTCAACAGCCACCAAAGATTGGAAAGATTTGACGCGCTGTAAGGGTTTTTAAGAAGTAGTTGACTCATATAGAAAATTCGGCATGCTTATAAATGGACTTTACAAGAAAACCTTCCGTGAGGTCGATGCTTGCCGGTTATTTAATTGTAAGAAAATTATCAAAAAATCTGTACATCAACTACCTCTTTTCTCTTCTGTGCATTAACAAAAATTTTTGTTGACTTTTGTTTTGGACAAGTTTTTATATGCTATGTGATCTGGTACTCACCATTAGCGTGCGAGTACGGGATCAACCTACTTTTATATTGAATGTATTTGTACATCAACTACCATTTTCTGGTTATCAATAGGCTAATTAGAGGCTAGAGGATAAATATGTATGTCAGAAATGGACTTTCAAGATGAAACTGAACATGCTGTTGAAAGAATTGTTTTCTGGTAGTAATGATGATATCCATTACTAATTTAAAGCAATCATTACTAAATTAAAAATGATTGATAATGAAAGAATATTTCAATTCCAAGGAAATAAAAAGACCCCTAAGCATGATAAGAAAGAGACTTATTGCTCTCATATATTGTATTTTAAGGTGTATCAGCCAAATCTATAGAAGCATAAAATAGCTTTCTTCATATTCTATAAATTTCTTTATTAAAAAATAATTTTGTCCGCAATCAACTTAAACGACATGTTTGAATCTTGATCGGTCTAGCCCTCAGTGCTCCAACCTCCCAAGAGTTAAAAACAACCGGAACAGTCGAATAGGGACCGAAACAACGTTAATCATAAATGTGACGTCAAACAGTCCGGTAGTCCTGGGTGTTCCGGTATTCGTTTACCCAAGTATTATGTAGATTCGACCCATGGAATAGTCATGGGTTTTGTCCCACATGCAGAGCGAACAATCCCGTTTGAGGCCCAATTTCAAGGGAACCAGATTGAATGAGGTCCATCAATGAGTTAAAAACATGCTTGGGCCTTTTATAAAATTAACTTCCAAATCAAATCTTCCTACTTAATTAAGCCCTTACTTCCATGAATCTGGTGTTTAAATCGCAGCTTCCATCTTCTTTTGAAACTTCTATAATACAAAGATTTTGTATTGATTCCTTAAAACAAGAGAACGTCGGCCACGGTTTCCACTACCAAGCACTGCAATCTAAATCTGTCGAGTTTGATTCTATTAGGTGTTTTTTTTTTTAAATTAAATTTCAGTCAAATTAAGTTAGAAAATTTTTTTCAAATCAAAATTAAATCGAAATCAAATTTTAAACAAACTCTTCTCACCTCAATCAGATTTTATATAAAATATTTTTTATTATTTATTTAATTATATATGTTTATATTTATTTAATTTATATTTATATTAAATAATATTTTAGATCAAATCAATTATAATTATATATATATATAAGTTAAGTGAAATTCAAATATAAAAATAATATTTTAATATTTACATTCAAATATTAAATTAAAAAAATCGAATAAAATCGAGAGCCTAGAAAAACCCACCCCGACCCTTGCCAGCTCTAAACCTAATCACATAACGAAAAACGACAGATTCCAAGATATGATAGAAAAAAGCCCCCACCATTTGTTGATTAAGGCCATCACAACCACTATCTGTTCTACCTTTAACAAACACTATCCCATCCAACACCGAAACCCCATTATATTGCTGGCTCCACAGAAACAAAAAACACAACAGTTCGCAAATCATGAGCAAGAGAAACCGACACTGAAATCTTATTCCGACAAGCTCGAGAGAACAAACAAACTGCAGAGGGAAACGATTACAAGCTCTATATACAAGTCGCATTCGTACATTACCATCCTAAAGAACCATTTAAGCCCTACCAGACTGACATACATAAACTTAAGCTGCAAAGATATAGAAGCTAGCTAGCATAGGAGAGAAGCTCATATCTCACACGTCGTAAGGAGGACGAGGGCTCCTTGGTCCAACCTCGCTGGCCTTCTCGTACGCATCCGATGTAGATCTTCTCCGAAACCGGTACAAGTCTCTGCCTCCTAAGCAACATATCATCCACAATAACAGCTTTACTCGGTATTATAATTACTACCATCTGTCCATATCCATCTACTAATTCCATTACAACATATCATAATCAACTAAATGCAATTATGGGAATGGTAGGGTTGTTTATGCAATCTACACATTCAATCTTAACCGTTCGTATATTAATGAGAAAACGTAAAATGCACGAAAACACGAAATGTCAAATTCGGACAATAATTCACTAAATTTAGGAAAAATGCATCCAAAACTTTAGTAATTGTACAACAACGACATCTAACATCAAACAAACATGGCAAAGTTTGTGACATATATTTTGCTACACAAGATAAAACCTTGTGTTTATAGCTATGATTTCAACATCAATATACGTGGATTGTTGTGACATTATACCCCACAAAGAAAAGACCCACTCCATCAAAGTCAAAGACACCATGAATTATTTTTACAAAGTCAACAATAACCTTATATAACCTAAATAGGGCAGATATATTTCTCTAAAATAGGACAGAATTGTCAATTTCCAAGTCTTAGACGAAAGTCACACTTGCATCCACCTATCATTGCATTATCATTATCCATATCTACCCCCCTAAAGCCCACTTATCACTAATAGAAAAGAAATATTAAGCTGACAGAACTACCCTTCATCAGTCCACTTATGGAGACGTTTCTAGACAACCCGCTCCACCTTTCCAGGAGAAGACATTTTCAGATTTGAGACATATATCAGGGACAAATTCGGCATTTTAAGAAATATATCAGGCACAAATTCGGCAATGAGAGAGTAAAAAATATAAAATATATAGAAGTATTACCAGAAAAAGGAGATACCGGAGGAGTTGACCCGGCTGGCGAAACCGGAGGCGATCCGCTCTGGTAACCTGGCGGTTTTACGATCATAATAGTCCGTGTCACTCTCGTCGCTTCCTCCGACGTTTGATCACCGTACGATCTCACACTCCCGCCATCAGATTCTGATCATTAGATCGCCAAACGAAATGCAAATAATTACGAAAAATAATAAATAAAATCTTAAACGTCTGACGCAAATAATAAACTTCCATTGCATAACAATTTTTTCTTTGTTAGTAGCTGCTCGCCATTTCGATTTAACGCTTTCTATTAATTTTGGTGACAATTTTGATTGCTTTTAGTGAGATCATTGTTGTTTTATATATGACTAAAGAGCGTCGCCGCCATCGAAGTGAAACAGCTACCGTTTTGGGAGGGAGAAGGAGGGCCTAAGCGTACCCTTGGCGGCGTTAGGCCGGAAAGTGAAAGTGGAGTGCTTTCGGAGCTTGCCGAGGCCGTTATCGGGTCGGGGACCCGCAACGGTGTCGTCCCACAACTGGTCAAGTAACCCCATATGATTGTAAGCTAATCAGGAGATCTAAATCCGGCGTACCTTTATATGCCGCTTCGTTAAAGAAACGTGATAGCCAGGATAGAGAATTGATTGAACCGGGTAAGGCAGATATTTAAAGACAGGATGTTAAAGGTCGAACAAGTTAGAATAAATATGGACCGTTGATTCGGATCCGAAAACGTAATGACGTGGCAAATAGATCGAGGAGCACGTAGTTGGCGATAAGATGAGTTGTGAGAGGTGGCTCGAAAAACTCGGAAATCTCAGGAGTCGGGGATTGTCACGTGACAAGGTCATGTTTTATGATTGCTGAAAATCGAAAATACCCTTTAACTTTATCCAGTTGGATTATAAATGGTCAGGCTGTTGGAAGAAATTACGAGGCTGACCAAACTAGACTCTCATCCGCCATTTGATATAATGTAGTATTTATCACGAGAAAGTAGTAGAATCTTGACGACGATAATTAATCTGCTTTATTATTAATCATGTTTAATTAAAAATTCCGTGATTATCACACCAATCTGCTGCTGTGGGACTGCTTAAAAGAAGCGCACCGTCCCAAAAGCATTGTTTAAGAAATTTTGATGGGGAAATGATGGTTACTAAGGCGCAATCTACTCTGTTACACTATTAAACTTTACTTGAAATTTCAAAATTGAAAACTTAATTCTAAATCAATCGAGTTTCATTTTTTATATTTGTAATTGACTCTATGAAATTATAGATATTAATATTAAATATTATATTTTTATTATTTATTTATATATTTTTAATAAATAAAAATAAATTAAATTTATGAACATCTCAAATCTAAATATTATAATATTTAAATTCGAATAATTTAAATTTAGCTCAATAATAAATAAACAAGTCGAGCTAAAATTTTTTTCAAGCCTGAATAATTCAATAGTAGCTTGATAATAATGACTTCAGCTTAAGCACATTATTAAAATCAAGTTGCCAAGTCGATTTCTCTTAATTTCTTCCTCTTGTCTTCATCCAAAAAGATTTCAAGTCAAATTCTTTACCTAACCACAAAAACCCAAACCTTTACTCAACTTCTAGCTTTACTTCAATGCGTCAACACATTGCTTTAGACCAAGAACAAAGGATGATTCAATACATCAGAGTTCAGTTTACCGATGGAAAATATATCAATAATACTAGGACAAGAACATAAAAGCATTACAATATAAACTGCATTTTAGGCTGTTTGTTTTGGTGCAAGTAGTGATCGTTCTCAACCAACTAAAATAGAACAGCATTCAAAGGACAAATGAAGAATGTATTCGACCATGAATCTAGCACAGGTTAAGCAAACTAAACGCTTTTTCTAAAATTTTCTAAATTTAAAGCAATTTGACACCTGCTTCCCTGAGGGAATCCATGACAGCCTTCACCTTACCATGATACTTCTGTTCTCGCTTTAAGAAAACAGAAACAGCGGGTATCTCTTTCAGCAGCAAGCGTTCCCCGAGTATCTTCCCAATCTTGGCGGCAGCTGCCACGTCCCGAGTAGATCCTATGCTTGACCTGAGGGCCTTCTCCTGTGAGCTTGCTGAAGATGCCACAGTTGCAGTGGGAGAATGGATTACTTGGGCACTAACATAGTTGTTTGTGAAATGCATCTTCAGGACATAGGGCTTTAGGAATTTCAGAATTCTTGGCGGTCTAACAGGTGGAGGGATAACCATCTCTATCCACAAAGCAAAAAAAAGAAAAAATATGTAAATGATCATTTTATGGAGAAAATGCCACTGAAATTTGATTGTAGGGGATCAAAATTGTAAAGAGGAATATCTCAAATTGCAGAGAAAAGCTTACTGGCCATCTGTATGAAATCCGATTTTAGAAAAACTTATTAGCAAGAGCAAGATTGGTGCGAAAAACTTGTACTAAATCAAAAAGCAAAGCTTCTGAGATTTGGAAATGAATTGGGAAAACCTTCCAGCGTGTAAACTAAGGTGTAATCGAGCTGAGTCAATACAACAAAAAGTTCGAACTCAACTCAAAATTCATTATTTGATACTTGAGTCGAGCTCGATCAATTATTAAATTTCAAACTCGAACTCGATACAAAATAAAAATTAAATTACTTGAGTTCGCTCAATTACGGTTGTTTATCAAATAAAAAAATGAGCTTCGTTCCCATGCTCGACTTCAAGCTCAATTATTTGTATTCAAATTTGAGCTCCAGCTCAAATTTATACACAACAACTTATTAGTTGCTCTTACAAGCATTTTATCGAACACGTTTTATGACATATCGAATGCCTGTTAATAGAAGGCTAATCCGACCAAAAAATAAATGTTTCTATGAAATCTAACAATAATCGGAACTTAACCAGAAAATGAAACAAATAATTGCCTATACCCAGAAACATAGATTCGTGATTATATAAAGCTGACCTGAATTGACGATGGTGCTGTTTTCGGGTTCGAATCAGAAGCATAGAGGAACGATACTTGTTTGCTAGTGTCGTGTCAAGCGTTTTGAACACATAAGGGGAAAAGTGAGTTTTGAACCGAAATGTTGGGCTTGGTGAGGCCCACATTCATAACGCTGTCTGAGAGAAGGAAAGTCCATCTTTGTTATTACAATATTCAACTTTTTATTTTTTTATTTTTTTTAAATACAAATATATTTTTTAAAATTTTATAAATGGAATTAAAAATATTATATATATAACATAAAATATATTTAAAAAATAATTAAAATAAAAATAAAATATTTATTAATATCTTAACATAATTTGTGAAATTAAAAATTTAAACTAATAATATATCAATATCTGATTTTTTTTAATAATTTGTTCGTAATAATATTTTATAATAAAGAAAAATGGATTGTTTCGTTATAACAAAATAAATGCATAATTTATTTAAAAAAAAACAATAATTGCTTACTCATGGGATTATGAAACCCTATACAATTCGTATTGATATATGTTACATTTTTTCAATTAAGGCTTTTCTTTACAAATGCATTGGAGGACAAACAAATTTGAATTCAATATTTTATACCAATTATTGAAGTAAATGTTCAAATATTAATAGAATATATTTTTAAGCAATATCCATTCATTTAATTTGTATGATTATTTTTTATTTATTTCTTTCATTAATAAAAAAAAAAAAAACTCATAACTTATTTGAGCAACTTTAATTGTAACTTTAGCTTTAGCTAGGTATTAAGCAATTTTAAGACCAAATAATCAACAATATCAACCACATATCACTCCATATCGATGATTAATATAACTTTTACAAACAAAAATTATAATGCTATCATATATTATAGAAATCTACACTTAACTTAAAAAGTATCATCCATTTTGACTCAAATATTTCATAATTTTGTTACATAAAAAATATCTCACAAATTTGAAATTAAGTCTCAATTTATATATACACCAAAATTTGAATAAACTCAATATAAAGTACATAGAGATCATAAGATCATATTAAAAGTTGAAATTTTAAAGATGACTCTAATGGTATAGTATTTAATTTTCGTCTTAAAACACACAAAAATCATAAAATCATATCAGATATTAAAATTTTAGAGGTAGCTCCAACGGTATAATACTTAGTGATCGTCTAACTGATAATTATTCTGATACTATTTATGATGACCTATACTTAACTTATTAAATAATTTCATATCTAAATAATTTGAAACTCTATTTATGATAAAATAACTTATTCATGAATTTATTTTATCATAATAGAGTTTCAAATTATTTAGATATGAAATTAGTACTATATATATTATTAATTTTTTAATATATTTCAAAAGAGTATCGAAAATTCTCAGTTGAATTAAAAGGTTTTAAGAATTTTGGTGCCATATTCCCCTTCCAGGTTTACCAAAACCAGATTTCAACTAGATATGTGACAAAATCATTGTAGTAATAGTGGTTTTCACAGCCTAGAAATCTGTGCATTGCGTGTCCAAATTCATCATTTCATATTCTTCACTGTCAGTTTTTTACACCATTGCTTGCATTTGAAGGATCTGCACAATCTGCATTTCCTGTTCCTTACCTATTTCAATGTCCAACACCCAATTGCAGTCCTTGAGTGACAAATGGGACAGTTCCTACTAAGCTTGTGTTATTTGCTTCAGCTTCAATATGCTCCGTACACTCATCCAGGCATCAGGTCAAAAACGCAAAGTACAATTTGTATGCATCAGGTTGGATTGGTCAAAACTCAGAGTCATTTCCGCTGCAAATGAGCATTTGCCTTTTGTTTTTCCCTAGAACTTAGATCGAATATTACGGAAGATTATTTCATCTTCGAGGTAAGGAAGTCGTCAATTCAATTAAAATTTATGAATTTGTTAAATTTTTATTTATAAATTTTTTAGATTTACAAATTATTTAATAATGAAAGATAGTGAGAGATTGAAATTTTGGATTTTCTAATATTACTGTCAATCGATGCGTCCGATTCAAGAATTTTAATTCGATTCTCTTTCGAAGCTAGAGCCGAAAGCGTCGTCAGATGAACTTTTCCATGTACAAGTGCAATTCACGTGAAACCTTTCTCCACCTTGAAAGTTAATATTTGTTACTATCACCACAATACCGCTCCGCCCGCACACCCAGCGTTCGCCCCTTGCTACTTCTGCCAACCCTTGCTGGCTTTTCTTCCTTCTTGTTACTGTACAACTTAGATCAAACACCGATGTATTCCATTTCTCAATTTCTTTTGTGTGAAATAAAACCTTTCTACTTTAAACTTGAGCAGTTTGGTCAGTGGCTACTGTGAATATAAGAAAGTGTTACCCCTTATCTCATGATAAGGCATGGTCATGCATATATAATTGCAACAGTACCGCATGTTACAGTTCCACGCAAATTGATGATGAAATTAGATGCGTATTGCCATAGTGGATCCTCTTGGCAGAGTGTTTTTATTAGGGAACTTGATTTTTCAGATAGACTTACAAATACAAAAGCCAGAAGAATTAATCATGGCAAGCGAAGAGAGAAACTAAGGTGAAGTAAGGGCAGTGAAAGATAATAAAATTGAGCCATATAATTTACCTTTCTGATCATATCTGTACTTTCACAAGTGAGCTTTTGCACTGCAATCACCAATTTGAGTGTGAGAAAGGGTGGGGAACTCATGGTGGAGAAGGGGAGCACGTGCATAGTTCACTTGGGACATCTAAAACTCGAGATTATAAGCTAAACAGATCGAACTTGCACGTGCCCTGCTTCTCCAACAAGAGCTACTCACCCAACATGACAAAAAAAAAAAAAAAACCCACAGAACAAAAGTTTAAGTGATCATATGAGTGGAGAAAGCAAAAAAACTCATGCATTTATATTCAAGTTTTTTCAAGAGAGGGGAAAAAAAGGTGAAAAAAGAGTGAGATTGAGTCTAGAAGTGGGCATTCTTTAAAGACACCTCCCCAAATATAAGTTTTCAGGAACCTGTTAGCTTTGTAACAAATAGGCCAAAAGGCCCCCCTACCCCCATGCCATTCTTAATGAATTTCAAGATGAAAATGATGCAAAACACACCCCCTTCAATTAATTAACAATGCCATATATTGTCACTACTCTCTCTGGTGAGAAACCATCACTGCCCTTATCAATGAGAATCAAAGCTGTGGGGTCCCAACCTTTCTTCTTGAACGTTACATGCAAGTGCAATGTGATGAAAGTGGGATTTTGAAAAATATTCTGTAGAATTGATGGTATCCATCCCCCAATAATAGATATGCATATGACCTTGAATTTGACACAACTTCCAGTGAATCTTATTCTTACTGGTTTTGATTAGTTGGTTGATATGTTACCTATTACGTATGAATTGGGTCAGTTTAGTGCCTTTGTGGGATATTTTCTGCCGTTAAATAGAGCAAAATCCAATTCTTTTACCCAAGATTTGCTCATCATGCCATCACAAATCTGTATTGGAACTTGAAAATTCTTGATATCTCATTAGTTAACTTGTTAGACTAAACTCGGAGTTCAAATCTTTGTTAAAAAATCAAGTCATGTCGTTCTTTAACTCCTGTCAAACTCGAGTCTGATTGTTGCTTTTGGCATTGCTAGAGAGACACAATCGGAGAGATATTGGTCCTTTTTCTTCACTGTCATCCTGTTAGCATTAATACATTTAAGATACTTAACGTGCTTCAAATAAGTACTTAATTTCTTCAGTTTCTTTTTTTTTTTTTTGTTAAACACTGATTAAACACTGTTTTTAAGAGGGAGATTTGATTTTATGGGTATTTACCTTGTCACTCAGTAAAAATATGTGTGTTCATCCAATGCAGGCCTAATCTAAGATTCTAAAAGTTCAAATATTGAATGCTGGTAACTTGACATTTGAGCAATTGAATTGTAGTAAAAGGGAGGAAGAGACCTTGGCTTTTGGCATGGTAAGGACTGGATGGGGGTAAGCCTGATGCAGCAATAACCAGACACAGGCAGATCAGTCTAAGAAATTGCACGTTGGGGTTGCGTGTTGGACCCAAGTTTTCGATTAAAGATAGACAGCAGAGAGAAAAAAAGGGTTCTTATTTATCTTCTTCAAAGAAGTTTTTAGTGTTCGTTTTGGAGAGAATAGGGGGAGTCCCTATCTTTGGTAGGAATTTACTTCCTTGCTTCACTCACCCCACCTGACCAAGTCCAAGATTCTTCTCTGTCTTATAAATGTTTTACCAAGAGAGAAAGAAACCAATTGAAAAGCATATTATTGAGCAATGCTGCAATGATTAAACATCCCCACATAAGTTTTCTCTATTCAAATAAAGGATTTAGCAAAATGTAAAGCTTATAACAAATAAGTGAAACAGATGGAAATCAAATCATGGCATGACCAGGAACAAAGGTGACAAAGCAACTAGCATAACAACTGGTCGTTCTCAGCTATCAATCTTCTTCCTCGTCCTCGTTCTCAGCAATGTTGAAGTACCTTAGTTCATAACCAGTTTGATCACTGTTGGATATAATCACTTGAAATTGGGGTGTAATCGAACAGAATTTTTGATGAATCGTTTATGAATATGTTCAGCTTTTATTCGTTTATTAAATTTAACAAACGATCTTGAGCACTATTTGTTAAATGAATCAAACATAAATAGTTATTTATTCATTTATTTATATTCACGAATAAATTTATTAATTATTTATTTAAATCTCGTTTGTTTATTGTTTATTTATTATTCGTTTATAATAATATTAATAAAATTATATTTTTATATTTTATCTTAATTTTATTTTAAAATTCGTTTATATTTATTTGAATTCGTTTATATTCATTTAAAATTTATTTTTTAAAATTTATTTGATTATAATTTATTTATTGTTCATGAATATGTTCATTTATATATGTTCGTGAATATATTCGGTTAATATTCACAAATAAACTCATTTAATTTAATTAAATAAACACGAATAACATATTATTTAAACCAAAAAACATAAATGAACAAAATAATTTTCTTAATAAAAATGAATCGAACACGAATATCTTTAAAAATAAATAAACAAATACAAATAAATATTTATTCGATTTATTTTCGGTCCTACTTGAAGCCAATCACGTACGTTATGTTTCTTTAAGAGTTTTTTGGTCAAGTACTTCTGATACCTGGAAAGAAGTATAGACAGGGACTGAGGGAATGAACATGTAACAGACAAGTATAATTGTTCAAGCACAATCCACTTATCTAGTGCAAACAAAGAGCAATACAACATAGAAAAATGCCAGTTGAAGACACCACAAGGAAATGAAATTAATGAGGGAACTAAATAGAAATATCCCCTATGTTTATAAAAGCCTAATTCCAACCAGAAAATTCCTGCCACCACAGAAAGGGAGACTGAATTTTCTCGAGGAATTTTCTCACTTTTCCCTCATTTTCTCGATATCCAAATACGTCCTCATTCAATCAGCCTAAATGAAAACGTTAAATCCACAATTCAATGACAATACTTAAGTAGCCTATCGTTGAGCTATACTCTTTATGGTAGCTGGGATAATGCTGGAACTAAATTACATCAAAACTATGAAAGTCGAGGTATTGCTTCATTGATGAAAAAAGAAAAAGGTAAAACTTCACGAGTAACAAATGGATTTTCCTTCGAGTAGGATATTCTATCAAAGTTTCCTTCATTTTCTCGGAAACAAACACATGAAATTAACCGTAGCTTATTGATAAAGGGAAAGAGAGTTAACTATAATTAAACTTTCTTTCTTATCTTTCTCGCGGTAAGTTGAACATGCCAAGCCAGCGTTGGTTTTTAAGGTCGGTAATGGAAGAACAGGTAATTAACCTATAAATTATTCTTGGATTCATGCAATGCAAGACAAAGATAGCAACAGGACTGACTTCAGCCGCTAGCTCCTTCGTATTTTTGGCGAGTGAGACAATTCTTTGAACCATTGGGGGCAAATAGTCAAAAGCAACTCAGGATAATCTAATATATTCTCAGCTCAAAGGCTGCAAATCCACTCTAGCCATTCAACTATGTTCATTTTTCACAAAATTCATCAGATAATGTAACCATCCATCCATTAAGTGCAAACAAAAAATGATCGATGATGAAAAGAACTCATTTCTCTAAATTCGGGTTTAACTTTGAACCATTGGGGGCAAATAGTCAAAAGCAACTCAGGATAATCTAATATATTCTCAGCTCAAAGGCTGCAAATCCACTCTAGCCATTCAACTATGTTCATTTTTCACAAAATTCATCAGATAATGTAACCATCCATCCATTAAGTGCAAACAAAAAATGATCGATGATGAAAAGAACTCATTTCTCTAAATTCGGGTTTAACTTTATCTCAATCCACTTACAAGCTCCACAGGTATGTTATATGTAAATAACCAAAGCAATTGAAAAGAATGTGATGAGAAGGGGCAAAATAATGCCCTTTAAACAAAAAAATAATAATAATTAACCTGAGTAAGTTATAGACCTAAGAAACATTTATTCAAGTCATATCAAGAGTCATCTACTCCTTGTGCGAGTATCTATCAACTGGAAGGAACTTTGCATATGGATCAGCTTTGGGTCTGTTCCTATGATCATAGTATTCAACCACTGCAGCACCAGCTAATGCAGCCAATGTAAGGGCTTGTGCATGCAACCTGAGTTGAAGGCAGAGGACAATGAGTTAACAATGAGGCACAGTAAGTAAAGCAAGGTGTAAACATCCAAAAGCTATTACAAGCTCATTAAGACAAAATGCAAGTCAATCTCGAGAAAAAAACGGATTATGCAAACATTAATTTTTGCAAAGCATAAAAATGCACCGCTAAAAGAAGCTATATATAACACTTAAGCAACGTGAAGATGCAAAAGAAGAGTAAAACACAGCTTAAAGAGGTATCAAACTTGCACACGTACAAAAACAGAAGCATTACGTTTGTAGCCCCTTCACCTCCAGCCCCACATTTCAACCATTTTTGTTCTTTGTTAGGGCTAAAAGAGTAAGAGGTAAGCACTGCATATGACCTTCAACCAAACTTACACAATCAAACTGATAGCATCTCACAAAAAGTGCAAGCAAAATCACATAACATGGTATTTTCACCATAACCTAGAAAAATCCCCTCATCATAATAAACCAACGAAAACCATTCTAATCGTCCAAATTCTTTTAAAGATTAGAAAAACAGTTTTCTAGTTTTTCTTCCAGTCCAATTAATCAGTTCAGAGATAGCAAATTACCATAGCTCTGACTCCATTGTAAGAAAAGTGTTGAAAAGGAAGACCTTAAAGCTTTCTAACACTTTTGGATATATATCTGAGACAACACTCAACTGAGGCCCAAAGACAGTATAATTTGTATCCCTTAACACAGGTGGTGGAAATATTTGCCTCATCTAATCGAAAACAACAGCTAAAAACACAAATAATCAAATCATTTACGACCAAAAACCAACAGCAATAGAAGGATGCTTTGAAGCCCTATAAATTTATCAAACACGCAAGACAAAAGAAAAATTCTAATAGAAAAATTAAAAATTTCACATTATTTCCATTTTTTCAAGCTTCCAGCAAGCAGAGGACGAATTCAGTTACTTTCGAATACCCCTTTGCATGAATCCAAAGGAAAGATTTATAATTTATTACAAGGATATAAGTGAATCAAAAAATTTCAATAACCCAAATACAGCAACGAAAACATAATAATAATAATAAAAGATACAAGATTTACCTAGCGTGAATAATCTTAACGCTGGTTTTCATGTTGGGTTGAGACCAATTGTAAGCAATGGAACCCGCAATACCGCTAAGCCACAAACACCCTTTTGGAAACAAACAAAAAAACATTAGGATTCTAACAAAAGAAACATACAAGTTTTCCAAAAAAAAAAAACTAAAATAATTACCAACAGTTCTAAGCTTGTGATCAACGACCCATTCTCTAAGAGATTCAAACTTGCTCTTAGATTCCACCAAAGATTCCACCATTTTGAAGAAGAAAACAAGCCTTCTGGACAGAGAGAGAGATTGTTTATTTGATTATTTGATTTTGTGCTGAGAAGGTATTTTCCTTTTATAGGAGAGAGAAAGAGAAGACAAAGCGAAGTTTGCGACTGGCAAAATCTGTGGGCAGGAAATCTTTGCCGTGTCGAAAAAGACTTTGTGTGTGCCACGTGGGAATTACTTTATTAAAATTTCAATTAATTCAAAATTTTCTAAATCCAAGCCAGCCAATGGCTATGCTGGCAATCCTTAAAGAGAACAGGTAAAGGGTATGGGCCAGTGATAATTTTCAGAAAATGAGGGATAAGACCGTCCGATAAAATTTGCATAAAATTTTATAAATAAAAATTTTAATATAAAATTTGAATTGATAAATTAATTAAATTTAATATAAAAATTAATAATATATAAAAATATTATTAAAAATATTCTTTATAATTTAAATTCAATTAATATTTATTTAATAATAAAAATTTTGTTAATATTTTTTATTAAAAATATTTATTTAATAAATACATCAAAATTTATTAAAATTTTTATAATTTTATACATTTAATTTAAATAATAAATTTTTTTATATATTATTTTTATTTTTATTTTTATTTACATATTTTCGAAAAAAAATTTCACGATTTTTATTTATAAAACTTCGGCTAAGTTTTCCTCAAAACCGTAAAGCCGATGAATCTGAAAATCCAACGGTTGAGAATCTATAACTTAAGACAGGCCCACTTATCAATTTTTCAGCCTGCCCGGATTGACAGACTAAACTCTCGAGCGTACGTAACTTCTTGGTTTCATTCACAGTAAAGGTCGTTTGCTTCACCCAAAAGGGTATAAAGGAAGAAAGACTGAATGGTTTTGTGATGACGTCCTCTCAGATCCTTGCCTTAGGCGGAAGCTGCTGGATCTTATGATAGGATCTGAAGCACCAGCGGACTGATGGAATGCACCCCAACCTGAATCTCTGTCAACCTGATTTAGTGAAAATGAAGGCAAATGATCTCTTTCCCAAGCATGGAACCGAGTTGATAGAGACCAAAGTGAAGATGAATAAATGTAAGGCATCCGACAATGAGATTCTTAAAGAAAGGGAAAAGCCGAATAAAAGGGAAATGAAAAGATTCAAATAAGAATCGAAGCGACTCCGACGAGTGCGGTTAGGCCGAAACCAGTCCCAACGGAAAACCAGAGTTTAGGATCGCGGGTGGTTTCAGCCGAACCGGAAGAGAGGTTCATTGAGGGCGGAGACTTTTAGGTCACAGTATCAGCGGGAAATGTCGTTGGCAGCGGCGACGATGTGGCTGGGAGATGGAGGAGAAGCGCTGAGAGGGAAGCGGGCCGCTCAGAGTCTTCTCGCTCGGTTCACTCTCATAGCTCAGTTTCGTAGTGTAAATTGTCGGTTATTCTTTTCCTAACCCCTAACGCCCCTGGATTGGGTTTTTTGTTCCGACCCGATCCACTTAATCTAATGACATTCTTTAAAAAAAAATAAAATGGAAAAGACATGAGATATTAAAAGAAAAAATTACGACAACACTTTAGATTCGTGGGAACCAGTTTGTAACAGAGTCCGGAGCAGCTGCACCCGAAACATCCACCGTTTGAAGAACAAAGATTCGATTTTTGAAGAGTTGAGTTTGAGTTTTTAACTTTAACTTTTACTTTCAAGTTTTTTCTTCTGTTTTTATTTTCATGTTTTTCCCTTCAAATTTTCTCATAATCAGCAAACATGTTACCTCAAAAAAAAAAAGTTCACTAAATGAAAATCACTTCAACAACAACAACAACAAAAAAAAAAGCGCATAAGAATTCAGTAATAATAAATTAGCATAAATAAATAATCTGGAAACGAAAGAAAAATCTAACACAGTACAATTGGGCAGTCAAAGTACCACGTATATAAACAAATTCTCAACAGGATGATGCCACTTGCTCCTTCATGCGTAATAATTTAAGCTTGCCTTCTTCTTAGCTTGCACCTGAATGATACCTTCATTGAAATCTTCATGGTTCACCTGTAAGTACCAAAGTAGATTTTACTACTTGCTCCCATGGCTCAAATGTTCACAAGTAAATGTAAATACGCTAACATATCCGCATGCACGCAAATTTAGTATGAAATATCTAAAAGCTGTTTATGCACATGTAACCTTAAGGTATATGTTCTTGTCAAAATTTAAGTAAATGAACTCAGAAGATTAGAATGCGCACCTCAGTTGCATCGCGGCGAAGAGCTAGCATGCCTGCCTCCACACAAACAGCTTTCAGTTGTGCTCCATTAAAATCATCAGTGGATCGAGCAAGTTCTTCGAAATTGACATCTGGATGAACATTCATCTTCCTCGAGTGGATCTAGAAAATAAAGGAAATAATTCAATAAAATTCGGTATAGAAGCCATACAAGCACCATTACTGAAATCAATAAAATTCTGCACAGTATTGAAGCCATAGAAGCAGCTGTACTGAAAGCCATACCTGAAGGATTCGAGCTCTTGCTTCTTCAGTGGGATGTGGGAACTCGATTTTACGATCCAATCGACCAGAACGCATCAGAGCAGGGTCAAGGATATCAGCTCGGTTAGTTGCTGCTATCACCTACAATACATTAGAACTTAAGCATTACATTAGAATACATCAATTACATTTTATCAAACAGATAACATAAAATTATCAACCACAAAGTTAAACCTTAATACGTTCATCGCTGCTAAAGCCATCAAGCTGGTTGAGCAGTTCCAACATTGTTCGCTGAACCTCCCTATCTCCACTCACTTCACTGCAGGTGGAACAGACAGATCAATAATCAGTAATTCTGTACACAAATAAATGCTGCCAGTGTTACTGGCCTCAAAAATAACTTTGCTTCACAAGAAATCAAGACATGGTAGTACCTATCAAATCGCTTTGTGCCAATTGCATCAATTTCATCTATAAAAATGATACATGGAGATTTTTCTTTTGCAAGCTGAAAGGCATCACGGACAAGTTTTGCTCCATCTCCAATGAACATCTAAATGCATTAGAATTTTAATTACTTAATAAAGGGCCTAAGTAAGCAGATAAAAATGCACAAAGTAATACTGTACAATAATAAAAACAACTTTATAGATCACAATCTTCCTTTCATGTTATAATAGTCAAGTAGTAAAGATCATGGGATGAAATGATTCCAACATGAATTGAAAGGAGTAGATAGGATCCAAACATGTAGAGAAGTAAGCTTGGAAAGGATAAAGGACTTCATACCTGAACCAGTTGTGGGCCTGCTAGCTTCAGAAATGTTGCATTTGTTTGTGCTGCACAAGCACGAGCCATCAAAGTTTTTCCAGTGCCAGGAGGTCCATATAACAGCACTCCCTTAGGTGGACGAATGCCTAGCTTTTGAAACCGTTCTTTATGAGTCATGGGCAACACAATGGCCTCAACTAGTTCTTGGATCTGTTCCAGGAAAAACCATCAGAAAAAGGCATTGTTTGCTCAACAGTTATCAAATGATCTCATAAAGGACAGTAGAATAAAAACTTGCCTGCTTCTCCAAGCCACCAATATCATTGTAGTCTTCAGTTGGTTTCTCATCAACCTCCATGGCCTTTACTCGAGAGTCATACTCAGACGGCAGAGTATCCAATATCAAGTAGCTGTCTTTATTGACCCCAACCAAATCACCAGGTTTCAACTTATCAGGGTCAACAAGTCCAACCACAGGTAGAAAGATGGTCTGGAGTAATTAAGAAACAAGCCAAGATCAAAACCAAGTGTTCTTTTCACCAATTCTCAAAAATTGTTGATTTGACAACTAACTTCGTTATGGTAAACAATAAAACTATTAGTAGCAGATAAGAATCATGCTGCCCTCACCTGACGAGTAGAGGTTTTCAGCACAACACATTTACCCTTCCTCTGTGAGTCAAGATCAATGTTGGCACCATCCTCCTCTGCCTCATCTTCAGGATTCATCTCCAATATCTGAAAGAAACAGTAATTAAGTATTAAACCATCCAAGCAGATCCTTATCAATTATATAACAGCATCAACAATGGCTTATTATTCAGTTGCCCCCCCATCCAATGCTCTTTTTGACTTTTTTTATACAAAGAATCGTTACATACCAGTCAAAATAGGTTGAAAACTAAGCAATTCAAAAGGAATTTGGAAAAAAAGAAAAAGAAAAAGAAAGAGCCACACATAATCTACCTCAACAATGTTGCCGACCAAGTAAGGCAACTGCTTGTTAAGCTTAATCTTTTCTTGATTCTCCTTAATCTTCTCCTTGTATGAATCCAACTCGAGATTTGTCCTTTGCATCTCCTCCTTTAATCCCACAAAACAGTTAAACAAAAAATCAGAGAATTCACACAAACTATAGCTACTTCTTTCAAAAGAAAAGCCTTTTCAGTACAAAAGAAAATTACTTAGCTTTATCAAGCATTAAGATTTCCTAATTAAACCAAAGCAAGAAAATCAAAAACCAAACTAAAGAACTCCCCTTTATATGCAAAAATTACTTAGCTTTAATCAATACCCAGAACTAAAATCCGAAAAATAACATCGAAAGACGAAATTTTATTAAAATGGAGAGGTGTTTATAGTGGCAGTGGATTAAAAAAACCCTAAACCACAACAAAAACCCAAAAAAAAACAATGGAAATCATAATCCAAGCAAAGATATAAAGGGGGGGGGGGAGAGAGAGAGAGAGAGAGAGAGAGAAGGACCTTGAGAATCCGAATCTCGTTATCTAGAAGACGAGAAGCTCGGATGATGTCATCGGTGGTCATCGAAGTCAGCTGGTCTTCTTCAAAGCTCGAATCTTCGACCATGGCGGTTGCCATCGGTGACGGATTTAAAAAAAAAAAAAATCGGAGAATATGATCGAAAGATTAATCAGAGAAAATCAACAAAGTAGTCGAAGAGAATAAGAGAGGAAAGATTATGTGTTTTTATTATTTTATAGGTCTCAAACTTGTTTTCGAAGAAATTGAACTGAGCAGGTGGTGAATCTGCCGTGCCCAGCTCCCGATTGGGCTCAAACAAGGTTAGGCTTGTGTTTATGTCCATCTTGGCTATCTTGGGCCCACCTTTCTCTTTCTTGGTCCAATCTTAGGGGCTGACGTTTTTATTTGGGTCTAGCTGGACCACTTCCTTCTCATTTTGGGCCAAGGTTTTGCTTAATTTTTCTATAGTGGGCCCACATTCGGGCCTTATCCATTTAGGTGAAAATGGAACTAGGGAGTAGGATAAAAACGTGAAGATTGCAGAAATCTGGCATGTTGAGCCGCAAATTCAGCAGAAATTAGGGTAAATAGGTGAAATGGACAAGAACATATGCATAGAGTAGGGGTGAGGAAAAATTGGAAAAAATTCAAAATTGATTTGAAATCATATTATTTAATTCAATTTGAATCGATATATCTTTTATTTTATTCAAACTAAATTTAGATATTAAATATATATATTATATTAAACTCGAATCGAATTTTAGAGGACAAAATAAAAAATCAAACTAAATAAAATTATATATTTTTATTAATTTTTATATATAATTTTAAATTTTTATAAAATAAAAATAATTATTTTATACTTAAATATATTTAAATATATTAAAAATCATATTAAATAACATAAAAATTTATAATTTAAAAACCAATAAACTGAATCCAACCCATAAAATTTGATTCAAATTGGATTATATAAAAATTCGATTCGGATTTAAATCAAATTTCAAAAATTTATAATTTTATGTATTATTTAAAAAAACTGAATCAAATCCAAACCGTTAACAGTATTCATGCAGGAAGCTAAAGTAAATGAGAATAAGAGAAAGATGGGAAAAACACACCCTCCATCAATAAAATTCTGATACTTACAATGACATTTAGAAATGTAATGTCAAAAGCTTCCAATAAAATTCCTAATCGATGCAAAAGGCCTGCAATGATAGCCCAGAAGAGGATCTCTGCAAATAAAACATATAGTAGGGCTCGAAGCATATATATGTACTGAAATTTTCCACAATCATCACAAGAGAAAAAAAAAAAAGGTTGGAACTGTTCAAAGCAGTACTATACATGGCTTCCAAAATTGAGAAACTCTTACAGGAGAACACAACTTGCACACCAAATAACAGATAACTATAAAATTCAAGATTGTTGGAGGCAAAGAACAGTTGTCAACTCTGAGAACTGCACTAAAAACCAAACAGTCCAGTGACCGGGGATCCTGTTGAACTCGATTTTATGCATAAAAGGAATTGGCTTTATGTCTTTTGATAAGGTATAGTCACTTCCCGATTCCAAGTTCTTTTGATATCTCTCTTGTCAGGCTGAATTGAGAAGTGTTATGCCATGGAAATAAGGTCCGAGTAACTGGAAGTTTCCTCCGAAGATCCTGCATTGCAAATAAAAGTTTTAAGAGCATTAGTTTCTTTTTTCAAGGGGTTCCTGAAGTAAACAAGAGATCTAATTATTCTCTCCATGAAATTGGAAATAGACTAAAGTTCCAGATGGGCATTCTAGATAAGATTATCCATTGATCCAGCATAACTCCTAGCAGCTCATGTGATTTTCCACAGAAAAAAAGGAAATGATATTAGGTTTAACCGGACACTTATCTGCCAAATGTGTAGAATGAAAACATGATGCAAACCAGCATGATTGAGGAACATTCAGTATACCTTAAATAAAACCCAACAATAGATGGGTCTAATGGCCAAACATGAATCTAAAAATGGAATAACCTAACCTAATTCAAAAGGTTTCCTCACAACTTCCAGCTTAAAGACTTTTCAAAATAAAACATACCTTGAAAGTGGTATCTGGCAAATTCAAATAGGATGCCTGCATTATGCCTTGAATGTCAGTAGAGAATTCTACAAAGCTCAAGCATTTGAAAGTAACCAGACATATTGAAAACAACCTCAAGAGATGCCAGGTACTCTGTCTCATGGTGGCGAATGACACTGGCTATGGCAATTGCACTATCATCAGGGGACTGAAAAAAATACAGTAAGTATTAACCATATGAAACAATTATAACATGAGGACAATGTAGCAAGAGGTCAGAAATCATTATTGTTAACACACAGGCCAGGAGACATAAGCAGGATTATCCTAAGCCAGCAAAATCACAAACTTCCACCGTTTATAACTCTAGAACTTCTATCCTACAACTTATAGTAAAATCCAAACTATATATTTTACAAGTCTTCACATTAGAATAGTCGCTCAAGACAGTTACCACCCTGATATGAGATGTCAAAATGGTTGAAAGAGATACTAAAAATAGTTGAAAGGATAAAGAAAGAAATTTGAATTCTATAGCAAGAAAGAATGAGCTAGAGGAGAAAACAAGGGGAAAAGAAAAATGCTAAAAGGGCTTGTCAATTTTGTAATAACCTGAAACATTGTAGAATCTCTACATTCATGTTTTGCATCTAATTGCACATTTCCCTCTTCAAAATAGTGTGCACCCACCTGAGAAGAGAAAGACCTCATTTATTGTAGGTTTATGTAACTTTATTTGTATTCAGATCTGAAATGCAGAAAGAAAAGGGTAAAAATTATGACATGCACTGCATCATGAGAAATACTGAAAACCTGCAATTTGCCTTTTAATTCCAGAATTTGAATATCATCTTTGAACTCAATGTTCCATATTGACCGCCAACTTCCATTGCTAAACAATATGCCAAAAACCATTGTTAGAAGAGAAATAGTAACATGTGTCCATATGACCAATATCGACTACTAACAGACAACCAAATAGCTAGTTAATTATGCAATCAAGCGGTCACAGTAGAACAGTTACCACTACATTGTGGTCTATCAAAATTTAACGCACCAGAAATTCTGTGGGCTAAGTCTAGCAGCAGAAATCACTACAACAAACTCAAAATCAGATCCGGGGCCCTCCACATCTTTTCCATTAATACAGTAAACTGAACAAAAACCTTTTGGATAAGCTTCACCAACATACTTTAGCATTTCTGCTTCCAGAGCACATCTGAAAATTGAAAAAAAAAAAAGAAATTAATTACAAGTAGTAATTAAAGTACTACATGATGAAATGTGCCCTAATTCCAGCCATAAATAATCATTGGTTTTTCTCAGTTTTCAAGAAAGTAGGGGTGATGCAAAGAGGAATTATGGATTCTTCTCTCTTCATGATGCATACTTGTTTCAGCAATAACGATGAAAACCATAATGAGATAGAAAATTATATCCTTAATGTGAAAACTTATTAAACTTATTACTTGATGGCAATAAAATAAACAAGTTTATAGTTCCTGGGACAGTCCTGAGTATCAATCCAGGTAAGGAGTCAGTTAGAACCCAGGGAGAGAATCATAGAACAGAAACAATTAAACAGAATAGTCAAAGCCCAAATGTTAAGCTGCAGAGAGACATTTATCCCATCTCTAATAAGTAGGTAAAGGACCAATAGTAACAAAGAGCTACATGTTTGGAATGGTCAATGTGCACAACAAGCACTTGTTTCAAACTAAATCATTTCCATGTTAGTAGGAACTTGAGGCATAGGATTTTGCCAATCGGGCTAGCTGGTGTCAGCAAACATGGAATAAATTAGATCTAAGGAGGTTCTAATCTGGATCTGGCCAATGGAGGAAATAGGTACTTGAAAGCTTATGACCCCAAATATTCTGTCAACTATATTAAATTTTTACAGAGAGATATGCTTATAATAGTTCAAAAGAAATCAATTAAAAATAATCAGTCCATCAGAGCTGTAACATATACCGGTATTCCTCAATATACGCGGATGGTAGCTCCTCATCAGTCGCAGGTCTCACTTCTGTACAAACCTGAACCAATTTAGCACATCATGATATAAACATTTAAACTATATGATATGCATTAATGTGCTAAGTGTCATATCAACAGGGGGAAAACTATCTTATAATCTACTTGCTACTAAAAATTTCAATTTCAGGATGTGATATTACAGAAAAGGTTCTCTGCTTTTGCATGGCATTAAAAGTTTTCAATCACAAGATGCATTAATAAGGTTAAAAGGTACCTGTTTGACATGATCAACTATAGCAACTTGGGCAGTCTTGGGGTCTAGATACTCGTTATCCTGAAGCTCCCCATATGATGTAATCAGCACCTAAACTCCAATTGCAGAAAAATATCACAATAATTAGATTTGTTTTACAACCAAATTCAAAGCATCTCAACAAACAGACTAGATATTGAAACTATCCTCACATTTGATAAGAATATCAAGCCAACATGAGAAATTGAGTTAATTGTATGACTTATGGAACATAACAATGCGAAAAAGGACCAAATATCCTATCTGGAAAACGTTAGAAATGAAGCATCTTAAAACACAATGATGGATACTCATCAGCTCTAAAGCAAACAACAAAGGCACTCTTATATGGCATATAAATCCCAAAAGCTAGCCTTAAGACACTTACCCAACTAAGACAAGCTCCCACATAAGCCAACTAAAACTACACTATGAAGCATGCACAATTCGCTAAAGAGTGTCACTCTTGAAAACAATAACGCATGAACCAAACGAAAGCTATTCCTAACAATCATAAAGCATATCCAATGCACTCAGCTGCTTACATTTCCTCCCACATAAGCCAACTAAAACTACACTATGAAGCACGTGCAATTCGATAATGAATGTCGCTCTTGAAAACAATAATGCGTGAACTAAACGAAAGCTATTCCTAACAATTGTAAAACATATCAAATGCACTTAGCCACTCACATTTCTGAAAACCTAACCAACTGATATGCCTTAACATTACTAGAAATATAACCATAAGTTACAAATATCTTAAAAAAAAAACCTTAATTTAGAAATTATTATAAAAAAAATCAAATTAAGGATATCTAAGACTTACATCTCCAAATCTACCAGGCAGTTCGAGGCAAATCATGTGAGATTTGTTGTAAAAGGGAAATGCCTCCGAAGCCGCCTCATTGTACACGTCATCATCATTTAAAACCGATTTTAAATCTGCAAAAGATAAATAAATAAAGAAATCGAGAAGAAAAAACGAAACTCAAATCGATCGATCCAAATCAAAAGCGAACAAAGAACGAGATGGAGATTAGGAACTAATTCATCAATCATGAAACATCAAACTCGTCGATTAGAAAAAAAGGAAACAGAAACGGCAATGAAAATAGAGAATGCGAGGCTCATTAGATAAATAACCTTTGGCTACATATTGGATTTCGCCAGCGGGAGCGTTGAGGAGGAACCATTTGGCGATTTCTTTCTTTTGCTCCTCGCTCAGCTCTGTTTCTTCTTCTGCCATGCCTTTCTTTCTTGCTCTGTAAAAAGCAAATTTTAAAGAGAAAAACAAAGCGATTTGGGTTTGTTTGGAAGGAGAAATGGGTGGAAAGCAGAGGAAGATGATCTGTAAAGAACTTCGGTTTGCGAAACTAGAGCATTAAAATCTTTTAATCGATTTTGTTGTCAAATTACGACGTCGTTTCACTGACATGAGAGAACGCTTTCGTTAAAAATAAATTGTAGAAAATATTATTAAGCTTGCTGTCGTGATAATGAAACAAGCAAATATTTTGGTTAATACCTCGTTCAGCCCCTAAATTATTATGCTTTTTTAATGTGGCATCTAAATAAAAAAAATTTTCAATCAAGTATCTAAACTTTATTTTCATAAATAAAATTATCCTAACCTCTTAATACCATTAGACAACATTGATATAACATTTAAATGTTGACATAAATGACACTTATCTATTATATAATTTAAAATATGACCATTACATGTTACTTTTAAAAAATAAAAATAAAATTTCTTTAAAATTTTTTTAATTTTTTTAAAATAACACATGACAATCATATTTTTGTCGCATAATAACCACATGCTATCCATGTTAATATTTAAATACAACATCAATGTTATCTAACAATATTAAGAGATTAAGATAATTTGATATACAAAAATAAAATTTAAGTATCTTATTAAAAAAAATTTTAGTTTGAGAGCGATAAAAGGTATTATCCCAATATTTTTCGAACACTATATTGTATAAACAAGCACCGATTGGGCAGGGGCCCATCTATCTATTGGTTGGGGCTGCGGATTGGCTTTACCAAAATTTGCAGGGTTCAACTTGATTCAATCATTTCATAGCATGGGGCCCCAAAAACCCAAAAAGAAAGAAGAAAAAAAAAGGGCAAATCCCATTACATGGTCTTCACGTTACGAGGAGCTAAAGAAAATGGTTTTTACAATGTTCAACAGTGTCAAAATTATCACAATCTGTAAGATCATACAGAAGTTATATAGACAGTCCACTGGATCTAGCTAATGACTTCCTGCAGCACAAACAGAAATAACAGTCTTGAAAACTTTGCAGCGAACAAGCATGAACTGTTGAAAAATGGTCTACAATCAACATTCCACTACAAAAGCATAATGAAGGAGAATTCACTTACAATGACTGGTGTTCACCACCCAGTTACTAAAAGCCACCCCGGACTCTGTTGCGAGCATTCTTGGCCCACTCCTCAGGAGGTGCAACATCCGCCATTAGCTTTTCCTTACCACGCCAAATTATCTGGCATCCAAAACACGCGTATCAGATTCGCAAGAAGGATGAAATACCAAACATTTTATAAACATTTTACTTATAAGCGCACTTACCTTGTCAATGACCCCAAACTCTATAGCTTTGCTAGCATTCATATAATATGGTGATTTCATCGCTTCGGCTACCGTCTCTACTGACTAATGAAATATAAAGTCATACAATGAGTTCCTTTGTTTTTTTCAAATTATTTATCTAACAAACTAGACTAACATTGATTCATCACACTCACATTTCCAGTATGCTCGGCCAGAAGTTCCACAAGTGTGTCCCTGTTTTTTATTGCCTGCAAAACAAAGAGGGCTTTGTATTGTAGCTTGGATTTGTAAGTTGCAACTCAAAAAAGGCTATCAAAGCCTCAAAGCAGGGCCCAGGATAAACATTTTAAAGGAAATTTTAAATCTACATCAAGTATTCTTTTTAATCAGAGTACATGTAACAGAAAAAGAAAGCTGCAATAATATTTTCAGTGGTTTTAGCATTTTTTGCAATCAAGTCTTCTCCTCTTATTAAACAAGTACAGGACTAAAGGGAAGAATAAAACAAGAAAAACAATATACATGACACCTTCTGCTGTTAAATCTAGAAATGCATGGTTACATACAGCAACCACAAGAGGATCAATAAATAGAAAAATCCATAAATTCTAGATAAAGCTATACTTAATTATATTTAATCCGTAGAGAACAAGAAGTTTCACCAAACCTCTTTGGCACGTATAAGAGCATCACTTGCTGGCATCAACCCAGCTGAAGGGACACGAGGCTGCCGGATCAAAGCTGAAATAGAATACAAGCAAAAACTTGAGAGGTTGTATTTTAAAGGATGGGATAGAGTCAATAAAAGTTTAGAATCACAGACAAGATAACTGCATCATACCTTTGGCATGAGGCATCATGAACCGTTTACCCTTAGTTCCTGCTGCAAGCAACAGACAAGCTTGACCGACAGCAGCCCCAAGACCAAGTGTCTGCACCTGTATTACACACATCAACATTACCAACTTATGAAGGAATACCAAAAATAAGGAAAAAGTTAAACAGTAAGAGTGTAAGATCATCTCATTCTTGAACAAAAAAAAAAAAAAAAAAAAAGAAGGAAATGCTCAAAGAGACATCCGGACAAAAACTTAATATTCTTATCAAAATATAAAAAACAAGACCATTTGATATCTTTGAAGCACGGAAATTTACGTCAGTTGTTATCTGCATAAGTGCATCATAGATGGCAAAACCATTAGCCTCCAGTCCAACCTGTGGTATAAACATTTTAAATTATGTAAATATGGACCGTAAAGAAAACAAACATACACACACAAACATAATAAAAGTGCTAATAACAATCAGAAGAAGCACCGATATGGACGAAGAAGATGGCAGTGTTTACAGTTCAGAGGCTATTCGGGTTCATATATGGTTTTGTGTTTAGCAGGAGTATAATACACTGAATCTACACAAAAGACTGCCAAAATCCAACTTTCGACACAACTTGGCTTACCTTTTGTCTTATGAGATGAGATCTATTGTATCTAACACATCTCCAGAAGCTATGAGATAGAAAATGCATTACATCTTGAACAAAACATCACTTTATTATCAAATTTATAGGCATCAATATCATATGCAAAGCTCACCGGTTCACCATCATCAAGAGCTGTTCCTGTAGAATTTATGTAAAGATATATTGGTTGCTTGGGATCCATCCATTGAAGATACATTATTTCCATAACCACAAGCTCCGTTACTTCAGGCACAAGCTGAAACATAAAAACGGTTAAACCGTTTGAACAGATTATGATAACAAGATAATATTGATAACAATGGCCATCTCATAACTCTAACAAAATTGCAAGAACATGAAAAGTAGGACAGTAGGAGTGCTTAAAATTGCCCCAAAACAATGATTGCAGTTGTCCGCCTTCTTGTTTTGCAATTTCTATACAAACAAGTTTGAATTGATAAAGTTGTCGACCTGACAATTCATTTATTCGTATCGTATAAAATACTGATAATTCGTATATTCATGTCATGTTTTACACGAAAATTGCATGTCGCAATTCATGTGGACACAAAAACATAAAATACATATATTTGATTTTGTTAAACCTATATATGATTTTTGCTAAAATTTTAAACCCAGTCACCTTTTTGTTTTTTATTCGTATAATTTTCGTATCCAGCCACCATTTCATATTTTAAATTATCAAGTTTAAGCAAATGCACCGGGAAACACTTATAATTACAAAGACTAAAACACCCTCCCCCACTAATTGGAATTTGAGAAAACTTACCGGCATGCCAATGTAAACTATTCTACCGTCAAGAAGCAATGAAGGTAAGTCCGGCGGAGGCGTTTTCGGCCTGGGATTGTACGACACTGATCTTCCCACCTAATTCAGTTTCAATAAGTGATTAATTCAGTCAATCCAAATTTAATCACTAAAAGTAAAACCCTAAATTAACTAATTTAAATTTTCTATTATTCCATTCAAAAGGAAATTAAAAAGTTAAGCCACATATTATAGATAATTACACTTACTTCAGCGGGAGCAGCCATGAGCTTGGGAGTGTCAAGCAAGTCCAAATACGGGAGCGCATCGGGATTAACCGAACGGTTAAGAAGCGCTTCAGGGGAGGAAGAGGCGACGGAAGCGAGCTTCGAAAGAAAAGGGTCCTTAGGGTTTAATGGAGGCATGGGGATTTTAGCAGAGTTTTTGGCACCCAAAGCGCCGCAACTGAGCTTCAAGGTCCTCGGTCTTCGAACAGATTGGGAAGAAGCAGAAGACGGGATTGTGTAAGCCATTGGCGCGTGTAAGAAACTCAACATGATTTTTTTTTTCTTTTTTTTTTGTGTGGAGCTTGGGAGGAAGAGGATTGAGAAGTGGAAAGGGAGTGGCCCTAAAAATGTTATTGCTTGGGATTCGATTTTGGGCCATTTGTTTGGGCTTCATCTGAGAATTGGGCTTATTTAATCTCTTTTTATTTTTTCCCAAAAAACTGAATTAATAGAATAGTAGTAAAACTATTCATTAGTCGGATCATACTTGTATTTAATATTAATAATTTATATATTTATTCAAGTTTAATTCGGTTCGATATTTTATGTTTTAAAATTTTTTCAAATCATATCCAAATTTTAAAAAATAAATTTCAAACCCATTAATTAACTAATTTATATAATAAAAATTAAAAAATTATTTTAAAAAATAATAAGATGTAAAATAACAATTCATATATACGTATATTTATATAATTATAATATTTTAATTATATATTATTCAGATTGGATCAAATTGAAATCGAATTTTAATTTTTTTATTCAAGATTTGGTATAAATTTAAATAAATCTAAAATTTATATTCGCATGCATTGAACAAAATTTAATTTTTTATCTAAACACTCTTAAACTTTGAATGGACCTTGATTTAGACAAGTAACTCAACTCAAATCTAAATAGTACTACTATGACAATGATTTTTTTCTCTTAAATGAAATTAGATTTTTTTTTTAGAATATAATTAAAGATATTTTCAAGATTTGTTTTAGGTGTAAGTATTTGGAATGATTTTAAGAATAAAATTTTCACATCAGTTAGTCTAATTTAGTGTATTCCAAATTTTATTTTCGAAATACTTTTAATAAAAAATCAAATTTTAATTGACAAAAAAAATTCTTATCAATAGGAAAATGAATTTCTTCTCTTTATCATTTATAAACTGGTTTAATCCATGTGGGTTTCATTTTCCTAAACTGAAATTGTTTATTAGTTTCATTTTCCACAAAGATAAAATCAATATTTCCAAATGATATGCAGTTTATTTTTTAAAAAATTATTTTACAAATAGTTTTGATATATTTCTTCTTAAATTGTAATCAGCTTAGAATAATATTGAGTTATGCTTGAATATTTATAAGATTCCAATCTTACTATTTTTGAGTGAAGATTTTTTTTAATACTCATGCAATCACTGACCACATATTTATTATTAGCTCATTACAACTCAAATAACAAGTCACTCTTTCTATGACTAATAATAATAAACAGGCCAATGGTAAAAGTTATTCATTTTTTCAGACTCAAAGCTGAATAAAACAAGACCAACTTCACAGCAAACCAAATAATTTCAATAGAAAAAAACAAGGAAAGAATTGAGAAAAGAGGTTATGGATACATGAAAATCCAAATCCACAACTTTATCTATAACAGGAGAGAGAGAGAGAGATTTTTATCTTAGGCAAGCATATAATCACCAAGTAACATAAACAGATTCAAACAAATAAACTCTTGGAGAGATGTGGCACTGATTCAGGCTTGTCTTCACTGAACACCTTGGCGATCTTCTCAGTGGGAACCAATGGCAAATATGAGGCAACCTTGTACCCCTTCTTTGCACTGCTAACCACTGTCTTGTTATACTTGTCGGTGAAATAGGAAGCTGTTGGGACAACTATTGAAGCTACTTGCGGGAAGAGAGGAATCCGGTTTAGTTTATGCCAAGCTGAAACAGCGTATTCTTCAGCTTTTGGCTCGTACTTTGCATACAGCCCTTTCGCTGCAGATTTTGCATATCCTGAGGCAGTGCTCACCAATCCAGCATGCTGGACCTCAGTAGCCTTATTCCGAGCCAACCCTGGAGCCTTTTGGGCAGCCGAGATGACTTCAGATGAGACTGGCTTGATGAATCCTGAGGAAGTATCCACCACTCCAGCACGCTGGACCTCAGTAGCCACACCCCAAGCCATCCTTGGAGCCACTTGGCCAGTCGAGATGGCTTCGGATGAGACCTGCTCAAGGAGTTCTGAGGCAGCGCTCACCACTCCAGCACGCTGGAGCTCAGAAGCCACCCCTGCAGCCTTTTGGGCAGCTGAGATGGCTTCGGATGAGACCTGGTTGATGACTACGGGGACAAGATGATCAATCTTGGTCACAGATTCACCAGCCTGCAATAGAAACAAAGAATAATTCTTGAATCCCCTTTCATTTGCTAGACATAACCAATCATAGGATACTCTCTGTCAATCAAACATTTGAGCTAAAAAATTCAGTAATTTCTGTCAACCTCCGAAGCCTTTTGGACAGCTAACAGAGCTTCAGGTGAGACCTGCTCGATGAATCCCGAGGCAGCGCTCATCACTCCAGCACGCTGGACCTCAATAGCCACACCTCCATCCACTCCTGGAGCCTTTTGGTCAGCCGAGATGGCTTCAGATGAAACCTGGTTGATGACTGGAGAGACAAGATGATCAATCTTAGTCACAGATTCACCAACCTGAAATAAAAACAAAGAAGAATTCTTGAATCTCCTTTCATTTGCTTGACATCACCAATCTCAGGATACTCTCTGTCAATCAAACATTTGAGCTAAAATGTTCTGTAATTTCTGTTAACATATGGAGCCTTTTGGGCAGCCAAGATGGCTTCGGATGAGACCTGTTTCAAGAATCCTGAGGCATTGCTCACCGCTCCAGCACGCTGGACCTCAGTAGCCACACCCCTGGCCACTCCTACGGCCATTTGCGTAGCCAAGATGGCTTTGGATGGGCCCGGCTTGATGACTGGAGGGACAAGACGATCAATCTTAGTAACAGATTCACCAACCTGGAATAAAACAAATAAGAATCCATGAATTTCCTTTCATTTGCCGGACATTATCAAGCTTAGGATCACTGTCAATCAAAAATTTGGGCTAAAAGGTTTTGTAATTTATGTTAACCTCTGGAGTCTCTTGGGCAGCCGAGATGGCTTCAGATGAGACCTGTTTGATGAATCCTGACGCAGTGGTCTCCACTCCAGCACGCTGGACCTCAGTAGCCACACCCCCAACCACTCCTGCAGTCATTTGGGCAGCTGAGATGGCTTCGGATGAGACCTGCTTGATGACTGGAGGGACAGGACCCTCAATTTTAGTCACAGATTCACCAACCTGGAATAAAACCAAAGAAGAATTCTTGAATCTCCTTTCATTTGCTATACATCGTCAATCTTAGGGTACCTTCTGTCAATCAAACATTTGAACTAAAAATTCTGTAATTTCTGTTAAAACCTTAGTTTTGCAACTCAACAACAAACTTTTCCAAATGGTTTTGAGATCACAAAATTTCAATGGCCTTTTCAATATCACAATTATCCCGCAGCCCTCCCACCAACCCAGAATATCAAATCAAGTTATTACTCTGATTTTACTTACTACCCTTGCTTGTCTAATATAAGAAACCAAATTTAATGAAACAGGCATTACCTTGGTATCAACAAATTTGAGAAGCTCAACAGGTACATTAAAATACTTGTTCAAAACCATTCGAACCATGCTCTTAAACATTTCATCAACGATCTCGACGCCAGGCTTAAACGGTCCTGACCTTTCCTTAACGTAAACGAGGAGGTTGGTAAAACACAAAACCGCATGGACAGCGGCTACTTGAACGAATGCCAAGTATTTCAGCCTCTGTTCTTCTTCCTTAATCTTCAAATTCCAATAAAAAGAAAAAGTGAAATTTTGTTTACCCAACAACAGAAAAATCAATGAAAATATTTAACAAAATACCGTTTCAGCGGCTACTTGTAGGAAGTTGGAGTGTCCTTGAGCCATGACAGAAGCCGCTGGGTTTGTGAAAGTCTGAAAAAAGTCGAGGAAATTTCAGCCTCTGTTCTTCTTCTTTATTCTTCAAATTCCAATCAACAGAAAAAAATCAATTAAGTAATCTTAAAAAAAATGAAAATTTGATTGCCCAACAACAGGAAAATTAAAGAAAAAAAATGTTTAATGAAAATACCATTTCAGCTGCTACTCGTAGGAAGTTGGAGTCTGCGTTTGCCATGACTGAAACCGCTGGGTTTGAGAAAGTCGAAAAAAGTGAAGCAAATTTTACGTTTTTTTTTCTCTTAAGAAATCGAAGAAAGACAGGATAGAGTGCTTTCGTTGTGGAGTTGAATTGTGAGAGATGAGGTAAAACAAGATGTGCGGCAGATTAGATTAGCGGCCGCCATTGAGAAGCGGTCAAGAGAAGTGTCAGTTATTAAGCCCGCGGCTAGTTACTCGAGCTCGACTCAGATAAGCTCGATCATTTTTGGAGCTTGTGCCCGAGCAATTGATTCATGGAGGGAATCAAATTTAAGTGTTTAATATCCGTTACAATAATTTATAACTGTAAACGAATTTTTAAATTTTAATATATTTTAATTATTTTAATTAAAAAATTATGATTTTATCTTATATATTAATTCAAGTTTAAATATATAATTAAACTTAAAATCAAATATAAAAATCATATTATTTTTATTAAATAAATCTAATACAATGAATTTAAATTATTTAATTTTTGTTTCAAGAGAAATTTAAATTTAAAATTTAATTGAATTCGAATTAAATTTTAAATAATAAATTTTAAATCAAATTTAAAATTTTCGTTATATTAAATCAATTCAATTAAGTTTTGGAGATACTCACAATATAAATTTTATTTTTTATAATTGAGTGTGTGAAGATATAAATTTTAATTATTAATTATTGAAATTAAAAATTTAATATTTTACTATTTTTTTTTTTCTCATCTTTCTCATTCTCTATTGAATTCATATTGTTGAAAGCTTCAACAGATATATTCATATAACAGCTTTTACTTTTACTTTGCATTATTATTGCAATAACTGTTTTGATATTTTAAAAATCTATTTATCCTAACTTTAACAAGTTTCATTTTCATATTCCTTTCATGTTTTTTTTTTTTGTACGTATCATAATATTGTATTCAAAATTACATCTAGTTGTATGATAGGCCGTGATGGACCTGTCATTATTCAAAATCGACAACCCATACTTGGCAAACAAGACATTACTTATTAAAGAATTCAAAATTTTTTTGAAGTGACAGGTTTAAATTCTATTATTAAAAATTCAACACTCTATTAAAAAAAACATAATCAAAAATTTATTTAAAATTATAATATTTGATTTAATTTGAATTAATTTTTTTATTTAATTAAATTTAAATATTAAATATATATTATATTTCAATTAAATTTTAAATCAAGAGATGAAAAATAAAATAATAATAAAATTAATAAAATTTAATTTAATTTAATTAAATTTAATTCAATTTAAATTTTTTAAATAATATTATGTAATATTTAAAAAAATTAAATCGAATCGAATTTAATGCAAACCGTTATTATCTTGCACACAATTGTTAGAATTCATAATTTTTAAAATTATCTTTATTGGGAAAAAAAAAAAAAAACTCACCACTCCAGCTTGCTGAACCTCAGTAGCCACATTTCCGGCCACTCCCGCAGCCTTTTGGGTAGCCGAGATGGCTTCCGATGAGGCCTGCTCGATGAATCCTGAGGCAGTGCTCATCACTCCAGCATTCTGGACCTCAGTAGCCACACCCCCAGCCACTCCTGGAGCCTTTTGGGCAGCCGAGATGGCTTCGGATGATACCTGCTTGATGGCTGGAGGGACAAGACGATCAATCTTAGTCACAGATTCACCAACCTGCAATAAAAACGAAGAAGAATTCATGAATCTCCTTTCATTTGCTAGACATCATCATTCTTAGGATACTCTCTGCCAATCAAATATTTGAACTAAAAAGTCTGTAATTTCTGCTAACCCCTGGTGCCTTTTGGGCAGTCGAGATGGCTTCGGACGAGACCTGATTGATGAAACCTGAGGCATTGTTCACCACTCCAGCAAGCTGGACATCAGTAGCCACTCCCCCTGCAGCCCTTTGGGCAGCGGAGATGGCTTCGGATGAGATCTGGTTGATGACTGGTGGGACAAGATCATCGATCTTAGTTACAGATTCACCAACCTGTAATAAAATAAAGAATTCATGAATCTGCTTTTATTTGCTAACCAACCAGAATATGATCAGATCAAGTTATTAGCCATTGCTTGTCAAATTTATACCAAATAAAATAAGCCAAATTTAATGAAACAGGCATTACCTTGCTGTCAACAATTTTGAGAAGCTCAACAGGGACATCATAGTACTTGTTCAAAACCAGTCGAACCACGCTCTTAACCATTCCCTCAACGATCTCCATGCCAGGCTTCAACAGTCCCGACCTTTCCTTAACGTAAACGTTGAGGTTGGTGAAGCACAAAACCGCATGGACAGCGGCTACTTGAACGAATGCCTAGTATTTCAGCCTCTGTTCATCCTCTTTAATCTTCAAATTCCAATCAACAAATATCAAAAATATTGAAATTTTGATTACCGAAATGAAAATAAATTAAAAAAATCAGAAATGTTTAATGAAATTACCATTTCAGCGGCTACTAGTAGGAATTTGAAGTCTCCTGGAGCCATGAGAGAAACCACCAGTTTTGAGAAAGTCGAAAAAAGTCAAGGAAAGGTTGGTTGTTTTCTCACGAAAGCGAAGTGAATTGTGGGAGAGAAAAGAGGAAAACAAAAAGTATGTGCAGCAGATGAGATTAGCGGCGGCCATTAAGAAGCGGTGACGAAACCTGTCGGCCCACTAACCAACTAGCAGATATAAATAGCATCCAATCATTTGATCATTTTGTCATTTTGTTCTTCATTTAATCTTGAATTCATTGTTTTAAGGCCGCGGAAAAGGAAAGAAATGCAAAGACAAAAGAAGCAAGTGTTTTTTTTTTTTTTTTACTTGCGATTTTCTCCATTGAGATCAATGTTCTTCCTTCTGAGAATTGTAAGCTTCAACAGATACATTCATATAAAAGCTTTACTTTGACTTTGCATTATTGTTACAACAACTGTTTCAAGAAAGTGAAAGCAAATAAATATCAATTGAAAGTAAGATATGTGAGAGGGACGCCTTGGTATAAATTTTGTATTTGATTTTAAGATGACCATTGGATTTTGATTTGATTCTTTGGATAATGTGCTAGGTTGTAATGGACCCATCATTATTATTCATATAACGACAACCCATACTTACAATCATGCCATTGCCATCTAAGGAAATCACATTGACAGCTTTCCTGAAAACAATAAAATAACTCTAAAACCTGAATAACTTGGTGAAGAATAATCCAAAGCTTTGAGAAATTAAACAGGAAAAAACATAGTCACTGAAACATAAAGAGGGATGGCAGCCCATTCCGTATCCCGCGGATTCTGCATGTGATTTTTTGTGATTTTTGGGTCGATTTTTTTTTTTTTGAAAATTAAATCTTAGATTAAGTTGAGTTGAATAATAGTAAAATAAAATCAAGAAAAGATTTTAAATAAATTTATCCCGTTTTTGGTATATATATATTTAATTATTTATTTAATTTTATATTTATATTAAAAATAATATTTTATATTTAAAAAATAATATTTTATTAATTTTGAATTGAATCAAGTATAATTTTATATAATATCAAATCAAATCGAATTTAAATATTAAAAAAAAAATTTATCAAATCAAATTGAATTTAATTATTATATGTATAAAATTGAATAAAGTTCAAGACGAACAATCCACCTCAACCTATTTCATTGCTAGCCCTAAACATAAATGAATGTAATCTCCCAAGCCCAAATGGTTAATTCTTTATAATTACGTAGCCTCCAACTTTCCTATTTTATATGTATTTTGTGTATTTTTATGATGCAAAAAGAATTAACGTAAATAATTAAAATTTAAGACATAAATATAAAATACATAAGTTTAAATTTTTATCATCTTTTATTGATAGATGATTAGTAAATTTAAAAAATCTCAAAAAATTCATAAATTTCACTTATAAATAAACAATTTGTCTTATCCTTAAAAATGAGATAAACTTTCTATTTCTAATCTTACTTAGATAAAAAAAAAAAGTACTTTTATGATACATAAATCTTTTTTCTTTTTTAAAATCAATAAGAACTCAGAAGTTTCCACTTTTGCCTATGCTGACAATTATGTTTCTTCTTGTATAAAGAGCAGGGTTTTGATTTTTCCATAGTAACTATTAACAAACAAAATAAAATAAATAGCTCCCTCACCAAAATAAAAATATTATACTAATAATAACCACTGCTTCAGGACTTTTGACAATGGAAAGATAAAGAAACACTAGTAAATTTATTTTATATTTCTAGATATTTGACTAGAAATTCATGTTTGAAATGGTAAAAGGGGATACTGAAATTTGAGATTTGACTATTTTGTGTTTAGTGCATGTATAGTAAATTTATATTATGAGATTTTAAAATTACAAAGCTAATTTAATATTAATTTAATATAATAACATCTCAAACTTAAAAATGAGAAATATTAAGAACTTTTACAATCCCACGTGCCAAGAGTCCCAACACAACACTTCAAACAAAGCAACTGCTACAAACCTTTCCCTAACGTGCTAGACATCATCAGTCTTAGAATACTCTCTGTCAATCAAATATTGGAGCTAAAAGGTCTGAAAAATCTGTTAACCCCTGAAGCCTTTTGGGCAGTCGAAATGGCTTCGGATGAGAGCTGCCCGATTAACCCTGTGGCAGTGCTCACCACTCCAGCATGCTGGACCTCAGTAGCCACTCCTGCAGCCTTGTCAGCAGCCGAGATGGTTTCAGAAGAGACCTGTTTGATGATTGAAGGGACAAGACCATCAAGCTTAGTCAGAGATTCACCAACCTGCAATAAAAACAAAGATGAATTCTTGAATCTCCTTTCATTTGCTAGACATCATCAATTTCAGTTTACACTGTCAATCAAATATTTGGGCTGAAAAGTTCTGTAATTTATGCTAACCCCTGAATCCGTTTGGGCTGCCGAGATGGCTTCGGATGAGACCTGCTGGATGAATCCTGAGGCATTGCTTAGGACTCCAGCAGAATGGACCTCAGTAGCCACACCCCCGACCACTCCTGCAGCCTTGTCGACAGCCGAGATGGCATCGGATGAAACCTGCTTGATGATTGAAGGGACAAGACTATCAAGCTTAGTCACAGATTCACCAACCTGCAATAAAAACGAAGAAGAGTTCTTGAATCTCCTTTTCTTTGCTAGACATCATCAATCATAGGGTACCCTTTGTCAATCAAACAATTGAGCTAAAAAGTTCAGTAAATTCGGCTAACCCCTGGAGCCTTTTGAGCAGTTGAGATGGCTTCGGATGAGACCTGCCCAATGAATCCTGAGGCAGTGCTCACAACGCCAGCAGACTGGAACTCAGAAGCCAGACCCCCAGCCACTCCTGCAGCCTTTTGGGCAGCTGAGATGGCTTCGGATGAAACCTGACTGATGGCTGGAGGGACGAGACGATTAATCTTAGTCGCAGATTCACCAACCTGCAATAAAAACAAAGAAGAAATCTTGAATCTCCTTTCATTGGCCAGGCATCATCGGTCTTATGATACTCTCTGTCAATCAAATTATTAAGTTAAAAAGTTCTGTAATTTCTGTTCGGCTGTGGAGCCTTTTGGGAAGTAGAGATAGCTTAGAATGAGACCTGCTCGATGAATCCTGAGGCAGCGCTCACCGCTCCAGCTCCGGCAAGCTGGACCTCAGTAGCCAGCCCTGCAGCCTTTTGTGCAGCTGAGATGGCTTTGGATGAGACCTGGCTGATGACTGGAGGGACAAGATGATCAATTTTAGTCACAGATTCACCAACCTGCAGTAAAAACAAAGAAAATTTCTTGAATCTCCTTTCATTTGGTAGACATCATCAATCTTAGGACACTCTCTGTCAATCATATATTTGAGCTAAAAAGTTCTGTAATTTCTGTTAAGCTCTGGAGCTTTTGGGGCAGCCGAGATAGCTTCAGATGAGACCTGCTCGATTAATTCTGAGGCAGTGCTCACCGCTCCAGCAAGCTGGACTTCAGTAGCCACTCCAGCAGCCTTTTGGGCAGCCAAGATGGCCCCAGATGAGAACTGGCCGATGACCGGAGGGACAAGATGATTAATCTTAGTCACAGATTCACCAACCTGTAATAAAACCAAAGGATTCTTGAATCTCCTTTCAATTGCTAGACATCATCAATCTTAGGATACTCTCTGTCAATCAAATAATTGACCTAAAAAGTTCTGTAATTTCTGTTAAGCCGCCTTTTGGGCAGCCAAGATAACTTGGGATGAGACCTTCTCGATGAATCCTGAGGCAGTGCTTACTGCTCCAGCAAGCTGGACCCCTGCAGCCTTTTGGGCAGTCGAGATAGCTTCGGATGATACTTGCTTGATGACTGGAGGGACAAGCCGGTCAATCTTTTTCACAGATTCAACAACCTGCAATAAAAACAAAGAAGAATTCTTGAATCCCCTTTCATTTGCTAGACATCATCAATCTGAGGTTATTCTCTCTCAGTCAAACATTTGAGCTAAAATGTTTTGCAATTTCTGCTAACCCCTGAAGCCTTTTGGGCAGCTGGCTTCAGATGAGACCTGCTCGATGAATTCTGTTATTACTTTGATTTTAACTATTACCCTATGCTTGTCAAATTTATACCAAATAACCAAATGAAACCAAATTTAATGAAACAGGCATTACCTTGCTATCAACAAATTTGAGAAGCTCAACAGGGGTATTATTAAAGTACTTATCAAAAACCAGTCGAACCGCACTCTTAACCAGTTCCTCAACGATCTCAACAACAGGCTTCAACGGTCCCGACCATTCCTTAGCGTAAACGAAGAATTTGGTCAAATACAAAACAACCTGGACAGCAGCTACTTGCAAGCATGCCATGTATTTCAGTGTCTGTTCTTCAAATTCCAATCAACAAAAAAAGAAAAAAGATCAATTAAGTAACAAAAGAAAATTAAATAAAAGAAGAGAAATGTTTAATGAAACTACAATTTCAGCAGCTACTTGTATGAAATAGGATTTTTTTTATACAAAAGACGAAATTCGAGAAAAAGATTTTGCAAGTGATGGATGTTGTTTTTATAGGGAGTGGGTGGCAGATCAGATTAGAGGTTGTGATTGAGAAGCCGTAAAGAAAACAGTAGGCCAAGCACCAGAAATAAATATCACCTAATCATTTTATTAAGCCTTTGGGATGCTTAAAATATAGAATTTGTTCCTCATTTTTTATTGAATTCATAGTTTTACACTATATTTTCTGCCAGAGGAATAGAAAGAAAATGCAAAGAGAAATAAGTAGTTTTTTTTCTTCAATTTTCTGCATTGAGATCAATGTTCTTCCTTTTGAGATTGTAAGCTCAACAGATACATTCATATAAGAGCTTTACTTTTACTTTGCATTATTATTGCAATAGCTGTTTTCAAAAGTGAAAGCAAATATCAATCACAACCAGATTGAACTATGTCAAAAAAGTAAGATATAAGAGAAGGACCCCTTGGGCATAAATTTTGTGTTTGATCCAAAGGAGACCATTCAAATGGCTTTTGATTTGATTCATTGGGCATATGATAGGCCGTGATGACCCCTCATTATTAATTTAACAACAAACCATACTTGCAAACATGAAATAGCCAACTAAAGAATTCACAATTTTTCACACCATCAATAAACACATACAGTTATAATTCACAATTTTTAGAATTACCCTTTTGAAAAGAAAAATAAAAAACTCACCTCTCCAGCATTCTGGACCTCAGTAGCCACACCCTCAGCCGCTTCTGCAGCCTTTTGGGCAGCCGAGATGGATTCGGATGAGACCTGCTTGATGACTGGTGGGACAAGACGATCAATCTTAGTCACAGATTCACCAACCTGCAATAAAAACAAAGAAGAATTCTTCAATCTCCTTTCCTCTGTTAGACATCATCAATCTTAGAACACTCTTTGTGAATCAAACATTTGAGTTAAAAAGTTCTGTAATATCTGCTAACCCCTGGAGCTTTTTGGGCAGTCGAGATGGCTTCGGATGAGACCTGCTTGATGAATCCTGAGGCAGTGCTCACCACTCCAGTATGCTGGTGCTCAGTAGCCACAACCCCAGCCACTCCTGCAGCCTTTTGGGCAACCAAGATGGCTTTGGATGAGACCTGCTTGATGACTGGAGGGACAAGACGATCAATTTTAGTCACAAATTCACCGACCTGCAATAAAAACAAAGAAGAATTCTGAATCTCCTTTCATTTGCTAGACATCATCAATCTTAGTATAATCTATGTCAATCAAACATTTAAGCCAAATGCTTTGCTTCGTAAAGTGGATAGAAAAATGGAAAGATGGAAACTTAGAAGATGAGAAAAGTGAAACAATGGAAAATATATATTTTTCATGGGAGAGCTTGGTTGGAAAGACGGAAAAGTTTAAATAAATTTTAATTTTTCTTCCATCTGTAGCTTGCCAAAGTTGAAAAATGAAGAGGAAAAAAATAAAAATGATATGATTTTACCATTATAACTTTTTTAAATTAAAATGAAAAGTAAAAATCTAAATATGATGGACAGTCTTATAAATCTGCAACACTTACACTTTTCTCAATTTCTCTCTGCTTTTTATGAAAAGTATGAAAAATGATAATTTTTCCTATTTTCTTTCCTACCAAGCACACCCATAATTCATTTTTTTTTCCACAGCTACCTTCTACCGTTTCCATCTTTCTACTTTTTCAATGTACCAAGCATACCTAAAAAGTTCTGTAATTTCTGCTAAAACCACAGTTTTGCAACTCAACCACAAACATTCCTAATGGTTTAAAAAAGCAATATATAAAAGAATGTAACTTTTCACAATGGTTTTAAAATCACAAATTTTCAATGGCATTTTCTATATTACAATTATCCTACAGCCCCCAGGAACACAGATGATCAAATCAAGTTATTACTCTGATTTTACATATTGCTCTTGCTTGTCAAATAAAAGAAACCAATTTTAACGAAACCGGCATTACCTTGCCATCAACAAATTTGAGAAGCTCACCAGGGACATCAGAGTACTTGCCAAAAAAGAGTCGAACCACACTCTTAACCATTCGCTCAACGATCTCAATGCCAGGCTTCAATGGTCCTGACCTTTCCTTAAGGTAAAGGTAGAGGTTGGTGAAGAACAAAACTGCATGGACTGCGGCTACTTGAACGAATGCCAAGTATTTCAGCTTCTGTTCTTCATTTTTAATCTTCAAATTCCAAGCAACAAAAAAAGAAAAAAAGATCAATTAAGTAACTTCAAAAAAATGAAATTTGATTACCCAACAACAGAAAAATAAATAAAAAGAATAAAGTTTAAGGAGAATACTATTTCAATGACAGGAATTTGGAGTCTCCTTAAGCCATGACAGAAAGAGTTGGCTTCCAGAATCTCCAAAAAAGTCCAGGAAATTTTGCTTTTTTTCTTTAAGAAATCGAAGAAAGAAAGGAGATATATATATATATATATATATATATATTTCCTTTGGGATGCTCAAAATATAGAATTTTTTTTTCCATTTGTCTTGAATCCATAGTTTTACACTACATCTTTTAACAAGGGAAGAGGGAAAATGCAAAGAGAAATAAGCAGTTTTTTTTTTCTTTTTTTCTTCAATTTTCTCCATTGAGATCAATGTTCTACCATTTGAGATTTTAAGCTTTACTTTTACTTTGAATTATTATTGCAATAACAATGCAATAACTGTTTTGAAAACTGAAAGCAAATATCGATCAGATTGAACCAACAACTTTAAAAAAAGCAAGATATGAGAGAGGGTCCCCTTGGACATATTTTTTGTGTTTGATCCAATGGGGGCAATGAAATGGCTTTTGATTTGATTCATTGGGTATATGATAGGCTGCGATGGACCCGACATTATTTATTTAACAACAACCTATAATTGTAAACATGACATCACCAATTAAAGAATTCACAATTTTATTAAATCTAGTAGAACTAAAAATTTGACAAGATATCAATAAACACACACTGTTAGAATTCATAATTTTTAGAATTACCCTTTTGAAGAAAAAAAGAAAAAAACTCACCATTCCAGCATGTTGGACCTCAGTAGCCACAGCCCCAACCACGCCTGCAGCCTTTTCGACAGCCGAGATCGCTTCGGATGAGACCTGCCTGATGATTGGAGGGACAAAACTATCAAGCTTAGCCACAGATTCACCAACCTGCAAAAAAAACAAAGAAGTATTCTTGAATATCCTTTCATTTGCTAGACATCATCAATTTCAAGTAACACTCTGTCAATCAAACATTTGAGCTAAAAAGTCTGTAATTTCTGCTAACCCCTGGAGCCTTTTGGGCAGCCGAGATGGCTTCAGATGAGACCTGCTTGATGAATCCTGAGGCAGTGCTCACCACCCCAGCAGGCTGGACCGCAGTAGCCACACCCCCGGCCACTCCTGCAGCATTTTGGGTAGCTGAAATGGCTTCAGATGAGACTTGCTTGATGAATGGAGGAACAAGACCATCAATCATACGTACTGATTCACCAACCTGCATTAAAAACAAAGAAGAATTTTTTAATCTCCTTTCACTTGCTAGACATTTTCAGTTGTAGGATACTTTCTGTCAGTCAAACATTTGAGCTAAAAGGTTCTGTAATTTCTGCTAACCCCAGGAGCCTTTTGGGCAGCGGAGATGGCTTCGGATGAGACCTGCTTGATGAATCCTGAGGCGGAGCTCACAAATCCAGCACGCTGGACCTCAGTAGCCACACTCCCAGCCACTCCTGCAGCCTTTTGGGCAGCAGAAATGGCTTCGGATGAGACCTGCTTGATGACTGGAGGGACAAGACGATCAATCTTAGTCACAGATTCACCAACCTGCATTAAAAACAAAGAACAATTCTTGAATCTCTTTTCATTTGCTAGACATAATTAATCTTAGGATAAACTATGTCAGTCAAACATTTGAGCTAAAAAGTTTTGTAATTTACCACAGTTTTGCAGCTCAAACACAAACTTTCCCAACGATTTAAAAAAGCTATACTTAATTAAAGAAAGTAACTTTCCCAAATGGTTTTGAAATCACAAATTTTCAATGGCATTTACAGCACCTCAATCATCCCACAGTCCCCTAAACCCAGATTAACAAATCAAGTTAATATTACTCTGGTTTTACTTATTGCCCATGCTTGTCAAATATATACCAAATAAAAGAAACAAAATTTAATGAAACAGCCATTACCTTGCGATCAACAAATTTGAGAAGCTCACCAGGGACATTAAAGTACTTATCAAAAACCAGTCGAACCAAGCTCTTAATAATTCGCTCAACGATCTCGACACCAGGCTTCAACAGTCCCGACCTTTCCTTAGCGTAAACGAAGAGGTTGGTCAAGCACAAAACCACGTGCACAGCCGTTACTTGAACGAATGCCAAGTATTTCAGCCTCTGTTCCTCTTCATTAATCTTCAAATTCCAATCAAAAAAAAAAAAAAAACCAATCATGTAGTTAAAAAACTGAAACTTTAATCACCCAACAACAAAAAAAAAGACAATTGTTTAGTGAAAATACCATTTCAGTAGCTACATGTAGGAAGTTGGAGTCTCCTTGAGCCATGACTGAGACCACTGGATTTTAGAAAGTCGAAAAAAGTGAAGGCAATTTTGCTTCTTTTTTTTTTTCTTAATAAAGCGAAGAAACAAAGGCTATATTGCTTTCTTTGCGCCTTTGCGGCGTTGAATTGTGGAACAGATGAGTGAAAAAAAAACTGCCGCCATCAGAAGATGTGACGAAACGTGTTGGCCCAGATATAAATATCACTGTCCCAAGTCCCAACGACATCTATAAATATCACCCAATTTTTTTTATCCTTTTGTCTTATATTCATAATTTTACGAGCAGTTGCTTCTTTTTTTTTTTTCCTTCAATTTACTTTGCTGTGCATACTATTGCAATAAGTGTTTCGAAAAGTGAACGCAAATATTAATCAAATTGAAAGGATAAGGGAGAGGGGACAGCTGAGCATAAATTTTGTGCATGGTCCGAAAGGTTTTGTTCTGGAACTCTTCTCCGGATAAGCAATCAGATTTTGGAAGTACCCTTGCATGACGATATGGTTGTGAGCATTAACTGTCATTGTCACCAAAGCCATCATCGTGATTGGGATTAGAAACCGTTTCCATCGCATCGGGTTTGGATTTTATTTTATTTTTTTATATTATAAATATTATAAAATTTAAATTTTAAACTGAATTTGAAAATTTATTTTATACTATTTTAATTTAAATTAATTTAAATTTTATCGATTTAGTTTATTAGTTTTAAATTTAAAATTTATATATTGTTTTAATATAAAATTTTAATATATTTAAATAAATTTTGATATAAATTTATTATTTTATTTTTATAAAAATTTAAAATATATAAATTAATAAAAATATACAATTTGATTTTTTATTTTTATTTTTTATCCGAAATTCAATATGTATATAATATATATTTTATATCCAATTAATCTAAATCAAATAAAAAAATAATCTAAACTAAATCGAATATTATGAATTTAAATTAATTTTTGATTTTTTCAATTTTTTCACTCTAATCATGGCACAAATAAGTAAGAAAATTTTAGATAAAATTATTTAAGTAAAATTTGAGAATTTTTTAATATAAATGAATCAATTAAAATTTTAATAAAAAATTTAAATTGATAGATTAACAAAACCTAATAAAAAATCAATAAAATATAAAAAAATTATTAAATTTTTCTTTATAATTTAAATTTAATCAATACAAATTTAATGATAAAAATTTTATCAAATTTTTTATTAAAAATAATTATCTAAAAATTTATCAAAAATTTTTCAAAATTTAAACAGTTGATTTATATAATAAAATATTTTAATTTATCAATTTTAATTTTAATTTAATTATTTTTAATAAAAAATTTTACAAACTTTCCTTAAATATTTCGGTCTAAATCTTTTTAAATATTGCAACAAGCTTACATTTGAGTACTTAATTAAAACTATTTTCCTAGTTTTTAATTTATCTTTTCTACAAGCTAGCTGGCTCTTACCAATCTTATCTATTTCTTTATATAAAATAAAATCTTAAATCTCTTTTTTTAATTTGTTTTTCAAGTCCAATTGAATGCTATATTTTCCTAGTTTTTAATTAAAAACTACTTTACTCAACAATTTTTTTTCTCTTTTTCTTGGTTTTTACTTTTCAAGTCTTTATCATTTTCTCATCTTAATTGTGATTAGGATGTAATTAATTGAAATTAAGACAATAATTAAGAGAAGAAAAGACAGACACAACCAGTCGACAGAAATACAATTAACTTTCAAACTTACCAAATAGTCCCATATATATTAACAATTTTAGTTGTCTAAGAGTTTATTTGGATGAGTGATGAAATTAATTTTGGTAAAATTAAAAAATAATGGTAGAAGTAAAATTAGTTATTGTAATAATGATATTAAAATTAATGATAAAATATGTATTCGAATGTAAATATAACGGTGACGATGAGATGAATTTTAATTAAAAAAATATTATTAAAAATATTGATTTCAAATTGTATATAATTAAAATGTTAAATTACTTAATATTTATAAAATTAATAAATTATTAAAAATATTAAAAAATTTTAAATCAAATAATGGTTTTGTTATTAAATAATTAAAAATATTTATTAACTTATTATATAATAAATTTATTAATTTATTTATTATATCATAATGAATTTTATTTTTATATTAAATTAACAAAATTTACTTTATATTTTTAAATAAAAAATAAAATTTAAAAAAAAAGTTAAAAGTTGTTAAGTTGTAGGAGAAAAATGAAAAAAAAAAAAAAGAAATTGAAACAGTGATGACTGAAAGTACAGACTCCAATGAACAATCAATCAAAATAAAATATAATATAACATCATTTAAATTTCAAAATCACGTATTTTCATACTAAATGCACCGCACTGAAAGTGCGATACATTCCAAACGAAGCCTACCTCTTAATTTTTCTGACGTCGTAGATCTCTCCTTTCTAAGGTACTTATTGCACAATATATTTTTTAAAAAATATCTAGTAAATTCACACATTGAAATCAGCACTAATTGTCAGAAAGGAACATAAAATTTATCAAAATCTGAATTATGTATTTTAAAATCTTCAAAATCCATGTCTTCCCCTTCGTGACCTGATTATGTATTTTAAAATTCTAGACACAAAAATCAAATCTTTCTTCTTTCTTATAATCAGACTTTGTACCTCTTGAAATTAAAAAAAAAAAGTTCAAAATCCTGTCAAAAATCAATAAATATATTTAGACCAACGCAGACATGCAAGCATGGTTCAAGGATCGTGCTAGGCTAGCATAATGTAGATTTTTAATATTCTAAATCAGTATAAAAATTAAATTTGATAATTTAAAATATAATATATTATAATATAAAAATATAATTTAATAATTATTATACATAAATTTATTAAAATTTTAAAAAATATATTTATATTTATATAAATTATAATATAAAATTTTTATATAAAATATAGTTTAAATATTTTATATTTAAATAATAAAATATAATAAAAAAATCAAGACACTCACTCCAGTGTTTAAAGATCTCCATATCTATCCTCAAACTTTTGTCATAACGATTAAAGACGTTTTAAGGGACATAAAAAGATTTAATTTCGAATCAAATATATTTTTTTTATTTGTACTAAAATTTTATTTTTTTGATATAATAAAAAAAATTTCATATCTTAGATAAGAATTAATTTTATATGCTCAAAATCAAATTCCGGCTAAATACGAATCCCTACTATAGTATAATATTTACTTCAAATATATATATATAATAATATAATATTATGTTTGGTTGCTTTGAAAAATTTTACGAATAAAATAAATGAAAATGTTTTGAATTCTCTGTTTTCATTTCTTAGTCGTATAGTAACCGAAATCAATAAATCATTTGAAACCATTTTGTTCTTTTTTTCCTTTTATTTTTTAGAAAATTTGCCGCATAAACAGCGAACTAAACAATCCAAGCGTGAAAAACTTGATTGCCTTTCATTGTTCTTCACTTTCCTGGGCACCAAACAGTAAAATAGATTGGCATTTATGCCTCTTCATAGCCCTAATTGCGTCCTCAAAAAAATATGGATCCTAATTTCAAATGCTTAAACAAACTAAATAATCACTTACTTCCAATCACTTGTGAGTAAAACAATCGAATTAAAGAGATTATGAATCAGGAATTAGGAAGGTGACGATAGGGAAGCATACGCGAGAAGAAGCTTGGTTCGCGAGCTCGTTGCCTACACGGCTCCTCGTACAAAGGTTTTGAGGGTGTTTTCATTAAGAATATAAATAATATATTAATACTTATAAATTATTTGAGTTTAATTTTAATAAAATTTAAATTTAATTTTGTTATTATCGAGTCTAACTTAAACTCTAATAACTCAATTTATTAATTAAGTCGAGTTCGAATATTTTATATCCGATTCAAGTAGCTCATAAATTTAATCAATTTTTTTTATTTTAATATATTTTAATTAATAAAATATTTCAAATTCAAATTTGAGTTCAAGCACAAATAATTGAATTTTGTTAAATATAATAATCGAGCTTATTTTTATATGTTAATTGAGTCTAATTAAATGAAATTAAGTAGCTCGATTTTTATTTTGAGTTGAACTCGAGTTAAAAAAATAAAATTTGATTGATTTTGAATTGAGTTTTGAATCTCAAATTTCAACTCGAACTTGAGCTCGAACTTAATATTGTATTGATCCGAACTCAATCAATTACACTCCTAATTTTCACTTAAGCTTTACTCAATTAAAGCTTTTTAATGTTGAAGTAATTTACGAATCTAATAGAATTTTTATACTTTAATATATATTTTTATTATTTTAATTAAAAAATTATTATATATATATATAAATTTAAATTTAAATACAAATAATTGATTTTAAAATTAAATATCAGAATCGAGTTTAATTTTTTATTCGATAAATAAATTTAATATAACAAATTTGAATAACTTAATTTTTATCTTTAATCGAATTTAAATTTAAAAATTAAAATTCGATCAAATCCAAGTTAAATTTTAAATAATTAATTTTGAATTAAACTTGAACTTTCATTATATCGAATTCATCTTTATTCAACTCGATTATATCCTTGACTCAACTGAGCTCCATCGTTTTTCTTTCAAGCTCTCTGTTTTTTCTTTGAATGAAAATTTAATAACGATGCACAAAACTTTTTAAGTCCAATTTTCAATTGGCGGGGAGGGGGAAAACAAAAAAGCAGTAGGAGATGGTGTTGTGATACCGTTGAATCTTTGCCATCAACGTCGATTTCTTGGCCCCATTTTGACTTTTACGGTCCTGATTTGTTCGTTGCATGAGTTGCTTTTTTCATATAAATATGAATTTTTGAATTTTTTATTTTTAAAAAAGGAAAAATACGAAAAAAAAAAAAAAAACAAAAGGATAAATATAAGTAGGAGCTTTTTTAACATCCCACTTGATTGGCCTAGTACGAGCTTCTTCAAGTTATGAACTTAAGATATTTTAATTAATTTTTAAGATTTGAAATTATCGAGTATTTTATTTTGATCCTTGTAATTAAAATTTTAACACGAGCATTATATTAATGATAAAATTTTAACCAACTAAACTTGATGATTCAATTTTTTTTTTAATTTTAATAAATCAAAACTTTCTTTTAAGTTACATAACATTACGATATTGCATCATGAATAAAAAAATTGGATTTAAATTCGAGTTTTAACTTAAAAGTTAAATTTATATTATATTCAAATTTATCTTAAAATTTATTAATAATTGTTTAATTTATTGATAAAGTATTAAAATTTAATTTTTAACACTAGTAACTACAAAAAATTTGTTAGATTTTGATTTGATGATTTGTTTTTTTTTTTTTTTTTTTTTGTTTTGAAAATCAAATTTCTAGTTGGGAACATATTTTAAGTAAAGCCGATTTGATTTGACTGACATATAAAAAATATTTTTTATTATTTATTTAATTTAATATTTATATATGCTATTAATAAGATTATCATACAATACTTTAATTTAAGATATTAATTTGATAAAAATATTATATTAATATATAACTAAAATATAATTTATATTAAAAATAATATTTTATAAATATTATATTAAATTAAAATTATTAAATTAATTTTAAATCAAATCGAATTGATTATGATTTTAGATATACACGAATCAAATAAAAATAATAATATTTTAATATTAAATTAAGTCATATTTAAATATTTATTTTATAAAATCAAATCAAATTCAAAATAAAAATAATAGCCTTAAACCCAACTTTTTGCCATCACTATGAAACAATGATTATTTAAAAAATTCTTAAAAAAGCATTCAAACAAGAGAATCCCACAATTGTATTTTTTTTAGCAACACTAAAAAGAAATTTATATTAAGCTTTTTTACATTTTTTTTAAATTGTAAATTGAATATGTAATAAATTTGTTTAAATCTTTATAATCAAATTTTTAATTTTTTTTGTTATAGCTGCTAAATATTTAAATTTAAACACTGTAACTATATGTTTTGGATTTTCGGCCGTACAAACTTTGTTGGGCTCCAACTTGTAGCCCGACGACTGAGCCAATTCAAGCAAAAAAACAAAAAAAACAAAAAAAAAGAAGAAAAAACCGGGTTTAACATCCAACTCACTCAGACCCAAAACGGCGGCGTTTGTCCTAACAACATTCTAAAGATAGGGGTATTTTTGACCTTTAGATAAAAAAATTAGGTTTTTGCCCACTATAAAATCACGAAAAAAACCCTAACCCTCACCCAAGCAAGTTTGCGCTGCAGCCCCTCTTTCTGTTCAGGTACGCCTCTCTTTCTATATGGATTTCATATTCATGTTTCACGGTTCTAAATTTATCGTAATATCATGTTATTTGGATGTTCTAATCAGCATACGTTTGATATTTGTTCTCTTAAAATGTTTATATAAATGATTGTTAATGTTTACCTAATAGTAAAGGTTAGATTTGGGCTCTCGCTAAAATGTTTGTTTGATTCTTCTTAGTATTTGAATTAGTAATTTATTTAATGGGAAATGGAAGTTGAAATCCAGTTAGCTTTTTTATTCCTTTTTTTTTTTTTACATTTTTTTAATGAATATAAACTGGTGTGAAATTAGGTGGTTTGAGCTTTGTATTTCTTGATCCGTTAAGCAATCCGCAAAGATGCAGAACGAAGAGGGTCAAAACATGGACCTTTACATCCCCAGGAAATGGTATTTGATTTGCTTCTCACCTTTGTTTCGTAGTGCTTGTTTTGTATTTTGTTGTTTATGTTGGAAGCTTATATGTAGTTTGTTGTTGTTGCAGTTCTGCCACTAACAGGCTCATCACGTCGAAGGATCATGCTTCTGTGCAGATCAACATTGGTCACTTGGATGAGCTCGGCAGATACACTGGCACGTTCTCCACTTTTGCTCTTTGTGGCTTTGTCCGTGCCCAGGTTCGTCTTGGTTCTCGATTGGCCTGCTGATTGTTTTCCTCTGTTGTTAGGTCTATGCTTGTTGCTGTTAATTGCATTCTTATACTTGCATTCATGTCATGTTTAACTTCACATCCTGTGTAAGAGGCATAATCCAGCAACTTGTTTTGTTAATGATACACTCACAGTTGCCTTGTCATGTTAACACTCTAATGTTTGAGATATGGTTTAAGTGTCTGTTGTTTATCCACTTATTCTGCAAGTTCATTTAGAGAAAACATTAGTTTGAAAAATCTTTTGCAAAGCCCATGTTTAAAGACCTGGAAGCTCATGTTTAAAGTCTATGCCCGGTTGCCAGTGGATTGGCAGAAGGTCCTGGTAGATGCATTTAGGAAGTTGTTAATTTTGGATGCTTTGAAATGATGGGTGATAGGGAAGTTAGATTTTGTAGTTAAACATTGTGGTTTGCTTGAGTTTTGTCCAAGTCAGCTGCTGATTGATTTGTTCAACTTTGCAGGGCGATGCTGACAGTGCCCTTGACAGGCTTTGGCAGAAGAAGAAAGCTGAAGTCCGACAGCAGTAGTAGGATACAATTTTACTATTCTGTCTCTGAACTTGGGAGGGAAACGTGTTGGCCATGACAATATTAAGTTTGTTTTGGTGGATTATGTCGAAGTTGTTTTTGTTGAATGGATGATGTTTGCTACTTAGTTTGCTTGCATTTGAACCTAATATATGTATGCAGTCAATCCTGTGTTCCCCACATTTTTGTTCTCTTTGCTTATAGGAGTTTAAATTTTGTTAAATTTCTGCAGAGCCAAATGCTTTAGTAGCTGTTACCTCCGGTTCTGAGAGCTTTGGATAACAATAAGTTCAGAGCATCAAGATCTTGATGTTTTTCTGGTATTTGAATCGGAAAAGTTTCATTATGCAATGAGCAACAAAGGATAGTTGCCTGAGGAAAACGTAAGACAAAATTACAATATAAAATTAATAACCAAATTACCAAACATTACAGCTATACCCTGTAAAACATAAATATAATACTATATTACATTTTCAAAAATAAAAATATTAAAAGATCATGTAGGACAAAATTTTAAAAGTTTTCTTTATGGAAATCAAATTTGGTACTGGTCTTCCTTGAAAAGTCTCGAGCTAGCCTCCTTAGCTCACCTGTTAATCCAAGTGCACCACAGTAGAATACTCCTGCAGGAAAAAGAAAAAAGAACTCATTGTTATTGACCACTTTGATATTGCACTCATATTGACTAAGCTGTAGTAATATTTCATTGAAATGCTGAACTTCTAAGCTAGTTCTTGAAATCTATACATACCAACTCTCTGGTCAGCATGGTTAACAGCAACATGCTTGAAAACCTTGTGCCAATTAGGCCTGGCAAAATGTGTCTTCACCCGGGTTCCTGAAACAATATCAACCCCACTTTTGGCATGGTGGAGGGACTGAAGCATTGTGATCAAAGCTGATCTAGCATCCCCTTCTTCATACACACTAGTGCAGTAATTATGAAGTTCAATCACCCTATCTCGATCATACTCAGCTACTTCATTCATCACCCCCCTGAACCACTCAAACGACCCTTGCTCGCGAGTAACCCAGTAGAAATAGGCTCGTTTAGTGGCAAAAGGCTTTTTCTTGTTCTTAACTCCTGTCTCTATCCCTTCTTCGATTTCCTTCTGTTGCTTGATGTTGTTAAGCACATCTTTGACTATGCTGATTAATGGGGTTGCACCAATGCCAAGTCCTACTAGGAGAAGGACATCATATTTTTTATAGTCCTGTGCTGGAGCTCCATAGGGACCATCAATTAAGAGTTTTGGCAACCTGTTTGATAAACAGATTAAATTCCACAGTAGAGTTCAGGTGATCATTAAAAAAGATCAAAAGAGGAAAATTTGGAGAAAAAAGTTACCTAGGCTTGTTTTCGCCTTTTCCAATATCAGCTCTCAGGAGGCCACTTTGATTAACTGATGGAGGCTGACAAACCTGCAAACGTTCACGTATTTAGATGTTTAAGCTTACAAAGGAGACATTTGGTTATGCAATCTACAATTTCGAGAAAGAATCATCACTTTTGCGAAAAGGGCCTTGAGTTGGGATGTCCAGTCTCCCAAGGTTCGAATGTGAACGCTTAAATAGTCATCTCCAGGAGATGAAGTGATGGAGAAGGGATGCCTGAGAATTAAAGTCATTGATGGATCATTTTTACTGTTATTGAAACTGTGAAATCAGGAAAATAGTATGATTATTTCTTCCTGTTTTTACCATTGAAATGGGGAAACTGCTGCACAGTTCACAAAGATATATTGGCCACTGGTGTACTTAAATCCTTGAGGCTTAGACATATGCAGAGACAGTACATTTCCAGGGTACACAGCAACCTGAAACATAAACAGAACTAAATATAAGCCTTATCCGAGCATAATTTTTTTTTCTTTCGAAATTTAGAGGGGTGGGGGGGTGGGGTGGAATGTACCTTCAAAATCTTCACTGATTTATTGCCAGACCTGAATGCACGAATAAGGCGTTCACACGCGTATAATAGCATTGGAACTGCTAGATACATCCATGTCTGCAGCAAAATAGAAATGATACAAAAACAAATTAAATGCCACCATAGTGAAAATATTGTACACTACATTGTTTATGAGACACTTACTGTCTTTTTGTACCATTTCTTGGAGAGGTAAAGAAAGTATCCATGAACAATGAAGAGGGCATAGACAATAACAAATAGATGATGCGAATACCAGAAGGCATTGAATCCGGTGAGCTTCTTTATGGGTTTAGGGAGGTTTAGCCGGTTCCGACGGAACCAAGGTTGAGCTAGTGTATAGGCTATGGCCATGAGCACCACCATGGTCACACCAGTCCAGCCTTCAGTCCCTTTCACGAACCACCAGTAGTTGTTAGGCCGTTCATCCCCAAAGAATGGCTTCATTGGCTCATATTCATCATCAGTGGCATGTAGAAGTCTAGGGAAGTCACATGTTAGATGAGCACCAGCGTGCATGCCAACTCCAATAGCAATCCCCAAAGCAACCACCTATAGAAATTTATTTAAATCAAGAGTGTTTCAAATCAAGTAATAGTATTTCTACACACTGGATTATTATTTCTCACATACCTTGTGAAAATTGATATTGTCATCGAATGGAACGACCACCCCTAACTTTGTCCTGCTTCTAAGCCAAGTAATGGTATTTCTACACACTGGAAGAAGAATCAGGGCCATGTTGAACTTAGTTGTCTCAGCTGCACCCTTGGCTGTGGTAACACAGTAACCCATCACATCAAACACAGCCCGATGTTTGTATTGAATGAATTTCCAGGTGAACAGTCCTGCACAGATTGAGATCCACAGGGCCAGGACCCATATTCTTTTCCAATTGTCCTCTAAAAAATAGGCAACACCCCTGGCCCATCTTTTAATGGGGTTTCTCTCTTTTGTTGGCACCAGTTTTTCACTCAGTAGCCTGCTTAAAATGCTACTGCTTGTCACTAAATTGGTTGATTGGCTTGGAGCTTGGAGAAGTAGTGTTTCCAAATTGTATATCTGAAAAAGCGAAAAAAAGAAAACCAACATTTTGTTAGACCAAATATTATCTTGTCTGTGCCTTTTCTTTTATTCCAAGGTTCAAAAATTGGGACACGCTAAAATTAGGTGTGAAGGTGCTGACCTCAATGTATCCAAGATTGTCTTTGTCCAGTTCTTCCATGATTAGAGCTGCATATTCCTCAGCACATTCTTGGATTTTTGACAGCTTGTTAGCACTAGCACTCAATGCAATAATCTGCATAATAATTTATTGAACACTTGTAAATATTTTCATAGATAAGGCATCTCCAACAGATTCTCATATTGGTGGAGTAATCTTCTTTTCTCACTCACCTGTTTTACCTCTTCTTCAGTGATCCTTCCATCAGCATCTTTGTCAACCCTGCATTTACCAACATCATCATGTCAAATAATGCAAAAGTCCCAAATTGAACCTTAGAATTAAGAGTCCAGTACTTTACTAACAAACCAATCAACTGTTGGCCATTCATGTGCAAAGAATTGTCTTGGTGGATTGATTTGATTCTTTAATTATTGTCTAAATTAAATTAATGATTAATATCTTAATATATTAATATTATTTCTAGAGAGATAAGAACTAATTTGAAGTCAACAGATTGGATAGCAAGAGAAATATTTCCACCTACCATCTTGCTTCACATGCAGAGAAAGCGTAAAATGCGGTTTTATATGATTGATTCTTAGCATGAACATTAAAGATTCTGATAATATAATATAACATTGCTTGACAATTGCCTCTTGTTTCTTATCATAATTTTATCAAGACAAATTATCTAATTTTTAGGTGACATCTGTCTTTTCTGTTCCACAGAGTGGACCTTACTGACCTGCTGCTACAGCAAAATTTCTAAATTCAGTGGAAGCTTATCAGAAAGAAGGGTTTTGGTAAAAAATGAAGTGAATTTATGTGAATTGTGAAATGACACTAAACTCTTACATGTCAAAGAAGGTTTGCAGCCTGGCATCAAAGCTCTGATCAGTGATTTGTTCCCAGAATTCCCGCAACTCAGCTTTGTTTATTGCTGATGATGTTATCCCTCTCCTACGAGCCAAGGCCTCGAACAGTTCTCCAGCAAACTCTTTTGATTCATTCATACCTGACGTCACAATTACCAAGTTTAATCAACCTTTAATTTCTTTGTTCTCCAATTCAGACTCTCATTTGGAGTCTGGAGAGCTAATTATTAGATGGAAATTCAAACTTTTATAGCAGGAAAAATGTTGCATATACCTATACATTGGCCGAAGACTGATTTGGGAAGTGAACCATTGACAGACAATTCATCAAACCGCTTTTCAATCTCGGACCAGCCTTCACTTCCAACATTTTTTGTCATAAATTTCAGTCCCTGAAGGGCACGAGCAGCTCCCGACTTGCTCCTGTCAACCTTGTTAAACGGTGCCTTGGTAGATGTCATCCGCTTTAGTTCCTGAGAGACTTGTCTGATTCGGAACGAAAGCTGGGATCCAAAGGAAGGCCTTTTCTCCAACCTGGTTGCTAGCATTGCCGTCTCTGGATCACCTCCTTTGATGTTCTGGACAGAAACTGAATCATCCCGAATGTCTAGAGTAATTTCAACATATTCATCATCATCCTTGAATCTTGCACTTTTCTTGCTGCTATTTTTCTTGTTATTCACCAATATTGGACCGCTCAATGGACCACTGTAGCCGACCCTGGTGCTGCTTGAGCTTTCGGTATCGGACCATGACTCGTGTTTGCAGTGCTGAATCTCCATTTTTTTTCTTCTCTCAATGAATCAGAAGTTTTGTTTTCCTGAAATGAAAATCAGAGAGGAATCAGGCTGACATTCATATGGAACAGCTAACTCAAGAACTCAAATGTTGATACATATATATATATATATATGATTTGACTATGCTACCCCCATGAATTATATTATGTGCAAGGGCATACTTGACTTTCAAAATGCTTGTCTGGGTGCTTTTCTGTTTATAGAAATAGGCAGACGTCTCCAAATACTTATGGTTGGTTATACTACTACTCTTCATCATTGATTAAGTAAAAGACATCAAAATGCATTTCCACGGTACATGGAGACCTGAATTAAACCAAGTGAAAAGAACTCGAAAATGATCATTTTCTAGGGAAAAAAAAACTCTCAAATCTTACCTGACAATGGTTCTTGGAACTTGATCAAGAGTTGAAAGAAACGAACATGAGAAGAAGTTAAGAATGTTGGTGAGGAAAATTGGGAACTCAAGGAGAATAACATAGGAGCATTTAATATAAGGGTGGGAAAGTTGGCTAAGAGAAGGAAAATGAAGGAGGGGAAGACAAGTCAAAACTCGAATAAAAAAAGGGTGAAATCAAGGGGCGCAGTTGGGTTGTATAAAGTGTTAGTTATTGCCATCAAGAGTTTGGGTCAATTGGTAGGATGTTATCCTTGATGTAATTGCTGTTGGGTTTGAATCCGATTTTTTGATGAGATTATTTCGAATGTACAACTTACAATTATTATTCTTTAAATTGTTGAAGATGATATATCTTATCTTGATTGGACAGTATACTCTTTAATTTTCTCCTTTCAACCACAAAAAAGTGTTGGTTATTGGAGTGGTTGGGGTTCATATTCTTCTGATGTGTAAATCTCCCAAGTTTCAAAACATCACCAACCAACCAAACAACCCCAGGTTTGACACTAAGAAAATTTAATCAACATGAAAGAAATTAAACATCATTATGAACTGAAACCCAAAAAAAAACGTGATCCCTGAAAAAAGGTAGCAGAAATTCCTCTTTTGGTCTGCTTCCTGGAGAGTGCCTGAGATAGAGGGGTTGGCACAAAAGTTCTTACAGCCTTTAACCTTTTACTCATTTTGACATGATCCAAAACTTATTAATTAAAAATATAAACAATCTTAACTCTGAAGTTATTGTTTTGTGCTATAACTATAAATATATCAATATATTTCATATATATTTTTTAATCTCTTTCACATTAAACCTCTACTTACCAATCAAATTAAAGATTTCATGGACTTCCATATCTTGACATATGCCATTAGACAGCTCAAACTAAAGTCCTAGCTAGTTGAAATGACCTTTAGTTTTAACTTGAAAACTTGTTAATTATAGGGGTGATTTTAAACTTATGGAATGTTATTTTTTCAAAGTGACCCGCGAACGGTCTGAGAGTTAAAGTTCCGTGTCCATGGTCATGGATGCCATTTCTTAAGCTTATCCCTACGTTCTTCTAGTGACAATGACAGATTTTCCAAATTTGTTCACTCTTTAACAGGACTTTGCATATGTTCCATAAGAATTTATCCAGAAGAAGACATTACATAAGCAATAAAATAATGTAGAAGAAGACATTATTATATGATAAAACAAAGGCATTTAAATGATAATACATGGTCAGAGATAAGATCAAAGCAACATCAATGTCTTTTGCTACATAATAATTAGTTTAATTAATTAATAAAATAGTATATCTCCCTTGATTGAATATTTAAATTAAAGTATTAAAAAGACATTTAAAAGGGAATTATTGGGAAAAGTTTATTACTTTATATCATTCATATTCTTAAATTAAATATATATTTTAAGTAAGTATTTTAAATTTATTCGATATCACTTTTTAAAGATAATTATATGAGCTAATTAAATTAAATATGATTTCAAATATAGTGTGCATGTGAAGATGTAGACTAAATAATTGAATAAGAAATAAAGAAATTGCACTAGAAATTAAAGGGTTTGAAAGATATTCCTAGGTAACTCCCAATTCAGCTAATATTGAAGAAAAAAAATCAACTGGGAGTAGGTGAAAAAGTTAATAGCTTTAATGAATCAAATCAAAACACAATGCTTTTCCACTAATGGGTTTGTGGTAACTCCATATTATAAAGGAGAAAAACACCAATAGTTTTCACAAGTGAATAATCAAAATTTGATACTCTATATTTTAGTACTTGAAGATATTTAATGGGTGTTAGTGGTTCATTAGTCATGATAATGCAAAACTTATGTTGGATTATTCAATAAATTTGAGATTTAAATTTTAATATATAAAATTTATTTTTTAATTTATAAATTATGATTTCATTTATAAAAAAAAAAATTGGTATTGGATCACACAAATAAAAATTATTTTTTGCAAACTAATGATTAATTCAATAATGTAAGGAAGAACAAGGCAAATTGATTAATTCTCCTCTACCAAACACACGTATTCTTCCACCTAATCCTGGTGGTACATGATGACACTATAAGACACGTGAAGTTTGATCAAGACATTGTAGAATTTAAGTTATGCAGCTAATTGGAACAAAACAGATGGAGACAAAGAACAACAAACAAGGAAATTTGAGAGGAAGAGACAACTTGGGTTAGGTTTTTCAATACGTAATTTTGTATAGGTGGTTTTATTCTGTCAGGATTTTTTTTTTTTCTGGAATTTACCGAAAACCAGTCAAAATTTGAGGCAAATCAAATCTGAATTGAGGTTTTGACATCAGCTTATCTTCTTTGAAAGAGAAAGAACTGAAAACTTAGCTGGATCTGTCTTTGGTATTGACAAATTTGATGGAGTTTAAAATAATCCGTTTTTTTGGAAAAATATAATGTCTTTTTTTTTTTCAATGTTTCCAAAATTCCAGTGACGAAATTGTCTTTGGGGGTAGACAAAAAGTCTAATCTTTGGATAACAATAATAGCTATTCTTTTTATAGTCAAAATTTGTGCAAATATATAAATATATATATATATATATACATAAATGTTTTTGGATCAAATCGAGTTTAATTCAAAATGATTTCATATTTGATATTAATAGTTTATATATTTATTTTCATCTTATCTATTATAATATTTTGGATTTCAAAAATATTTTTAAGTTCAATCTAAATTAAAAAAATAAATTTTAAATTTACATATTAAACTTAATTTATATAATAAAAAATAAAAAAATTTTAAATAAAATATAAAAATCAAAATATATATATTTATATAATTATAATATTTTAATTATACGTAATTTATTTGAATTGATCTAAGCTCAAACTTTCATTATTTTATTTAAAATTTGATCCAAAATTTAAATGGATCTAAAAATTCAATTCAAATTCATTTAACAAGTTTTACTTTATTATATAAGCTCTCTTAAAACTTAAGTAAATCTTTAATTTTGAACGAATAATATGACCCTTGAACAAATCTAAATGTATATATGCAGTTAAAATTCTTGACAGTTTAGGCTCAAAACCAATTTTGGTTTAAAAAACGATGAAAAGAAGCAAAATATTGCAACAAAATGGTCTCCGACATTGCGCCAAACCTTGGTCCAAAAATGCTGGATCCATGATCCATATATGAAGCAAGACCTAGTATGATCCAATGTCTTGTGAGGGAAGGCCCATCCTCTCCTTAAAGAAAATGAAGAGCCCATTTTGGTTTTTAAGCCCACATAATTATTTCATTTTCATTTATTTTTGCTTGTTAATCCAATAACCTCATTCATGAAAATGACAATGTTTTCAAATGGAAGCAGAAAATCAGTAAAGGAACAAAACCATTTATTTAACAGACAATAATGAGTTAAAAATCCAATAATCCAACTAACATTTCTGGTGCCAGTCCTTGTGCCAGTCTTCTTGGGTTCATCTGTTTCTGTGGCAAAATCAGGAAGCATAGAAAGATATCCACAAAAACAGTTTCAAATGGAAGAATTAGAGGCAAATCCAAGTATATGAGTTCTCAAAATTCATCAATCCTAGCCTAGATCTCTTCTACCTTAATTCCTTGGGATTGGACTTAGTGCAGCAGCCAACTTGTTTGAAACAAAGTGCTGAAACTGAGAAAACATCACTAATTCATAGCAGTCCAAATAAAAAATTAAATAGAAGAGAGGAATCATACGAAGAAGTTGCCATTGCCATACCAGAATCTGACAATGCTAGCAGTTCTTCTACAAGAGAAATTATGTCAGTTCATGAGGATGTAGTATCAGCTAAATATGATTCTGATGGTGGTAACTGCTCACCATATGATACAATAATTCCCATTGAATGCCATTCATCTGATGATGAATCTTTTCATTCTTTTGTTGATTCACATTCATCAAATGTCAGGCTTCCCAATAATGCTTCATCTGGTAGTCTTAGTGATATATCAGAAATTCACCTAAATGTAACAAAGAGATCACCATCTCCTCACCATTCTTTTGCACCACCATCCATGTCTCTGGCAATTTTAGGACACAACACAACTTTATACCTTCAATCTCCATGCAGCAGCCGGGATTCGCCTGAGTGTAAAAAGAATTTCACACCCCCACCTGCAACCCCTCCTCCTCCTCCTCCTCCTCTGCCTCCAGTTGTGCGTATTTCTCCTTTAAATTCTTCTTTATCTGCAACAGCTAGAGCAAGATTCAATGCTCCAAGTTCTTCTACATTTAGCAATGCAACACCTGCTACGAATTCAGATTCCTCTTCAGGATTAAACCAAAAGCAAATTCACATCAAAAACCTTCTAAATCTTTGCCAAGTCCACTCGGTATTGCTTCACCACCATGTCCACCTCCATTTTTAAAAGGAAACAATAACCATGTCAAAGGTCTACCTCCTCCACCAGCCCAACTTCCACAGTACACACTACTGGGAAAAGATGGGGCTACATTGCCAAAATTGAAGCCACTTCACTGGGACAAAGTCACAGCTGCACCAGACCGCTCTATGGTATGGGACAAGCTGAGGTCAAGCTCGTTTGAGTAAGTTATTTTATGTTCTTTCTGTACATAAATTCCTATCTTTCTGATCCTGATGATTAACTAATCTGACAAAGAACAGATTGGATGAGGAAATGATTGAATCACTTTTCAGATACAACGTATAAAATTCAATGCAAAATGATGAAACAAAAAACAAAACCCCTTCCCCAAGCAATTATGTACTTGAGCCCAAGAGATTACAGAACAAAACCATTCTCTTAAAAGCACTGAATGTGACAGCTGATCAAGCATGCAATGCATTGATGAAAGGTATAGCTCTGAAGTCTTCATTTAATTTGCAAACCATTTTATTTCAACGTACAAATTCCTCTATTTTCTTGTGGTTGCTATGGATTCACTCATTCTTGTTTGATTATAGTACTAAATTTTCGCTTTCTCCATTTCGTGAAAAGCAGGAAATGGTTTGGTTTTACAACAACTAGAAGCATTGGTGAAAATGGTACTCAGCAAGGAAGAAGAGACTAAGCTTTCTAGCTACAAAGGAGATATCAATGAACTGGGGTCTACTGAGAAGTTTGTTAAAGCACTTCTGAGCCTTCCATTCGCCTTCTTACGAGCTGAAGCAATGCTTTACCGAGAAACTTTTGAGGATGAGGTGGTTCATCTTAAAAACTCATTTTCAATGCTAGAGGTAAGCTTCAAGTTATAATTCATATATGCTCTTTTATAATGTTTTCCAGTACAAACAACTGATATCTCTCATATTATTGTTCTACTAGGAAGACTCCAAGGAACTCAGATCAAGCAGGCTCTTCTTGAAGTTACTTGAAGCATTACTTAAAAGAGGTAACCGAATGAATGTTGGAACAATTAGAGGAGGCGCTAGAGTATTCAAGCTTGATGTCCTCCTTAAGCTTGCGGATGTGAAAGGAACTGATGGGAAGACTACCTTGCTGCATTTTTTTGTCCAAGAGATTATTCGATCGGAAGGAATAAGAGTGTCTGACAGCATTATGAGGAAGATCAACCAGACAAACAAAGGCAGAAGGACAGCTGAAGAAAAGGAAGAAGATGAAAGAACAATGGGACTAGACCTTGTTTCAGGTTTAAGCACTGAACTCCACCATGTCAAGAAGACAGCTACACTTGACCTGGATGTTCTTGCAAGTTCTGTCTCAAGCCTATCAGATGGCAAGGCTCAACTGCATCTAGTTCACGAGCTGGAGCTATCAACAGATGAAAAAAGTGGGAATTTAGTTCATTCAATGAACGCCTTCCTCAACTATGCAGAGAAGAATCTAAAGGAGCTGCAAGAAGATGAACATAGAGTCCTATTACATGTAAGAGAAATCACAGAATATTTCCATGGAGATGTGAGCAAACTAAATGAAGCTAATCCACTAGGTATATTTGTGATCGTAAGAGACTTTCTAGGAATGTTAGATCATGTCTGTAAAAAGCTTAGAAGCTTGAAAGTCCCTAGCAGTCCTAGCCCTCTGGCTCCATGTCGATAGATTAGAATATTTTGCTTGGTGAGTTAATAAAATTTTGGTTAAATTTCATGTAGACGCTTTATAATTAATACCTTTTTCACTTTTGTAAAAAATTTTTTTCTCACTTATAACATTTTAGTTTGCTTTCGTTATAAAAATGTATGATAACGTACAAAATTAATTAAATTTCCTTTATTTTTATTTTAATATCATTACCATTTTTTGATTAAAAAAATAAACCCTAAGATTATAAAAAAAATTCAATAAAAAATATAAATAAAAAAGTCACAAAGAGTTAACCCTACAATTTTTATTGTCCCACTTCCCAAACAAATAAACAAGCCCATTTTAATATTTTTTGGGTGTACTTTGATGTTTTAATTGAGAAAAGGTGATTTATTTTTACAAAAGAAGGAAATAAATACCTAAAATCTAATATATATATATATATATATATTATATTACAATGTACATGATTACCATATAAGATTGGTTGATGTGGATATTTATATGGATAATTTTTCTTTTTGACACTTCAAAAAATTATTAAAATTTCTCTTTTTAATGATATATAAGATATTTTTTAATTTTAGACTCTTTTTCAAAAAATAAATTTCAAAATTTATTTAATTATCCAAAATTTTTAAAATTTAAATGAAAAATCAATTTAGATTTAAAATAATTAAAGGGATAAATTTATTATTTTTTATTTTGGTAAGATTTTATTTAAATAAATAAAATTAATTATTAATTTTTATTTATGGATTAAATAAATTTATTTAAAAAATTATTGGTTATCCAAATCTTTTTAAGATATATTTATTTGAAAATTTTAAATTATCCAAAGTTTTTCTTTTTACTAAAAAAAATCATTTTTATTTATCAAATACACCTTTAAATATATATTTTTTATTTTAAAATTTTAATTTTTTAATAATTTTTTAATAATTAGTTATATGTATGGGTCTGGATATCGGATTAGTCCTAAATAGCCAAATAGCAACTGGAAAAGCACAATTGTTCTTAATTTGTAATTAATGTTACATTTTAGAATGTTTATATTTTTGTTGCATTTACAATTAAATTTGTAATATTAATAATTATAAAGTTTGCCCATGGAATATAAAAAACTTCAACTACCATTTTCAATTAGGATAATAATATATATTTTTTATTTTTTAAAATTAATTTTTTATATATATCTTAAATTTTAAAAATATCAAATATAATTTTATCTTAATAAATTTCATGATAATCTTTTATTATGTAAAATGATTAAATTTAATCTCTTAATAATTATAAATGATTGTTTAATATCATTCTTTAACCAATAATTTGATTTTTTTTTTGTCATTGTTCCCCCATTTTTGTATTACCTCAATTTTCTTTTATATCAAAAGCGAAAGTTATAAAATACTTTATTTATTTTTTTAGATACTTAAGTAAGCTACAATTATCTTTAACTTGCTTATATATATATATTATATATATAATAATATATATTATAAGATGTAAAGTTACATAAACACATATGTTCTTATATTTTGCAAATGCTGTCTATAGATATTTTTTTTCTTACTTTTGACTTTTCACTTAATTAAGTAATATTTTTTCTTTTAATTGGCTTTCTTTTTTCATATATTACAAAATGCAAAGTTATAGAAAATATTTTTTCTTTTATTTTGTAAGTACTATCTATAAACTTTTTTTTTTTAATATTTGACTCTTCACTTATTAGGTAGTATATTTTTCTTTTAATTTAGCTTTCTTACCATATGTAAAAATACTTTCATTAATAGTTTTCTTGATTACATTAATTTGAACCTACTATTTATATCAAAATATTGTTACAAATAACAATAACTAATTGGCTTTTGAAATTATATTTTATGTATGTAATATAATTAGTGCATCAATTAGGATTTTGTATAAAAATTTATAATCTACTATACTTCTTCCTCTTAAAAGTCATAACACTATTTTTATTTATAAAAAAAATTAAGATAAATTGAAATCCAATTTGATTTCATTCTATTTTTTTTATTTTTTAAATCAAATCTCATTTAGTAAGCACTTGATTATGAATTTAAAAAATTAAGAAGTGTTAATAAAATTGGTGGCATCCAGTTGTAAACATTTCTAAATTTTAGATTTTATTTCAAATTTGACTCAAATCACCTATTTAATTTATATTTATTATTAAAATGTTAAAATTTTATAATATTAAATAGATTTTAAAATTTAAATTAATTAATTTTTTAATATAATAATATTTTAAATCTATACTTAAAAAGTTATGTATAAAATTATAAATTCAACCTTAATTTAAGTAATGAATATGTTTACTTCCTAATAAAGTTAAAATTATATTCAATTATGGTCTATTTGTGTTTTTTTTTTGTCTTTGCTTGAATTTTGAAAAACATTCATTAATCAAACATCAATATGAATTTAAAAATACGTATTTTCTTAATTTATTTTAATTAATTTAATTTAATTAAATTTATTTAACTAATTTTCTAATATTTAATTGATATAAAATTATATATATTTCTTATGATAAATAATATTATCACACTTAAAGTGTATGAGATTATTTGGTAAAAAAAATTTGAAATTAAAAAATTAATTTGTGATTTTTTAAAAAAACCTTAACCTTATAATTAACCATAGTTTATATGATTTTTTCTATTGTATTTTAACTATAAATTAATTTCAAGCATAAATAATTAGATATACATGATTTTTTCTTTCTTTTAAATTTTAAAAATTTGAATAACTAATAATTTTTTAAAATATATTTATTTAATAAATAATATAAAATTAAAAATGATCTTATGTGTCATCATAAAGATAATTTTTTTTACACACATAAATTATTTATAATTACCTTATTAAATAGATAACAAATAACTAAATTAAATGATAAATAATTTTTAACTTACTACATCACAAATTAAATCTCTTCAAAAATTAAAAAAAAAATCAATTACAATTGAAAAATAATTGATTGAATAATAATTAAAAGTAAATTAATAAAGTAAAATAATCCATATTGTACGGATAACAAATTATTATGACTATAAAGAAATATCCCGGACGCCAACTTCTGTCCATTTTACTCTCTTTTGATAAGCCCTTCGAATCCCTTCCCTTCCTTATGTCCTCCGAAGAAACCCTTACTCAACCCGACCCGGATTCACCTCCGGGTCCAACCGAAACCCAAATTCCACCAACCATCCACTACCTCTCCTTCAACCAAGACAACACTTGCTTCTACGCCGCTACCGACCACGGCTTCCTCGTCTTTAACACCGACCCTTACCGCCCTCTCATCCGCCGCGACTTCGACACCGGTCTTTCCCTTCTCTCTATGCTCTTCCGGTTCGAAGTATTCGCCCTCGTCGGTTCCTCCCCTTCCCCGTCCCCCTCCGCCGCCACCGACAGTAAAGCTCTCCTTTGGGACGATCATGCCTCCCGCCTTGTCGGGGAGCTCTCCTTCCGTTCCCCGATCCGCTCCATCCGCCTCCGACGCGACACCATCGTTGTTACTCTCCTCCACAAAATCTACGTCTACAACTTCTCTGATTTGAAACTGTTACACCAGCTGGAAACGACATCGAATCCGAAGGGCTTATGCGAGGTCTCGCAGGTGTCGGGACCCATGGTGTTGGTTTGCCCAGGATTGCACAAGGGATCAGTGAGAGTAGAGAATTATGGGAATAAAAGGAGGAAATTCATAAATGCTCATAGCTCGAATGTCACGTGCTTGGCTTTGACTTATGATGGCAGGGTCTTGGCTACGGCAAGTAGTAAAGGAACTTTGATTAGAGTTTTTAATACTTTGGATGGCACATTGATTCAAGAGGTATCAAACGAGATAATTACTACTGTATTACTATGATTTATTAACTCTTTCTTTTTTTTTCTAAAAAGTATAATCTTTTGGGTAGACTGAGGATTTGTGTTTTCGTGTTGTGGAAAATGCTGAAATTCATATCGTGTTTTATACAAAAATTACATGTCATAATTCAGGAAAACATGAAATACAATTTTTTTTATTTTGTTAAATCTAAATTTTAAGCAGGGTCACCATTGTGTCCTATTTTCATATTGTGTTGGTGTCGTGTCATCGAGTCGTGATTTAAATTGTTAGCTCTACTTTTGGGTGCTATTCAACTCTGAAAATAAAAAGGTTGGTTCCAATGGAGGGTTAATGGACTTCTTAGTTTTCAAGCGACAAGAAGAGTTATGAATATATTGTTTGATGTAAACTCATCATCGAATCAAGCTTCCAAACTGAATGATTGATGTCTGTCTGAGTAAGAAAATGAGAATGAATGTGAGTATCTTGTATAGAAGGGCGGTGGGGGTTCTGTTATTAATTGCAGAAGGAGTATTATTGAGTTTTAGCTTATGCTTCAAGACCGTTAGACTTGGCTAAACTATAAGTATGTCATATAGTCTTCTTCCTGGTTGACTTGTTATTTTGATAACCTTTGGCAACTATTAAGGCTAGTCTTATTTTGTTCTTTCTTTTACCTTTTGTTAAGATCCATGAATCTTCTGAAGAATGTTTCAATCACCCTATTTTAAGAGTTTTTAGCAAGTGAGGAATAGTTTGTTGGTATTTTGTAGGTTGTTCTTTGAGATTCTTTTAAGTGTTTGTTAATTTCCTGCTTGGAAGTTATCTATGATTTTAATTGAGGCAATTTCTGGTGACTAGTGGTTTTTGGGCAATCTATACATTGAGATCAATGCTTGGTGCAGGTAAGGAGAGGGGTAGACCGAGCAGAGATATACAGCCTTGCTTTCTCCCCCACTGCACAGTGGCTAGCTGTCTCAAGTGACAAAGGAACTGTCCATGTCTTCAGCCTCAAGGTTGATTCAGTAGTTTTGGGGGATGATAGGTCAAGCAGTGCATCTGAATCACCTCTTTCTAATCAATCGGCTTTATCATCCCTTTCTATTTTGAAAGGTACCATCCCTCTGGTTCATGCTTCATCTTTTTGTTTTATAAGTTGTTTGTTCTATGATTGCAACTAGGATGAGCAGAAACTAGCTTAGATCTGGTTTTGAACTTTTGTTTTTTGGATTACTGAATTTCATAGATCTAGACCTGCATGAAGGGATGGCTTGAGATACAAGCCTATTATCCCTCAACTACTCCTACTTCATGTGACTGAGAATTGCTGTTTTATATGTCAAGCTCAAGCTCATTTGAGATTTGTTATTTTGTAGGCGTGTTGCCAAAATATTTCAGCTCAGAGTGGTCTGTGGCTCAATTTCGGTTGCCTGAAGGTTCGTGCTACATTGTTGCTTTTGGACAACAAAAGAACACAGTCATAATTGTTGGCATGGATGGAAGGTAATTAAAATATCTGGTGTTAGGATCTCTTTTGTTTGTGTGTACATGTGACAGATGCTTGTTTAATTCATTGTATTAGCAGGCTGGGCTAACGAGATAGATTGTTACCCAGCCTATGATATTTTAACGGTCATTTGTCTGAATTTCAATGATGATGTCCAGATTTTTATTACATCTTAAATATGTTTCTTGTTATTTTTTACTTTTCACATGTTACTTAGGTGGCTCTAAAGGCCACTTGAGTCATCCTTAAGTCATGAAACTTCTTGATTGGTCAGAAGAGTCTAAGATATATCCCTTGGTTCTGTTATCTTGTTAATGCAGCTACCATCGATGTCAGTTTGACTCAGTGAATGGTGGACAGATGACTCAACTTGAAGAATACAATTTCTTAAAGCCAGAAGAAACATTTTCGAAGTCAGAATGAAGATTCATATTAAGATTAAAAATTTCATCTGTGAAGAACATATATAGGTTGCATATATCAATGTAAATGAAGGGTCAAGTTAGGCTTCAGTTTGGGTCTTAACTGCACTGCACTGCCCATAAGAATAACTATTTGCTTGTCTTAATGCTGTTACTAACAGCTTGAAAAGTTTTCCTCGATAATTATTTTCCTTGTGTATATATAGAATAATTGATTATCAAATTTAACTTCGTCTTTTTAATCAACTGTATTTGTTAATGATTTTCCTTGAATCCAGATTCGAGCATGTTATGAAATTTAACATCTTTTTGTATATATCTAAATACAAATGATATGATTTAAAATTTTAGTAAAAATTGTGTTTGGAAAAAAACTAGAAATGTGTTTCATGTTTGGTGTATTGAATTTTGACACGATAATCTTCTTGTTTAACACAAAATAGATACGATATGGATATGCGAATTGTCAGGTTTATATGTAAGTAACGAAATAATTTAATTTCCCATCATTTGAAATTAAAGGGAGATTAATTAAATGAAGAAAAAGAATAAAAACTTTATATCTTGGCTGGTTTTTTAGAATTTATAGTAATTAACCCTTTATTATTCCTTTATATATGTCATCTAAATGTTAAGATTCTAACATGATTATCCAGAAAAGAAATAGCAAATGTGGAATAGGTTGAATATGGTGAAAACATTGAACAATGATGGTTGATTTGGTATCAACATTGTTAGACACATTGAACAAGCCCTTCCATGTTTGAACCTGAAATGATTCTTTGTTTTTGTATTAAGACGGCCTGTTTTATTTTAGTATTGGGAATAACGACATGGCTCAAAACCATTTGTTAATGACAAAAACAACAATATTTTATGATTTTATTAGAGCAGCAGTAGGAGAATCCATTTAATTTTGGTGATCATTCCATATATGGAAAAATAAATTCAATCTCTATCAAATCCAAAAGGCAACAAAATCAGTGAAGGCAATAACATTGCAAAAAAGTTGCATTTCAACTCAAACCCAAACATCCCCATTTATATTCTCAACAACCTTAAGAAGAAAAACTCAAACAAATGATTGAAAACAAAAGAAATAGCTATTAGAAATCAAAATCAAGGTCATCTTCAACACCAGCCTCATAAGCATCTCCAGCCATATCACCAATCAGTATTCCACCCAACAATGCACCTGCCAACCCCAATCCTAACCCTGCTCCCTTGCCACTTTTCTTAGGCTTTTGCGGTTTCTGCACGGGAGGGTAACCATATCCACCTTGAGGCGGGTATCCTGGATATCCGTAACCTGGAGCAGGAGCCTGTTGGTATCCATATGGCGGATATCCACCAGGTGGAGGATAAGGATAACCTGCCATCTGGGAAGGTGGTAGATATGCTACTGGAGGCGGAGGGGGGTGTCCTGAGCTTGGCCCTGGATAACCTGTTGGTGGTGGTAGATACGCCATAGCTGGCTTCTCCCCATGTTTGTCCATGGCACCAGCCCCTGGAACTGGAGGTTGCGGAACAGGCTTGTTAAACTTCTCCCCAAACCTGTAAGAGAAATTCAGGATACCTTTTGCCTTGCCATTAGGCAACCTGACGCTGTAGCTTACGTTCTGTTCAACTTTCTCGTTTCCATTGTTGTGATCAAGCAGTACCTTAATGGGGACTTGGACCGTACCGATGTCTTTGTCTCCAAGCTGACGATCAGATTTCAGACGGAATACGAGGTTGAGGAGGTTCTGACGGGCAGCAGCTTCATCTATGGTGAATTCATGGTGTAATTCCACTCCGGATGGGAGCCACATTCATTATCAACAGGAGTTTTCTGCGATGTACGATGATCTCCATTGATTGAAACTACCACATATACGTGCATCTTGGTGAAAAGATTAACATCTTTGAGGTCACTGGCCGAGATGCCATTGATCTCTAAAGGCCTAAACTCCATGTTTTCTTCTATATCAAAAGAAAAAAAAATTCTAATTAGGGGATTGAGAAGATAACAGAGGGATGGGTATTGGAATTTGGATTTGGATTGATCGAGAAAGAGACAAAGGAAAATGTTATAAATATAGGAATAGGAGAGAGTTTGATGGAAAAAATAGATGTTCAAAATATTATCTCTTTAAATCCAAACTAAAAGAATCAGTTTGAAAAAGAATAAATTTTGTTTTGGGTTTAGTTAATTATAATAATTGGCTCAAATTATAAAAATTTGAAGGGTGGAGAACGATGTCTGAGGGTCAAAAGCGTTTCAATTGTGAGTTGTGATGTGGGGGAACCGCGTAGGATAGGAGGCGAGGCAAATGGTTCGGAACTTATACATGTAATGTAATAGCATTTGATTCGAGAAGAAGATAAACCAATGTTTTGTTATTAGCTTTATTTTACCGTTTAGGATTAGACATTCACGTTTGACGTTTCACTTTCTTAAATGCACACAAAGGTTCAAAATGAAAAACAGGATACAATTGATTAGCTAATATTTCAAAATTTAACGTTGGTTCATTAGAACCGTATAAATCGATACCCAAAACCCCTATAATAATATCCATAATGATGCCATGCTTGCTTTTGGTACTCCGGAGAAACAAATTTTGATTTAACCCATATTTACCCTATAGATCTAATTTGCTTATGGTAAAATTTCATATGAGTTCAATGTATTTTTATTTTCAACAAGTGACTCATTATTTAATGTAATTTGAAGCATATGATTATTTAGATGATTAAATATTATGATATAAAGATAAATAAATTATAGCAAGTGAATCGGTATCGGATGAATGTATGAAATTAAAATTTATATATCTGATAAATTTTAATAGAAGATCATATAAAAAGGATGATTTTATATCTAAGCAATTTGATGAATTACTTTTAAAAGTTTTTATCAAAATAACACTAGTTGATCATGAATCAAATTAAATCAATATAATAAAAATTTTAAGTTCAAGTTTGATTTGAAATTTGTTATTCAAATTTTAATTTGAATTCAATCAAATTTTAATATTAAAATTTGAATCTAATTTGAAATAAAAATTGAATTAATCTAATTCATTCAATTAGATCCATTTTATAAAAATGAGTTTGATTTTTATACTTAAATTTAAATTCAATTTTGTATTAAAATTCGAATTAATATATAAATATAAAATAATAATTTTATAATTAAAATAATAAAAATATATTAAAATTTAAAAATTCAATTAAAATTCGTAAATTATTCTAATAAAATATTAAAATATTCAAACTCAACTTATTTAATAAATTAAATTACTCAAACTTAATTTAATAATAATTGAATCAAATTAAAATTTTATTTAAATTAAATTTAAATAATTTATAAATATCAATATATTATTTATACCTTTAATCTTCGTAAGCTTTGTCACAATATTTTATTATGCGAAGATTAGAATGGAATGGATTGACTATTTTGAATATTTAATATAAGTTAAATACTTATCAACCATTTTGCCCGTTTAGTAGTATATATAAAAACCAAACATCATCATATTTATCAAATTAATATCACATAAAACCATCCTCACAAAATTTGCTAGCAAAAAAATTGAATACAAATTCTGACAAAAACTTCGGCAAAAGGAAAAATATTGCTTCAAAAGCCATATGTAACTATATAATAAGCTGAAACTACGTATTCATGCGAAAACCCCGAATGGGTTCATGTAGGCTAACTAGATATCTTATTCCCATCATAGCAAAGAACCAAAAAAATATTTGACCCCAAAAATTGATCAATTGAAGAAAACAAAAAAAAAAACCCAGAAATCACTGTTTAATTAGGTTTTTTCCATGAATTTCAGGCTTCGTCAGCATTTTGTGGAGGGCTTCCTGCAAGCCAACCCCATACGCCACCTGAGCCCTGCCTCTGCTTTGCATTCAAGGCAGCTTGCTCAGAGGCGGCTTTTTGTCGCTGCAGGAGTTCAACTTCTTTCTGTAGTGTTTCCATCGTCTGAAGCTTCTGTCGCAGTTCAGCAACATCAACCTGTTGATTATTCAAGAGTATTATAAGACAATTAGAGGCTTTTAAATTCGCATTTTAAAGCACCAGAGGAATGGTTGCCATTGTTCTTTTGATTTGAATATACCTCTAATTTGAAACATCTAGACTGCTCAGCGGCAAGTTGGCCACGTACAGATTGGAGCTCCTAAGATGTAAACAGAATTTAGTGAAAAAATGTTCAAGCTAATGCACACCACAGTTTCCATAACCTGCCGTCATATATAAAGAAATTACCTTGTACAAGTCTGTGTTTCGAGTCTCGGCTTCTGTTAGTTCTTGCTTTATCTGGAGGGACTGCAACTTCTCCTTGTTGAGTGATGATTCCAGTTCTTCCTTCTCCGCCTTGAGTGTTGCAATAATGCGCTCACTAGTCTCCTCACCCTTTGGTTTCTGCACATAATCTAAAACTTAAGCAGAAGAAATAAATTGAAAATACAGTACATATGATAATCTGAACAAGTTGTCGTATGTAGAAATGGAAATAAATTATAAATAAACTAACTATTTGCTATAAATTGGCAACTTCAAGACTAGATAAAAGTTTTGCAGAGGTCAGAGGCAAAATTCTGATGTTGCTTATGAATGTTATGAAGTATTCAAAATCCACTATATCAGATATATTAAATAGAAGCATTCAAGTCGTACATCAAGCACGTATGTACTTTATATCAGAAGATTTCAACCAGCAGATTTCCAATGAACTTCAATGGAATTAATGTTGAATGCACTAACAAAATATTACATACCATAGGCTCCGAGTCAACATTATCCATAACAATTTCTCGTATTTTTCCTTCTTGACCAACTTCAAACTCAGACTCCAAATCTCTGGTAGGATTTGTGGCATTATGCACCGCAGAAACACTATCAGGGACAGGAGACTCCATTATCTTTGATTGCAAGGTTGACTTGTGACTTGGCTTGAGAACGTTAACCTGGAAGCAAAACATAAAGGATCAAATAGAAACTAAAAGGTCAAGAAAGTCATATACAAAGAGGCTAAAACTGTCTGTACCTCACTGTTGTATCGCCCATTATATCCTCCAAAAGATACAAGTATATCTTCACCATTGAAGGAGCCCACTACTAGACTCAAGCCCTACAATAAGAGACAATCAGATAGTAATTTTACGACTTCAATCACTGACGGTGGAAGTCATCTGCTATCTGTCATGACCAATATACGACAACTATATAAACCGTTCAATGT